TCTCGTCTTGAGATATTATCCATGATATATAGCCCCTCTCCCCTCCTTGCGACTGCTTAAGCGCCCTTTGTGGCCGCGTCTGTTGAACAAGAGCCAGAAAAATGGTGTGACCGAGTTTGCGTGCTTCTGGGAAACAAAGGCACGCACCCGTTTTTTCTTTTCCATTGTACCTCATCTTGGGTCTTGTTTCTCGATCCTGCAGCAACGCGCGTGTTACAATTATTTTCTATTATTCTTTTTACCCAACTTCTGGTTCTCTTTACGCCCGTAAGAGACATCTTGAGCCCGTGGTGCTACGTACGCTCAAGCTTACGTATGGTATCCCTCCTTTGTCGTCAGAGCTGCCCCCCTTTTTAATTTTCTGTTCAACTTGAAAAGCTCGTGAAGGGTGGGGGAGAGAGAAAGGTCTCTTCCGACGATGAGGGAATTCATTCAGCCGTCACTGTATCGCTGAGACTTACCCATCACTCGGTTGCAAACCGCTTTGAGAGCTGGTTTCCTATTTTGGAAGGCCTGGTCTTCTCGCACCAAGCTCCCATGTATGGGTATCGAGTCGGCGCAATGCTGAGCTTTTTGGCGAGTCATCTGATTGTTACGCCTAGGTCATAATCATATCGAGTGGTTTTGAAGGAGGGAAGCATGCTATCAAGGTTGGAGTCTTGGCGTCAACGAGGCACGGGAGCTTCTTGGTCAGGTAGGTACGGCTCGCACAGCAGTGAGAGAAAAGAACTACTTGCCGGTTAAACCAGCCAAGGTTCTCCAACCACGTAGAATACTTTGTCTACCTAGGAGTACTTGGGTTCTTTCACAACCAAGAAAACAGACACTTTTTCTCACGGTAACTCTATCTGCTACATCAATTATGCCCCGATGCGAATGGCAACGGGCAGCGTGGCACCACACGACTGCGCGCTTCCCCGAGATCATGTAGTCCGCCGATGACATGCATCATCGCTGGGCTGGGGCGAAGAACTCAGTCGAAGAGTGCAGTTACTTATTCGTGACTTGAGTAGAAGAGGAGATATAGCCGTGTTCACTGGCAATGTATGTTTCCCGATACTTGAAGAGAACTAAGTAGCTTTACAAGCCGCCCCCAAGCGAGTGTGACGTGGTTCCTCTCGGCGCGAGATTGTTCCAGCCCAGACTGACGGATGGGCCGGCATTGCCATCCCCAAAACGTGTGACCATCAGACATGGCGATACATGTATACTTCTTTCCCACTTACTCGCCTTCTCTCCCTCCATTTCCGGCGAAGTCAGAGCTGGGTGTGAGCTGACAGAATAGGAGGAGGGAATGTGATTTGAACGATTGGTTCTCGACTTGTTCCCGAATGTACGGGACTTCCCTAGAGACAGCCGACCCCAGTTCGAACCCAGCCCAGCATGTAACCAACAAAAATCAAAAGAGTGTAGCTTGGCTGCCTGCCTTTCTGCCCTTGCCTTCTTGTCTGCAGCTTCCCGCCTCGGACTTACAGATGGGAGAGGGCAGAGGTATGTTGAGCTTCGAGGCCGCGAGACACGACCCGAGCGGCGTCTTTCGTCTCGGGCTAAGAATAAGTTTTGAACTTTCTGGGCCTTTCTCACCAAGGAAAAAGTCCTGAGACCTTTTCCCTTTGCCATTGTATGATTCAAGCCTCTGGTTCAGATTTCAGGAAACTCTCTTTTCTCTCTCTCATTCTCCGCCTCCTTGTCGACTGCGAGGGTATAGGGAGATTTGCTCTCGCTGTGATTAGGTATGAACAGTAGGAGTCCATTGAGACACCATGCTCTGAACGAGTCTCGCCTTGTCAGACAAGGAAGCGATCAGATTTCCGCTGCCAAAACAGAACCGTCCAACCGCTCCGAATCAACTCCCCCTCCTTCTTCTCTCTTTCTCTCTCCCTCCCTCCCTCCCCCTTCTCTTGCTCCCTCCTAGAGACTGTGTCTCACGGCGCCTCGATCGAGCGCGTGGGTTTTGTGTTCACCACTGAATGCTGAAGAGGTACAAGAAGGATGGGGCCTCATGGAGGGCAAGAAAACCACGCAAGTCGTTTTGTGTATCTTGGGTCATGTTAAAAATGCCATTCTGTCTAATTAACCTGTCAACAAGATTGACACCTCTCAGCCATTGCGGCGCACACAGATACGACATTTGATGAGGAGGATCCTTGGTAGGGTGGAACTTGTACCTTCCCCCCCTTCCCAGCTTACTTTTGGTATATGTGAATATAGAAGCAGTGCGCGAAATAAATCCCGCTCTCATAGCGTGTGATGCTGCCCACGTAAGCCCGCTTGGTCATGGTGAGGGAAAAGTGATAGTTGTCACGAGTAGCGCTTTTCTCTTTCCTCCGGCCTGGATACATGCAAGTATCCGTTTCCGTCGAGGACACAATGCCAGGGTTCGCTGAATCTGGATCAGAGAGTGCGCTTGATCGTGGCCCTCGGGGGAAGTTCCAGCAACGCCCAAGAGACAAACCTCCCCGCTTTGCGCCCTCTTAGCATAGCACGACAAACCGTGCAGTCGTTTGTCCTGGGCTATCCACAGCCCGTTTCCCCGACGGATTGGGCATTTACTTTTCGCACAGACTCAACGAGGCCTGGCACTAAGGCTATCGTCTTTTCCCAATAGTGGCCAAAGAGCCTTAACCTGGGCGACACTATACAGGCAGCTCCCACCCCCATGGCCCGGCCACCCAAAATATCCCGCAGCTTAGGGAGGGTGGATGAGGCGGTAGAGTAGAGTAGAGTAGAGTAGAGGGCCTGGCCCCGTGGCGCTCCAATGGCCTCCAGGTCGCGGGTACACGCAGGACATCTCAGACAAGGCTCGCTCGCGGTGGGGCCCTATTGGGCCGGGCCATGGCAAGGGTGACCTTTGTTTCGTTGGTTTGATCTGGGGTGGATAGAGAAAAAGAAAGAGGCGTCCTGCGAGGATGATCATCCGGGCTCTTGGAGGCAGAAGAGGGGGGGGCCACACTGGCGGCGGAGGCGGAGGCGGCGCATTCGCTCGTCGTTGCTTTTTCTTATGCCAGGTGGGACGGGAGAGAGCAATGACGGGGAAGGTGGGAGAAAAGAACAAGCCCCGACACAGAGGGGGAAAAAAAAAAGAGGGCTTGCCGCGTCCAAGAGAAGTAACAAGCTATCCTAACGTTGAACTAGCTAGAGGATGGTTATGAGGAGGAGGAGGAGGAGAACAGAAAAAGAAGCCCAAGACCTGCATATCATGTACTGTACACCAGCCATAACTAGTTTCTCACGACGATATTCTGGCTTTTTCAGCCAAATGACCCCCCAGCCAAAAATGGCTGGAATAGGTCATTGCCCACCCTGACCAAGGCCGTTGGCGAGTTATGCTATTCCTCTTTGGATACACGCTTGCCTCGAAGCAAACGACGCTGCATGTCTCCAGTTTCCCAAAACGTTCATGTCGAGAAAAGCATCAAGGTTCGGTCATGTCGAACCTTAAAGGACGTTTGAGTATCAGGAACACGAACTTAACGGCCCCAAACGTACAAGTTGGGGCCCGCAGGTACCACACCCTCTTCTTTCTTCCTGACCCAGCCCGTTGGAGAAAGCGTCCATGTATGTAATAGCCAACAGAGCCTTTTTTGCTGACACTCCAACGGTACAATAGTAGAAAGAGGGTTTCCCTTTCCTCCTGGCTACGGCAAGGTACCCGGGAGTTACCCATCAGTGACATGTAAGGGCACAAACAACCTTGGGCAAAAAGGCAGGCCCTTTGAAAGTTTGTGACCGTCTAAATGAACTTAATCCTTCTTTTTTTCCTAGAGAGATGACGACGACGACGTGGTGGGCTTTTTGGGGAGTGGTAATTTGGAATGACAATCTCCAACAAACTCCTATCTCTCTCTCTCTCATCTCCTGCCTGCATCTCGGTCCCGGGAGGATGGGGGGATGAACGAGTCGTCTGCAGTCCACCTGGACATTCCCATGAACGCCGGACTTTTTTTTTTTTTTTTTTTTCTCAGTCTCGCCGAAGCAATCTTCTTCTTTTTTTTTCCTTGACGGAGGCTGACCGCAGAGAGTTTGCGTGAGGCGTTTGCGGTTTAAGAGCTTGTCGCATGGACACGTCGACGAGCGACACGGCTCGCGGATGACGTTCCGCTCACTTTTTCTTTAACTCTTTTTCTGCCTTCGCGTCTTTTTTCTCTCTTTGAAAAAAAAAAAAAAGACGCGGAAAAGCTCGCTTGTTGGCTTTCTCCCGCCGATCTGAAACCTCTCACTCTTCCCGATACCAAAGAGGGAGAGGGAGAGAGAAAACAACGCAACTGGCAGGCCTCGAAGCTCGATAGCGTCCATCAAAATATGGTGGCTCTTCGTTTTACCCCATCAGAGCTTGAATCTGAGCCTTCTCCAACACCTAATGGTGTCTCAACTCCTATGCTAGACTTCCTGTAGGGTAGGAAAATGCGACTTAGTGCAGATCTGACCAGTCATATGATATTGGGAGAACTTGATTTGCTTGAGTACGCTCTATATCATCATAATCGTCATCGATAATCGTGCTGAAAGTCATTGTGCTAATCCCCTCGTGAAATGAGAGTGGTGATTGCGCGGGCTAGATCTCCTCCATGCTGTAGGCGGATTTATCAATGACATAATACACTGTTATTTAGCTCCTCGAAATGCTGTCCGCGCGAGGATCAAAGCCATCAACAGCTACCTCGTGATGCAAGTTTGATTGGCGCAAATCTTATGAGTGATGGCGATCCGTTCTGAGTAGAAGCTCGATCGATGGACCAGCTAGTTGCGCGGAAATGTGCGGCACAATATGACCAGTAACCCCTTGGCCGAGTAAGAGAGAAGGACATGCGAATGCATTCCTCAAGCGACCAGTATTTCATGGAAAGTTCCGTTGATTTCTATATTACTATCACGAGCAGGACACGCCTTTAGTAGATGGAAAAGATTGATTGTAACTGGGCACAAACCTTTCCGCCACAAGAGCGAACCCCTTTCATGCCCAGCAGAGTCTGAAGATGACTACCATGTGCCAAACGTCTCTAGTGTATAGTGCCGTCAAGATCGCTGTTCTCATGATGCATTTGCTTGAAAAGAGGTTCCCAGACCGTGACAGCCCTGTTACTAGCCTCCCCATTACCCAACGGCGTCTTTTCTACCTCGACAATCTTGTCCGCCGAGGCCTCGACGGCGACGCCGTACCTGTCATCGCCGTCTTGTAAGAACTCGCTGTAAGCACGGACAATGGTGTCGACGGGAGTCAGGTAGCGCTTCTCAAAGGCCTCGACCACTTCTGGCGGGATAATGTTCGTCGCCACAAGGCCGGGGCACACGACGTTCATCTTGATATTTTCCTTGATCTTCAGCACGTCAGACACACCGCGCATGAAATTGAGCAGACCTGCTTTGGCCCCATTGTACTCTGGATATGTAGGGTGTGGTTTAAGCGCTGCCCAAAAACTCAAGTTAGCATAGCCACGCATAATTAGTCTGTTCATCGTTCTAGACTCAAGTACTGTTGGAGTTGCTGACCTGCCACACTCGCCGTGCCAATAATCTTGCCTCCCGGAGGACTGTTGTGACGCATAAAGTGTATGGCGAGCTGAGTCCCGTAAACAAACCCCTTGTAGTCAATGTCGGTACAGGTCAAATCAGGAGCGGCCGGGACGTCTTCGACGCTGGCATTCTTGTGCGAGAGAATGTACACAGATGACCGGTCTACCACACCAGCATTGGCCAGCAGAGCGTCGATACGTCCCCATTTCTTGTAGACCTCTAGGAATGCGTTTGCTTGTGAGTCGTACGAAGATACATCTGCGTGAAAATATGCAGCATTGGGTCCAAGACTTTGTGCTTGAGACGGGTTAGCTAGAGCAACAAGGCAGATGAAGTGAGTTTATTACCAATATCTTGTCCACCTTCATCATTTACGTCAAGCAACGCAACTAACCACCCCTTCTCGACAAAATGCGTAGCAAGCGAAACGCCCATACCAGCCTGACATGTAAATGAATACAGCATCTGTCAGAGTATATAGGCTAAACTCACAGCTGCACCTGTAACAATGGCTACTTTCTGATCGTCTTTAGATCCCATCTTGTTGTATGAGACTTGACGTCCGAGCACCCGTGATGAGTATAATCGTGGAGTATACACTTCTTGTTGCTGAAGGGAAATAGGTTCATATTCTTTGGCCAAATAAATAGACAGTAATTCAATCTGCAATCTGGCCATGATACAACGCTCTGCCTTTATACACCTTTTCTCGGATGAACTCATCGGCGAGGGAAATGACTCCGCATTCTCCCAACTCGGAGTCTGTTGAGCACCCCAGGAACTCGATATCCAGAAAGACAGAGACAAAGCCGGTCAGCCGGTTTCGCCAATGATATGTAACTGCGGGGAACCACAAAAGATTTCCCCCGCCATCTTCAACGTAGGATTATAGCTTTTTGATAAATCGGGATCATAAAAAAAATGACATGAGGGCGCAGGAAGTGAGGCTGAAGTTCTAGTTGCGGTGACACTTGTATTATCTATATGGTCCGAGTAACCACATCAAGAAGCAGTTCGAACTGATCGTCTCCCACCACCGCCACCGCCATCACCCTCCTATTTAAGCAGAACGCCTCTCTTTGCCACTGATCAAGTACACACCGGCGCGCACCTGCAGGAGCGGATCATCCGAGGCCTCGACGCCTTCGACGCGGGGAATCGGGTCAAAGATGATGTGCTTCTGCTGTGCCGCCTGGTCCTCGGCGACGCCCTCGAGCCTAATGGTTCCCAGCTCCACGACGGATCGTTCCTCGGGCCACTTGACCGTGTTGTCATTGGTCACGTCGCCGTCTTCCGCCACCTGCGCGGTCAGCTTGAATTCAACGGCGGCACCGCCGCCCAATCCCGACAGTCTCTCGGAGATCTCGTCAAAGAGAAAGTCTGCGCTCTTGCCCTGGAGCTCCGTCTCGTCCAGGTACGCTTCCCCCGCGACGGGGACGACGCGGTAGCGGATAAAGGTCTCCTTTCCCGCGGCCGAAATGAGCTTGAACGCGTTGACGGCATAGTATTTTTGCCGCGCAAAGCTGACTGGTGTCGGCTTGGGGGTTTGTACAAAGGCCAGCGCCTTGGGGTGGGTGGCGATATAGTCGCCCCCGGTGCCGTCCCGCAGCGCCGCGAAGAGTGCCAGGGCTTCCTCGCCCGTAGTGCCCGGGAACGCGTCGACCGAGTGTGTCACAATGTCCGTGTGGATCCGGCGCGGCGTCTCGGCTAGCAGGAAGCGGAGGGCAAAGCCGCGCGGGTTGCCGTTGGGATCTGTGTCGGGGAGCTCGGGAAAGCCCGTCGAGTTGGAAAAGCGGCCGAGGATTGGTGTCGACGGGTTGTTAAAGTGCGACGCCTTGGACAGCGACTTGGCCGTCTCTGTTGGCACAAACGTACCTTTCAGGAGTAATCCTTTGGCATGAGCTAAGAGAAAAGAAACAATCATCAGTATGAGAGTCACGGGAAAAAGTTGTCATCAAGACTAACCGGGACGAATTCCTGGGTGAGGCCCCGCAAGGTCTTGAAGTACATTGACAAGACCCTGGCTTGTTTCAACGACCTTTGTGTCTGACGGGAGAGGCATTGCTTCTGGTCTTTCGTGTAGATGCTGTAGCCTTTTCTTATTTTTTTATTTTTGGTCCTCGGTGTTCAAGAAGTTGATTGATATCTCAGCTATGAAGTTGAGCAACCATCACATTGTCCCCTTTCCCTAAAGGTCGACATCAGTCACAATATATACACCTCCAATCTTACAAACTGCCTGACAAACAACCCAGTCATCGTATTTGGAATAATGCACCCGGGCTTGGACAAGCATTACTTCTATTCGCTTCCAATTGGCAGGCGTCAACTATTCAAAAGCCTGATGTGAAGACAAAGCGACCTCGGCTACAATGATGATCATGGGGTAAGCTCGTCCAGAATAATGACAAGCTGCAAGCCACAAGAAGTGGGAGGAATTCTGATTGGGTCATCATGATTGGAAATTTCCCGTGCGGTGGACATGTGTTGGTGGATTACTCAGCCCCAAGCATATGCGAATCCGTCAGCGACAGGCCAAAGCATGTCAGAGCACGCCTTGCTTGAGTGCTATGATGTTTCTTAACCACACGCCTATCCAGCCTTACGACTGATTTCACTTTTGAGTCGAGAAATTTCCAAATCTAGGCAGAGGCTTTGTTTAGTCATCATGAATTGACAGTAGTTGTACACTGGTGTCTATTATGCGCCTCTTCTATGCCTCATCCCCAAGCCCTTTGCTAGCCAAAATCATCGCCTGAGCCCCGAGTTTCTACCTCGTCGCCCAGTGTCGTGTCTCTCAGGGGGGCAGCTTCTAACGTTGCCACCGTGCCACCTGGGAAGCCCGCCGTGCTGATTCTTCTTCCCCTGGTATTGAGAACCTCGCTTTCTTCGTCTACTACATCATTGTCGTCGCTGGCCGAATATTGCCTATCTTCATTGGCCTCTAATTGTTCGTTCAGACGCTGGCCTATTCCAAGCATAAACGCACTTGCTCGTTCAAACTTGTCAATGCCATGCTCAGTTGGAAGATCGCCGTACATGCGCCGTGCTTCATTCAAACATCGCTGGGCCTGAATGAATTTCGACTGTGCCACCCAGGCGTCAGCCCCAAATATGCTCCACAGGGCTGATTTACGCCGGCGTCCACCGAGATATTGAGTGCCGAGCCCATCTTTTGATGCATAACACACGGCCAGACGCTCCTTGATGAGTGCGTCACCGACAGGCCCAAGAATCTTGCTTTCGAGGAGCCGCAAGCCCCATCTAGCGGCATCGTCAATGCTTGATCCGCCCCGAAGACGGAGCAGCTCTAATCCCATGATGAGACAACGCACCGCTCCGTACGGCGCCGTGCATCGAGTTATGTAGGAATAAAATGCGGCTTCAAACATGGCATCTATGGTCTCGGAACGTGTCTTGGCACTGATGTTTTGAGGCATAATGAGCAGACTCAGAGCAGCCATTTCGTTGGTGGCCGCATGGTATTTCCAAGCCTTATCATTGTTGAAATCTCCCCGCAAAAGGTCATATGTCGAGTATGCGAGTTTCCAGTCGCGAAGCATAAAAGAATAGTCGGCCAGTTTGCGCATAATGGCCTCGGGCGCATCCTGACGGTAGAATCCTGTAGAATCGTAGTTGCTGCCCGAGATTTGTGTGCTTCCCGAGCTTTTCGATGTGCTGCCAAAGCCCCAGCGACGAGTGAGGCCCATCAATCGGCCAGCAACACCTCTCCGCCTGGAAGCTACTTGATCATTCCAGACTGACACGTGTCTCTCCATTGTAGGAATAATCGACTGGGTCACCATCTCGCGAACAAAGGTCCGTATTGCCGTGGCGTCAGACTCGTATATGTATCTGGTAAGGTCATCAAGCTCGTCCTGTGCATCGTGCCTGTGGATGTTTGTAATCTCCTCGGACGCGGACATCCACTCGCTTGTCGGTAATGGTGTACTGTCGTCGTCTGTCGCGGCACTTTGAGTACCTCGTATTCTGAGCAGGTGGCAATGCAAACCGAGATTTCGCTTCATCTGATCAAACAGCGACATGGATTTGGTAATATCGTCCTTTTCCTCGTCGTGTACCAGGACGTAGTATCGTAGAAACTCAGAGTCCACCCAATCTGGCATTTTCTTTTCTCCTGAGCTCGAATCATTGTATAGCTTGCGCAATGTCTCGATAGGTGCAGAGTTGCGTGAGCTTATGGCGATTACACATGCTACCGGGTGTGCAAATGTCTCGTGAGGTGTAACGGGCAGGCCAGAGAGCAGACGCCGCAGGTAGAGCGAATAATACGGCGACGGTACATCAAGGTCGAGCCCATGCTTTGTAGCTATCGGACTTTGTCCAGAGAATGGGGCCGACTCTTCTGCATAGTCCAGGTGACGGTCAACAACTGCCTCGACATCAGCAAGCCGGGGGCCCGATTTATTAGATTGTTGCTCCTTTTCCACTGCCCCCGAAGTACCATTGTTGAGTGGCCCCTTGAGTGGTTGAGGATGTTCAATGTCCTCGCCAAACCTGACAAAGTGTATGGAATAGTCCTCATATGTACGACTAGCGCCATTGCTGTCCCGGATGATGACCTTGCCCTGCACGCGCTCGCCGAATGGTCGGAGGAGCTGCCATAACCCTCGATCGAATCCCTTGTCTTTCAGAAGTTGCTCCGTATCTTCGGATGCATACACGGCGACGTGTGGAGCAAACGCGTGAACAAGGAGGTTCAGCGGGTCGCCTGGAGTATCGCCGGCACCGTCGATCAGGGCTCGCGCATTATTCGAACCGACGCCGCCAAAAACGGAGCCGGAGCCCGAGGTCATGCGTGAGAGGGGACGCGGCGCAGGTGAGGAGGAGCGCGACCCAGGAGGCGAAAAGGTCGAGGCATAGAGGGCGGCTGCCGACGGGGCGGAGCGGCGGTCTCGTATGGGCAGAGTAACCTCGGACTGGGAGAGCGGCGTGCCATGCATGGAGGCTATCCGGGTCTTTTGGACTTTCAAGCCCGCCGATGATGCGGCCATGGGAGGCGCTGAGATGGGCTCTGTTGGAGAGTCATGGTCAAAGCTGGACGCCATGACTCTGCTTGGATGCTTGGCGATGCTGGCATCTGCAGTCGCCGGGGGGAAGAAAGCAGGTTTATTGATGATGGTTGGGCAACGAGACGAGAGGCGGGACTCGTTATCGTCGGTTCGGGTTGATGGAGGTTTCTAGGGACGAGATCAGTCCATTCGAAGCTGTTAGGCCACTACCATGGCATCGACCAGACTCTTGAGCAAAGAATGTCCGCGGTTATCTGGCAAGCTGACAACTTTCAAATTGATGGGGGCCGTAGGTGGCAGAATTCGAGATTATTATGTCACTTGTCCCCATTGACGCCGACTGCGGGATTCAGTCAGGTCAAGTCAAGTCAGCAGCCAGTTAGCCCAGTCAATCAATTAGTCGGTGTTGGTCCCCTGCGTCGCTGGGCCCTGGGGTTTACAACACTATGTACAGAGTGCTAGGTACGTACCTTCTTGGCTCGTCGGCAGCTGGGGCCAATTGAGCCCACCACTAACACACAAAGACAAACGGGAGGATTTCATCCAATCATGTGTGCATATGGAGATAAGTTATGTAGACGTCTTTGTGCCATTTGTTTTATTGAGCTGAGTCTCCCCCAGTAGATGTGATATGAATAAATGATGGTTTAAGGTCCGACATAATTTTTGTTGGAATGATTCGCCATGGCTTGTATACTTGTTTCGGTTGTGAATATCTGCACTGACGTTGTTGACCTTTGTTCATATGGTTGATAGCAAATACTAAAGGCAGCTAATTGCCACTGCGCATAACTCGCCTCACAACACCAATCCCGAACTTTTGAATGCTTTGGTCTGCATGAATCAAAGCTTCATTTTGAAAAAAAAAAAAAAGTCATTATCTTGAACGTTCCAGAACTCACTGATTCTACAATTGAATATCACAAGCGTAACCTCTTCTTGTCGATGTGAGATAACGTCACTTGCTATGATGCAGCAAAATCAACACGAGAATCACCCGTCCCGATGTAGGTGTTTAGTCACTTAGGTAATCAATAGACGAATGACGGTTGTGAGCACAAGACTCGTCTTATGGATGCAAATCTTCCCTAAAACTATTGTCCAACCAGCAATACCATCGTTTTTTTGACGCACTTGATTTGTTTTAAGCATCATTATACAGCAAAAGTACCTAGGTATGCGATTGCATAGCAAAACAGTCCAACTGTGGTCTTCTTTACCGATGTATTGTGCCTTCAACAAGTGACTATTTGGTACAATTTCTACTAAAAAAGTCTTCTCTGCGAAGCTTTTCTCTGCTATGACCATCGCTACAATATGGGTTCAACGGGCCATGTTCATGCCGATCAGGCCCAGTTTCCTATCTGGCAGGTCGTCACCCAGGTATAATACTACCCAGAAGAGACAACCCCTGTCTCGTATATCGAGACGACCAGCCGAATTAGTGGACTTTCCCAGGGATGAATGCCATGGACATGGATGCCAATACGAGAAAACCATCACGAACCTCATGCGATTGTGCATGATTCTTGATATCGGGGGAAAATAGCACAACAAAGATGGCGGCAATAAAAAGGCAGCAATGGGTACCGCCATGTGGGAATCTTGGCTTGATCAGTATCCCATCGACATTTCATCATGGCACTCAGATGCAAAATTGCCACGGCGCTTCTGGCGCTCGTCACTGCTGCTTGTGCATCCATATCACAAAGAACTCTCGTGCACGAGAGACGCAGTGCACATCATGAGGCCGAGTGGGCGAAGCGAGACCGCGTACCGGCGTCGCACTCGTTTGAAATGAGAATTGGGCTCAGGCAGCGAAACTTGCACCGTGGATACGAATTGCTCATGGACGTGGCCGATCCGGCCTCGGCAAATTACGGAAGACACTGGACGCAGGACGAAATCGCCGGCATGTTTTCCCCGTCGGCGGAAACGGTCAACCTGGCGAAAGATTGGGTCGTGGCCTCTGGCATCGAGACGGCGCGGATTGCACATGGTGCAAGTGGTGGGTGGCTCGTCTTTAATGCCACTGTCGACGAGGCCGAGAAGCTCTTGGGTGCCAGCTACTGGCTATATGAAAATGATGATGGTCAAGTAATGGCCGGATGTGATGAGTATGCCAATCGTATGTTCTTCATGACATGGGAAATTACTAAGACACCATTTACAGATATCGCATTCCAGCCCAACTTGCGGAACACATTGACTTTGTCTATCCTGGCGTGGTCATGGCCGAGAGCAGAACAAGTCCGAGGCCGAGGCGAAATCGCCGAAGCGTGAAAAGGTCAGAGCCAACCAACATGGCGAATAAGCGACAGGACTCCACGTCCTGTGCAGAGGTGGTTACTCCTGATTGTATCGCTAATCTCTACGAGATCCCGCCCGCCGACAAGGCACACCCCAACAACTCGTTTGGACTTTACGAGAGAGAATGCTGGTACCAAGATGAAGACCTCGATCTCTTCTTCAGCAACTACGCACCAGATATCCCTGTGGGCACTCGACCGCTGAATCTGAGTATCGACCTGGCCGTCTGGCATTACAACGAGAGCGACACGAGCATTAGTATCCCGTCTGAAGCCGACCTGGACACAGAGGTGGCTTATCCGATCGTATACCCACAGAATATCACTGTATATCAGGTTGATGATGAGTACTACCACTTGTACCAAGTACAATATACCGGCTTGTTCAACACTTTCCTGGATGCCATTGATGGCGTAAGTGACTTGGACAATGGCAACCCATTCTCGCAAGGCTAATACATTCTCTTCTACAGTCGTACTGCAACTACTCGGCGTACAACGAGACGGGCGATGATCCGACTGTAAGTACTGAGCACATTGATCATGAGCGCGAATGAAGATCAGAAGAGCTGACTCGACACTTTCAATTGCAGTATGACGCTGTATACCCCGATACCCATACCGTCGTGACCCCGACCAACCCTGAGCCATTTGACCCGGGTACCTACAAGGGCGAACGGATGTGCGGTGTATACAAGCCCACCAATGTCATCTCCATGTCCTGGGGCAAGGCAGAAAGGAGCTTCAGTGTCAATTATCAGATGCGCCAGTGTGATGAGTAGGTTTACACTTCCAAGCAACAGCCGACGAAATGCGGGAACTTTGTTGTTTACTCGATGATATTCACAGGTTCATGAAGCTCGGCCTTCAGGGAGTCACTGTTGTCGCTTCTTCGGGAGACAGCGGCCCCATTGCGAGTTTGCAGTGTGCCACTCTTGATCTTGGTACCTTTTGGGCATCAAGTCCCGGCAAGTGAGTAAATCTGTTCCAGGTCGGCGTCATCAACGCGAACGACTGATCCCCCTTTCCCTGCGCAGCTGTCCATATGTCACCTCGGTGGGAGCCACCATGCTGCAAGCAGACGGCAGCGAGAGAGTAGCCAGGGACGACACGTGGGCCTCGTCCGGCGGCTTCTCCCGGTACTATACCGCGCCGGCATATCAGCAGTCTGCGCTCGCCACCTACTTTGCTGACCACGACCCGGGCTTTGGCGACTCCTACTTCAACCGTTCTGGCCGCGGGATCCCGGACATTTCTGCCGTGGGCTACAACATTGCCGTGGCCGTGGCCGGAGAGCTCGGCACCGCGGACGGGACGTCGGCGTCCACGCCGCTCGTGGGCGCCATGATCAACCGCGTCAACGAGGAGAGGCTCGCCATTGGCAAGGGCCCCGTGGGTTTCATCAATCCGGTTCTCTACGCCAACCCGACCATCTTCAATGACATCACCATAGGCAACAACTCGGCGTGCCGGGTGACCGGGTTCCAGGCGGTTGAAGGCTGGGATCCCACGACCGGCTTGGGCACTGTGCAATATCCCAAGCTGTTGGAAATCTTCATGGATCTGCCGTAGCTTGATGATTAGAAAATTGTTGCCGGTAGCATAGAAGTTCACGGTAATTTTCCATCTGTCAAGAAACACCAGACAAATTTGGTAGTTTTACAAGATGGGTATTCGATTTTGAGGATTCTTCTCGACTTTATTTCTATGAATTGAACCCTTATCCTTGTGTACAAATGAAACAAGGTTGCGCTAACGCCAACGCCATGCCAATACTTTTTTTTCCCTCTCCCTTCGTTCTCAAGGTGAATATTGCCCAAATCATCCGATATTGAATTCGCTGGAAGCACTCATTACAGCCTTCATCTTCATGCGCATACGCTTGGCGGCATCCTCGTCAGCCTCGCCCAGTGCGTCTTCCTTGTCGGCGCCTCTGCTCTTTGACGAGCTACCATTCTCATCACCCGCCTTTCTCTTTCCAGACTTTGGCTGCTGTCCGGTCTTGATGACACGTCTAGTAGAGGGACCTCCACCAATGCCACCGGGAGCCTCGCGTAAACCGAAACTCTTTGCTGTGTGGCCGAGGTGCAGCTGCGAAATGTCAAAGAAGACACGTTCGTCCTTGACGTGTGTCGCGTAAGCCCTGATGTGGGACCGGAAACCCTGTCGCGCAGAATCGAGAAGTTTGCTGCAATTCTTCTCTGCCTCGAGTAATCTCTGCTCAAGATGCAGCTGCAGAGCTTCAGCACGCTTGAACGGAGACTTTTCACTTTCGAGAACAGGCGCGGGGTCGTCCGTAGCCGAGGTTTTTGGCAGCGTGATTGGTGTAATGAATGCCTTTGCAATGATATCGTCTGAGGATTGGCCGGTAATGTTGGGTGCCTGAAGATGAGGTATGTAGCCCTCTTCACAACCGGGTTGTAGGAAAAGAACGGCTTTTCCAGTTCGACCAGCACGTGCTGTTCGTCCCATTCGGTGAACATGATCAGCGACAGCGAATGCAGGGTCATACTCAACGACCAAATCCACTGCTGGGACATCCAGACCTCGAGATGAGATATCGGTTGTGATCAGGACGCACGGATCTTGTTCTGCCTTGAATGCCGCCAAAGTTGCCGTGCGAACGGGTTGTTTGAGGGATCCGTGTAGCTTGAACAACGAAATCCTCGGGTTCGGAGTCGATGTAATGTAAGCAGCTTCAGCGACTGTGTTTGCTGTGAGTGATCCATCCTCAGTCAATGGAGATGATGGAATGGACCGAAGGAGCTCAAAGTGGAAGTCCACTGAGTCTGCGCAAGAAATGAAGACAATGGCCTTCATTACTGAGCCTTTCCTTGCAAAGGTAGACTTGAGCAGTGCCATCAAGGTGACAAGTCTCAACTTTGCAGCGGCAATTACATACGATTGCTTGAGTTGAGCGGGGGCCGAGAAGACTGAGTCGTTCATCTCAACATCTCCAGCCGAGTCCGATTTCGTTGCAGTAATATGCACTGCATCCTGCAGGGAAATCTCACCGAGCTTCTGAACATTCATCTTCATTGTTGCCGAACACAGGACAGTCACACGCCTCTGCGGCAGTTTGTCCAGTTTGACGCCCTCTTCATTTTGCTTCTTCAGGTCCTCTTGCCTAATCTTGCCCACGATGGTCTTCAATTCGTCCTCGAAACCCATCTCCATCAGTCGATCGCCTTCATCGAGTACGAGCCACCGCACTGTTCCCACGTCGAGAACCTTTGTATGATCTAAATGATCCGACAGACGACCAGGAGTTGCGATAAGGATATTGACGCCCTTCCTGATGCGTGCTTTTTCCGACTTTTTGCTCTCACCACCGATGACCGTTGTGCTTACGATCCAAGGGGCGCACCGTAGGAGCTTCTCCAAGACCGTAGCAATCTGCTTACACAACTCTCTAGTCGGTGCCAAAACAATGGCAAAGAGGCCGGAGTTGCGATGTATCTTGGTGCCCGTGCTTGTACCATCTTGGTCGTGGCTGAGGGCCATTATGCGTTGTACAATGGGCAGGAGGTACGCCAGTGTTTTTCCGGAACCGGTCTCGGCCTGCAGGAAAGCATCACTATCATCGTTGATCAACGGAGGTATCGTGTTTTTCTGAATAGATGTCGGTGCCTTCATCTCCAGCTTGGTCGAAAGGTGCTGAGCAATACGCCTCGAGAGGCCCAAGGCGTGGAAGTTCTCTGCCTCATCTGACAGAGGCGCATTCGTAGGCTTTGCTGGCTCGACTTCCTCCGCGGGAACTTCGAAGACGGTCTTCTGTTCTGGATTTGAAGAGAACAATCTCGATGTGACTTGACCCGACTTCATCAATTGGTTGTTGCCCTGCCTCGCACCACCACCAGAGCTGGGCTTTGCGCCGGCTCCTGGTCGGCCTGCCGGGGGGTTTGATCTCCATTGTGGTCCAGCTTCATTGTCTCCAGCTCGATCGCCGAAAGTCCTCTGTCGTTTCGTGGGTCTGTCGCCGTCGTCGTTGTCGTTTCGACCGAAATCGCGAGCCTTTTCCACTGGAGTTCCATTGGCGCCATCCCAAGCCTTGTCGCTGCCACCTCTTTTTGCGCTGCGCTGAGCATGAACTCGATCTCTCCAGCGACCGCCTGCAAACTTGACCTTTGGCTTCACAGGGGCAGCTCCTGTGCCAAGGTCAAAATTCAGGATCATGCCACTGTCGGCCATCTTGTCGTCGTCTTTGGTGGTATGCTGGACAGAATGATGTCCAGTCGCATTTTTTGACCGGCAAAATTCTATGAAATTTTGGCGGTCAAAGGCGCTAATCAGTGGGGCTACATCAAATATGGGTACGCTGTTGGCGGGGTCCGTGAAAGTACAGCACCAACTGCGCAATAAGGGTGTGTGTACTTCGTAAGGTAGTAGGTATGTACTTGGTGCACATGTGCATTCCAGCTCTTGCCCGGTACTTTGTGGGATCAATTTGAAAGGTAATATTTATAAATATGTGAGTATCGCAAATTGAACATAGCTGACCCAACCATCCCGAATAGAATAGACCCAGGCCTTTGAAAACAGTGCACAACCTGGGTAAGCACAACTTACGTGATGATCCTTGTGTGTTGTGCAGTGCATAGTACTGAATCAGTACTACTAATCCCCAGTGCCAAATGTTCAAAAGTTTCATTCAATTTTAGTCTCTGTGATCCGCTTGGTACTCCGGTCGTCAATATAGTCACTATAAATCACCAACTTGGCGTTCTCCAAGAACAATATCCGATTACTTGACAAATCACGTAACCTTGATCCATGTGGTGCCATATATGGTGTTTGACAAGATGTGGACCAGGCCATCACCCAATATTTTCGACAAGGGGTTTACAACCATCAAAAAGACGTGATAATAAACGATGCTAACGACACTGCTATATCTGTAATGTGTTCGCCCATTGAACAGAGTTCCCCGCATCAGCAGCCATTTATGATTGGCGATAACTATCGACCAGCAATGTCACCCGCCAATCTTGATAGCCTGTCGCCAATGTTAAAACTTCGAGAGAGAGAAACAATAAATTCATTTCCACTTAATCATGCATCACAACGTGCCGCCGCTTTGCATAGACTGCCCCTTGCGCCTAGATACTGGAGCTATGCCCGACAGAGCCTTGTAAACAAGTCCAAGTCGCTTCTGCCTCCAGATATTCCCCAGCTTGGCGTAATCGATGACTCATCCGGCATCTTTGACAATGACTATGCGCTTCTGTCAATAGACGGAACAAGGACATATATACACTGGCTTGGCGCAGTTTTCATGCCATTCTGATGAACTGTTTGAGCATTCCGCCACTCACATGATTCTTCAGCCTGTCCGACTCGGAAGAAACTCATCTCGGTGCCAGAATCAGCATCAGGAAGGCACCAGATTGGCACCCCATTCGCCATGACGGTCGTGGATAGGGTATGCGATGCCGCGGTGCGCAATCATGCACTTCTCGCAATCCTATCCGAAACAGAAAATGCAGTAGAGAGTCTGTCACGACAAAAGACTCGTGTCGCTGAGCTAGACACGAGTCTATCGAAATTACGCCAAGACATCCAGCACCTCGACGAGAAGCGCAAATCGGACCTGAAGAGGCACAAGTCATACCGCGACAGCGTTGTCAAGAAATTGGCGTACCGCCTCAGTGGCCAGAGCGATGAGTTTTCACTTCGCAAGGAAAAGGAGGAAAGCGAGTATTTGCAGGCACTACAAAAGGAGCGCCTCGCCAAGGAAGAAGAGAGCAGGCTTTTGGTAGAGAGACAAGAGGCTCTACAGGTGCAGCAATCACTTCAAGATGTAGTTGAACGGCGCAAAGAAGCTCAGAATGAAATTGAGATGCTCTACGACAGCATTTTTAGTGGGCCAACCCCAGAGTTCCCAGAAGGTGAGTGGTTTATTAGTATTCGAGTTTATTCTACCCCTTATATAATTTTGTTTAAAGAAAGTGTATGGGGTTTGAAGAAGAAGAAAAAGACTTTCACGGTTTTCAATGATTCGATCCCCTTTTTCAATTCGTAGACGAAAAATAAAAAAGCTAATATGGTTCAATTCAAGAGGATGAACTAGAGTCCAAGGCTGCAATAGCATTAAATGTATATCACTGCGCAGCAGTCAAGGATGAGTCGAACCGAAAGATTGTCAGGATTCTCACAGAAGCACGACAATTAGCAACCAAGGGTGTCGCCGATATCGTTGCAGCTCTGGAAGGTGGTCAAATGGCCTCGACCGCCTCCGTGAGGAGAAGATTGGGCAATGCTGACCAGGCGTTGAAGAAGATGCAAAGCCTAGTCAGAGGATTGTCTCCGTACGTACCCCAGATCTGCGCAACGAAGAAGAGGGAAGACAGGAAGCTAACATTTTTTTTTTGCCGTCCAAAAGTGCTTTCCAAACATTACCAGCCGTGAACATCCGCCTTCAGCTGATTGATGACAGAGTATCTGACAATCCATGGAGCATGACGGTCTTTCGGGACAAGATACGCGATTGGAGAGCTGAAGCCCAAGCTTGTGTAGATGAGCTCGACAAACACTTGAGCACGGCAAGGTCCAAAAGCGATCAGAGCCACCAAAGTATGATTGCCAAGTCGCAGGATCTGGTCGAAGCTAGAACAACCCTACAGTCATGCCGGACTGAGATTTTTGCCATTATTGAATCGGCCGAGGATCATGCAAGGGAGGGCGAAAGCCCACCACCTTACTGATGATATTGTATTACGAAACTTTTTCATTCGCGCCGGCGTTCAGCCTGGAGGACCATGTCAGATTATGGTATCTGAGAAGCGGCGGTCTTTGTGCCCGGAATATTCAGCTGCCATGATTGGATGACGATGGAGCTGGCCGACGCTCAACAACATGATGCAAGTCGAACGGAGGAACGGCTCTAATGTACCGCATTGGTGGCAACTGAAATGCGCAATTGGTTTCATGGGTCACGGATTTGGTAACTCGTTCAGCTCACCAGCAGCAGCCATGTAGTCTATGCGGTATGTACAACGGGTTTATACTTGGGATCTGACTGCTTCGCCGGAGCTTTGATAGGATACTGCGTCCGTCCGTGAACGATCATGACCATTGTCACACTTACACATGTTTTTTCTAGAAAGAAGAAAAAGAGGCCCGGGCAGCCATCAGCCTGGATAACTCTCTGCAGCCCATCTATACGACGTGCACACATCTGCATATACCAGCCCGGCGGTTGGGCAATAAATGGGCATAGAGAAAGGCCCGAGTGGAGCCGATATGCACGACAGCGACCGGATCTGTGGCTATTGTGCGCCGCCGGAAGAGATCCCTGCCCCGGTTCTGCCAGTCATACAGAAAGAGAGTCACTTTTGTGGTCATACCTTACTGCCCACACCCGTTCCCGCTTTGACGAAACATCGGGCGCACAGATCTCTCGACGTCTGTGTCAATGGCGTTGGGAGACTGAATAGTCTCGCACACCCGGTGCCCATGTCTGAACTATGGTTCTTTTGGGCAATCTTTTCATATCGCGGGGTAGGACTATGACCTTCACCACGTGTTTTCGTTTTTTTAAACTACGAATTGCACTACCAACAAGAAAAAGATCCTGACACAGATCACGACTGTGCATCAGAGCGCATCCACAGTGAGTAGGCCCAGGCTGAATATGGGGCGAGGAAAGAGACGGCCATGTGTTTTCATTACGTTGTCGCATGTCATTGTTATTCCCGGAAGAATGTTTTGTGTGCACGGGGAGCAGCGACGGTTGGGATGACAGCCCGGAACGTCTACTTCTTTCGATGATTCTGTCTCACTTTTTTTTGCAAGTTTTGAATCTCGAGTCTTGGCCAAAGCAGAGCAATTTCCAGTAGTATTTCGCTTATGGGCGGGTTGCGTTGGTGTTGTTGATGCTGCCGTTGGTGTGGTAAGCTCTGTCAATCATTACTCGATGCGCCTTAGTCCTAGAAGAACTCGAAACTACACAGTAGCAACATGTCTTCCCGATTGCATCGTTGGAATTTGCAAAGCACAATCGTCTAGTGTGAGAAAAGGGGAATAATAGCACAATATGAATGCCGGACAAGGCTAGGTCAGTAATGATGTAGCGTTGCGACGAATTGAAGCAAATCCCATGTTGAAGGACTTTATTAGAGTTGCATTCTTGGCATCTGGGTTCCCCCCCATGTCGAGCCTCTAGCCAGGGGCCATACCCCCTTCTAGAGCCTTTCGGTTCGTTTCACGTTTGAGAGATTTTTTTTAGGCCTGAACCGCGATATGCCTCCCGCTGTGGGCTTGATTTTCGATCGCTCTTCTTGGGATGGCAGCACTCAGCGCCATCAATTGACTGATCAACGATGGGCACCTTGGTGCGATCTCTGCAGCACGGTCAAATGGGCGATCCGTGGGCCTTGCTTGCGTCTGGTATGGAGTAGTGTACATACGTCCTTTGAAATTTGTACTATACAACCCTGGTTGACCAGCCTTTTGGCGGCTACAAGGTATTCCATGGACGCGTCAGAAGGAATCTTCTGTTTAAGTGACTGTGGGAAAGGAGTTTTGAATGAGCGGGGAAAATTTGTAGATGCTTGACGATATCTAATTTCTAGTTTGGATCCTCGTATTACTTATGGTGTAATCGGAGGGACTACAACTCAAATACGACAGCAATTGATGACCTTTCAACTCTTTTTCTTTTTTCATGAAAGTATTGCTTCTTTTTCAATATTCTGACTTGTGGGCACACATGTATGACAGAATACTCGCAGAAGCAATTTCTGTTTGTGCTGCTGCATCTTGGGTCGATTGGCATCCCAGAGTCCAGACCGGGGAGTAACTGCCAATGTTGTATTACACAGTACATCCTAGTTTAGCGAGTGGCACTCGATAGTAGGGGTTCGTGCACAAGAAACACGAAATTTCCATTGGCCAGGTTTTGGGTTGGGACCTTGGGGAAGATCCACACAAGTCCTACTTTATAGTTGAGAAGCTTGAGAGCGCACTGGGATGCCCGACTGGGATTCCATATAGGCGAAGGACGCCCATTGGGTCGTATACTCAGCACAGACCTGTCAACGAACTTGGCATGCCGCGATGCTACAGCAAACCCTCTGTCTTGTCTGTGGATCCAAATGCCGGCTAACGTGATGCCCAGGAAAGAAGGAAAAAAAGCGCCTGCAGCGTGGCGTCCGGCCCGTGGGTTTGTTTCATAGCTCGCTCGTCTCGGTTGATGAAGTGTGTGCTGCGGCAGAGGAGACTTGCGCAATCAACAAGGCCTGGGGCCCATCTTGTCCAACCCAACCCCCATGTAGGGGCAGGTACTGTACTGTGCTGTGCTACGCTTTTTCCCACTTCCAGGGCGGCACTCTCTGCCGTTTGTGCTTGCTCGCTTGCTTGCTTGCTGCTCAACGGCCCAGGTGAAAAGCACGGTGCTCTTTGCGGTATACGCCAGTGACTCTCTTCGCGGGCAACCGTGCAGAAAACAGACCATGTTCTCTCGGGAGCTTCTGCTGCAATGGGCAATACGTCCTGGGCCTCCATACTGAGAGGTGCCAAGATGGCTCGTATCGTTCGAGGAAACAGGGCAAGTTTATAAACACACTGGCCCTCCCCACATATGGCCTCTTGAGGCTCTCCTAGCTGGTCGACCACGTCCATCACTTCCATTCACATCTACTCGCTGCCGCGGCTCGACGTCGCCTGGAGAAAGCTTTTTTTTGAGTCGAACATTTTAGACGAAGAATAATGGCGGCCACGTCTGGGTACGATGAGAATGAGTTGCTGTGGGATATTCTGGGACCGCCGGATTATAATAATCTCGATGAACCAACGCCATGGTCCAATAAGAAGTCGAACGTAATGGGGTTGACGATCACGTTCATGGTAAGCATATCACCACCATTTAGGAAACTCCCTTGTTCTCATACTAATAACTTCTTCATTGGCATAGATTCTCTCATGGTCGTTCGTCTGCTTCAGATTGTTTGTGCGGTTCAGAGTTGTACGATCTCCCTGGTGGGACGATCTCTTTGTAGTACTATATCTAATCACTGGAACATGCGGCTCAATTGCGCTGCTGTTGTGTAAGTCGACTGAGCCCTCGGTGAAACGTGGGATATCTAATGAGACGCAGCACTATCATTCGGAGCTGGTCAACATACGCTCTTGTTGACGGTGGGACAAGCGGGACGATACCTGGTAGCCTTCTACATGTTCAATGCTTGCTTGAACATGGCCGCCACGTTTATCAAACTCTCGCTCCTCTTTCAGTATCTACGCATCTTCGAAAAAGGCTCCTGGCCACACCGGGCGTCTCTCTTCACCATCGGCTTGGTCACCATGTGGGGGCTCGCGTACACGATCTTGGCCCTCTTTCCGTGCTGGCCAGTCTCTGACTTTTGGTACTCTCCGGCCGGCGCCAAATGCTGGGGTTACGGGGCGTGGTCCACGGCTGAGCTTACCGGCACCTTTTACAGCCATACTGCCATGAACATGATCCTCGATATCATTATTCTCGCCATCCCCTTCCACCTCTACTTCAAGACGGACATGACTTTTAAGATGCGCATGGGACTTTTGGCTCTGCTTCTCATGGGTGCCTTGTACGTTGATTTTGCCACGGAATTCTGACTATATAACATGACTAACGTTGCCTTTTCCAGGGTCAACTTCCTTTCGATCTGGCGACTGCAAACTCTTGTTGAACATCAGGCAGGACGCTACCCAACCCACGACCCATCATGGTACGGACCAATCTCGCTGATCCTAGCAACGCTCGAGTGCGACTGTGCGAGCATCTGCGCCTCGGTGCCCATCTTCTGGCCGGTGCTATCGCCATACCTGGGCGCCATCTTTGTGACGCAGGAAGTCAGCGTCGAGCACGAGTACCGCGACGCGGAGGACGCCGAGTCGGGCCACAAAGCCCGCAGCCCCAGCACCAGTGCCAACAGCTTCAAGAGCCTGCCCCTCGGCCGCCCCTCGAGCCAGACCGAGCTCAAGCAGCTAGAGGTCACAACTAGCACCAATGCCATGCATTACTTTTACGATGACTCGGGGTCGACGCCCCTCGAGAGGTCGCAGTCGCAGCAGCCCGGTACTCAGACGCGCGTCAGGAGCGATAGTGTCAGGGATAAGAAGAGGGGGTGGGTGCAAATCTGAGGAAAGAAGGCCCATATGGCTAAGCATACCTTTGGTGTTTAGGCGATCTTTCTTGTTTTTTTTATTCCTCGTGGGCAATTGGCGCCTTATGCAGTCGAGAGAAATTGTATCAAAGATTTACCTCAGTCATTACAGATACCCATGATCAAACTTTTCTTTCTCAAAATCTTTTCCCCATTCAAGACAAATGGCAGATTTTTGTATTATGTAATCTATAGTAACTTAGATTGTGGAGAACAGAGATCGGGTGCTTTTCTTTTTACATTGTTTACAGACCATGAACTGGTCAACCTTGACGCCATGTCCTACAGGCATAGATCTGTACCACCTGCAAAAGCCTGTTGAGCTGGGACTTGATGGCGAAACTCTCCGTATTGACGCTCTTCGTAAACGAAAGCATAGGCGAGCACTGTACACCGACGCACGTAATCACCAGGACTTCTCTATTTTCAGTCAATAATATAGATAATGTACCGCAATGTTGTAGTTTGTGACGGAATGCCCGAAAAGAGCACAACATAAGTACGTAAATAGATTATTCTCAGTAACACCAACGAATGGTGAGATATTTTCACGATTCTCCCCAGGAATGGACCGGTTGGTGTGCTGCCATAAACAGGAATAGAAAACCCAGGTGGGGAGCAGCTGGGTTGCTGACCGTACAATCTATACTGAAAATGACGCGATTGGGTTTATCAAGTCGGAATCGATTCCGAAGCCGGCCTATCTATGTTCGGAGTATTACTTGACATGAGTTCCTAGATTCGATCCCTTTTCACGTTGGTTATAATCTGCATTCACTCAAGCGCCCTTCTTTTCTCTTCAACTCGGGGGATTTTTTTTTTTATTTTACAAATTGTCAAATTGTCCGTCACGTCCAGCCATGACAGCCATTTCCAGTCTACTCGAGGCCCGCTACGGGTCTCCATCGGAGAACGGCACGGGATCAGCATCAGCCAACCCCACCCTGGAGACGCTGCTGCAACACCGCTCCGTGCGGAACTTTCTGCCTCAGAGCTTGGCCCCGGGGACGCTGGAGGTGCTGGTGGCGGCGGGCCAGAGCGCGGCCACGTCATCCAACCTGCAGACCTGGAGCGTCGTGGCCGTCCAAGACGCGGAGCGCAAGGCTCAAGCCGCGACACTGAGCGCCGATCAGGAGTTTATCCGGGCGGCGCCGCTATTTCTCGTCTTTTGCGCAGACCTCGGCCGGCTGACGCGCGTATCGGAGCGCCACGGCCACGCTGGCACCGGCCTCGAGTACACGGAGATGTTCCTCATGGCGTCCATTGACGCGGCGCTGGCCGCGCAAAACGTGAGCGTCGCCGCCGAGTCCCTCGGCCTGGGCATCTGCTACGTCGGAGCCGTGCGCAACCAGCCCCGGGCCATGGCCGATCTGCTGGGGCTGCCGGGCCGTGTCATTGCTCTCTTTGGGCTGTCCGTGGGCGTCCCGGACCCAGCGAACCCGGCTTCGGTCAAGCCGCGGCTCCCCGTTGCCGAGGTCTTGCATCGCGAAACATGGGTCGCCGATCGGGAGAAGCAGGATGCGCAAATTACTCATTATGATGACGCCATCGCGTCTTTCAATGCTGGTCAAAAGCGAGAAGGCATACCAGCTTGGAGCGAGCGCAGCGCCAAGAGGGTTGCGACTGTCGAGTCACTGAGTGGGCGGCATGTGTGGAACGACGTCCTCAAGGAGCGCGGATTCGATCTCAAGTGAGATTGGGCGATGGGGCATTATCATTGTATTGAGGGAATATCCATAGCCAGTTGTATTTGTTTCATCGTGTTTGCTTCCAAAAGGTGCCATGAGATAGACTTTACACCATCGGTCATGCAGAAAGCTTTCATTTCGAGTAGAGAAATTTGATAAACTTTTTTTCATCTTACGCCAACGAACCTGTGTGAAAAAAATACAGTATGGATTATGTGAGCTGACAAATACTGTCTTTCCAGGGTCAACCTCTTCTCGATCTGGTGACAGCAAACAATCGTCCAGACAGACGCTATTCCACTTGCTTATGATACTTTTTGGAATGGTTCATTATCGTTCATTATGGTGACGTTCGAGCGTAATTGTGCCAAGAAGAATTATTTGCACCAATATCCCTTCTAGCAAGTAATTTGGCTCAGGGCTTTCACATGATATTCCAGCGTCAGACATATTCATTCTAGCAAGTATGTTTTCAAAAATAGACTTGAAGCGCTCGAAAAGCTTTTATTGAAAATGGAAAGTCCTGATGCTTTCAGAAATGCTATGGATTCGCTTATGTAAAGTCCAATCTGTTGTTGTGATGACATGGCAAAATCTCTGGAGGATAACTCGCAAGAAAGGGATGAATCCAAGACCACTCCAATAACTACATTAGTGCTCATCCTTGATTGTGGGACTCTCTGCCTCCTCTCTCTCTGGCTTAGTCTTTACAGGTTCGCCTCCCAAGACCCGACCACTGCCATGATGCCATTTTCTCGGTTGTTCATCGTAATCGCCATCAAAACTGGGAGATCTGCTCTGGGAAGATCTACCGTATCGATCATTGTGGGCGCCACGTCTCCAAGGGCCAGTCTCCTGGCATTCATCTGGCAATATTCCTTCGTCTCCGGTCGGGAAAAGCTTTGCCCTCTCGCGCTGCTGTCGCAGTCTGCGCTCAATCTTGTCGTCCTCGATTCTCTTCAGCGTGCGTTCTCTGACTGCCTCTGCCTCGCGCTTCTGCTTCTTGACTTGGGCCAGATACTTTTCGCGTTCAGCAATCTCACGCTCCTTCTGAGCCTTGGCGATGTCCTCTGTAGTCGGTTCATTGGCCTTGGTGAATCGAGGAACGACCTTCTCCGGCTCAGCAGAGAGGGTCAAGGTTTGCGTCTCCATCTCCATCCCCTTGTAGAAAACGCCGAGGCTTGCAAGAAAGTCGGAGAACTGCTGGATTCGAGCTCCGTCGCCAGGCTCATGATCAACCTTGGTCCCGCCGTGAATGAATTTGTGGGGGGTATTCAGAATCAGGTTGTCCTTGATGGTCTTATCGTTTGGCCACTTGGAGACCAGCAGAGAGGTGCGCTGATCTTGGCTTCCTTCATCGTCGATGGCATGCATGCCAACAAAGCCGGCAAGCTTGAAATCGGATGCTCCAGTCCAATTACCGGGAAAGGTTTGGCGGATAAAAGCTTCTGTAGCCGCGGCGTCGTTCCTGGCTGCAAAAGGGATCTCTGGGAAGCGATTGATTGCAGCATGAGCAGCTACTGCAGTTTCCCCCTGGCCACCAATAATGACCTTGTCCAGAGCGCCAACGTAGCGTGCCTCGTGCAGGATAATCTGGGTGATGTAGGGAACTCCATTGTCTAGTAGCCCAAGTTTAGCTACATCAGAGGGACTCAAGTCCTCATAGTAACGGGGCTGACCCTTCTGCGTCTTGGAGTGCAGCTTTGGGTGTGGGAAAACCCATCGGACGGTGGGAAACTTGTCGTGTAGGGTCATGAACCATCCGGGCTTCTTGCTTGAAAGAACCTTGGTAGAGAGGTCCTCATCTCTGGTGTCCACGGGGTATCTGTGCAGGAAGATAACTGTATGGGTGTGCCCAGCCTTGGGTTCGATGACCAAAGGCTTCTCGAGATTCTCGCGAAGCGACATTGGGCAGTACCGGCTCTGTGAGCGTGTCTCTCTCTGGAGATGGTGATGATTGTGAGAATAGAGTAGCACTTTTCCTCAACAAATAAATGAGTAGAAAGCGAGGTTGACTTGTTGTAGGGCTAGCGCTGTGTGATTGAAAGTGCGCAATAATCAAACGGGTCGACTGCAAGATCTGTCTCAAAAAAGGAAAGCCTGTTCATTGAATAAAGAGAAATTTGTGGAAGGGACAGGAAGCTCGCTCAGTGACTATGCTCAAGAACTATGTATGCTCCATAGCTTCAGCATCCAATAACTAAGGTGTTCCCACAAGGCTACAAGTCGGAGACTGCAATATAAGGTTTAACTATGAAATGCTCTCCTCGATATGACCGCTTCAAATTTCTATAGAACAATGGCCGTCAACTGACAGTGCCATGCTTATTAGATGATAGACTTTAGCGGAACTACAGAGACTTCTGTCACTTTGTGTAACAGTATCATCTGCACAATAGTATACGATGAATACCTGGTGCCGTTCTCCCATACTAGATTTGGCTGCCAAGGCCGACAGTCCTGTCCCCCGAATTTGAAGATGCTCACGGTCATATATTGTTACGGAGCCTGAACATTCCCGTTAGGTCGAGTGAGTCTGTTGATCATTTTGTGAATCATCAATTGAGGAGAGGCAGAGTTCAACAGTGGATTAGGCGCATGCCAAAAGCCGTGGGTGTTTTGCGTGCAAACGGCGACCAGTGGGCCCTCCCCGGAAGTTGAGGCCGTCAATTAGTGGCGGGCTTCCGGCATTGAGGTGCATCAGATACTCTGTATGTATCGTTGGTGTTTGCCGTGCCTGAGGTAGACAGACTACCTACATATGTAGGTACTTATCTCGAAGCCTCAGATAAGTACATACCTAGACAGGTGCCTAAGATGATCCAGGCTTTTGAGATAAGGATCATACCTACATTTTAGCGCTTGATGGGGGGTTGAGAGACCCCTAACCAAATGGAGCCTCCTGCAGTGACGTCGCGCCGATAAGCTCAACGGACGCGCTTGTGACATGGATATTGTGCCTTTACCGTCCTTTTACTCCATGATGCATCACATCTTGTGGTGTATTGTACATGGATACACTCCCAGCGATGAGATGAACCAGGTGTAACTCCAGTGTCGTAATATTTGCCCTTGTCTTTATTAACCGCTTTGATCGGTTCTTCCTTTTACTGCGGCGTTGCTACCACAAGAGAACATCCCGCCCGCTAAGTGAAGGGCACTAGAAAAAAGTAACGAAACATCTGCATTCCTCGTCCAAGAGCAAATTCACGATGGGCGAGCTTCTAGATTATCTCATTCAAAATGAAAGCGACTTTCGCAAGTGAGTCCTTCTCTTACAGATCCGATTTCCTCTCAGTCCCCTGCCATGGCTGCTAATAATCCGCCCGCAGAGCTCGACTGCCCGCCCTCTACTCGGATTTCACACCCCAACGAACACTAAATCCCGATGGCTACGCCGCCAACGTTGCGGCGTGGAAGCGGGGGCTGTCGTCTGCGTTGCTATCAGGCCGTACGCCCTCGCGGTCGGCACAGCGCTCCCATTTCACACTTGAGCTGGACGACTCACTGCTCCGAGCCCTAGAAACTAAACAGCTAGGGCAGCCGCTCGCCCTTGGCGCCGTTCTTGCAGAGGCCGTGGCCAACGGGGAGATGCTCCCACGCAAGCAATTTATGAACAGTCGGGAAAGCATCTACTACAAGAGCTGGGGTTCCCTTGGCTGGAACGTGGCCAAATGGGGTCTGCGACAAGTAGGACTCGTTGGCGCGCCCGGCGCGGATGGCAAGATGCCCAAGGGTCAGTTCGTGGTGGTATCAAATCTGGAGAACGGAGCCAAGTCCTTTGACAAGGCGGCGTGCAATCGGTCGACTAGGTTTGAACGGACGTTTTCGAGGACACACTTCAAGAAGACCTTTGAGAGCGGGCTGCTAGATGGTCAGACATTGTCAGAGGCCGACTTTGAGGTCTTGATCAAGTTCCTCGTAAGGGACAAGGAAATTTTGGCAGCGGATGGCGACATTATCAAGATTCGTTCCTCGGAAACAGAGGATGCCACAATCACAGAAGAGGACCGCGCCATTGCAAATCTCAAGGAGCTCATTGAGGATCTGACGAAACAGGCCGAAATCCTGAATAAGAGAATTGAGGACCTCAATATTACTGCACACGAAGCCGTCAAAAAGAAGAACACAGTCTCGGCCCGGGCGGCTCTGAAGTCGCGGAAACTTGCCGAAACGAACCTGACAAGAAGATACGCAACACTGAACCAGCTCGAGGAGGTGTCTTCCAAGATCCAGGAAGCTTCCGACAATGTACAACTGGTCAAGGTCATGCAAACGAGCACCTCGGCGCTCAAGAGTCTCAACAAGCAAGTGGGTGGAGCCGACAAGGTTGATTCGGTATTCGACGCGCTACGCGAGCAAATGGGCGAAGTAGACGAGGTTGGCAATATCATTGCTGAAGCTGGCCCTGTTGCCACTGTGGACGAAGCAGAAGTGGACGAAGAGTTCGAGGCTATGCTGGCGGAAGAACGCAAAAAGGAGGAAGAGGCCGAGAAGAAGAGGAAGAAGGCCGAGGAGGACAAGCAAGCGGAAGAGACACGGAAACTATTGGCCCAGCTCGACAAGTTGGGCCCTGTTGGTGAACCAGCAGAGGCGGTCAAGATTGCTGAGAAAGATGCTGCTACTCCGGTGACGATGACAGCTTCGGAATTGGAGGACATGTCTATTGATGAGCAGCCTTCAAAGGTCCATGCGGAATGATTTGATATGTACACAATTAGAGGCACTGCTTTTTGGAGTTCTGGGAGCGCAGTCAATTCGTTTTTAGCATGTTTGTCGCGGAACGCATGAAGTCTTGACAGCCTAGTCATGGCTTTTAGAAGCACGCCAACAAGACACATTCATTGATGGCGCGGATTTTGGTTCATTATTCTTGCATTTGGCCGGGCCGTTGTGCTACCTATTGAAAGCTAATGTTTTTTCCACCTGGCCCTCTCTATTTGGCCGTACATCCTCATTTGTAGTAAGTTTCGGCCGGACGTTGCTTTGCGATGGTACAGGCACTTCTGATGGCATCTCCGCTGATTTAGAAGATGATGGCTGATTTGACTCTTCTGCCAATTTTCTGTCCGGTGTGCTCTTGGCAATGTTTTTCCTTGCATTGGCAATGAGGTCCTTGAATGACGAATCGTGCTTTGTTGACCAAGCCTGCTGGTCAAAGTCTTTATCTTTTATCTGGGCACCCAAACTAATGGACCGGGAAGACGTAGGAGCTCGGCTTCCGAGTGTGTTTTCCCAAGCGTTGAGATCTTGTAACAGCTCGGCTTTCCTCCGAGGCTGTAGTGCATCGCAGTTGGCGTTCCATATTGTGGTCCATTCACGATGTCTCTTTTCCAACATTTTGCGATCTCCCATGGTGGAAATTCCAAGTTCACCCAGCTTTTTTCGAAGCTGCGGCTCCTTGAGCATAGAGTAATTGATCGCTGGTAACCGGTCAGGGCGCTTCTTTGACGAAGCTTCTTGGATTATTGATGAATAGCCATTCATGAGAACCGAGTGATCTTTCGAGGTCGGCCGACGTTGGGATTCCGTTTGAGGCGACCCCGGGCACGAACTGTCGAGATGTCTATCGACTTGGGCCTCCTTCATCCGTGTCAGGCATATGGGGCACGCGACCAAGCCATCATCATACTCCTTCTCTTGCTGCTCTGAAGCGAATATTTCTGCTTCTTGCCTTGCCATCTCCGAAGTGGCTTGGGCGCCCCTCGTCGCACTCAATCTTGCTGAGCTCCGCAAGCGCTTCGGCTCCCTAGACTCTTCCTCCACAATACCATTGTCCAATCTTCGCTTGGGTATCTCTATACTCTCCACGACAGATACGGGTGGCTTGTTGGCAAAACCGATAACAGCTGGCCTGGCCTTGAAGAAAGAGCCAACCACCTCTTCCATGGACCAGTTGTTGCGCAACTTAATCTCTTGCTCATTTGCACGGCAGAGCGGGCACTTGCCGTCGTTGGACAGGGCGCGACGTATGCATCCCGAGCAAAAGGTGTGGCAGCAAGATGTGAGCATGGGTGTCTTGAAAAAGTCTTTGCAGACTTGGCACCGCAGTGCAGATTCGACGGCAGCGAGGCCTGGGATTGGAGTGGTTAACCAGTCGGTAGAGTCGGCGACTTCGATCGAGTCATGATCGTTCATTTTCGCTGAGCTGGGCAGTTTTGGGCGGGCGTATTGCCCAAGATGGAAGAGGTCTATGGCGGGCGCAATGTATGCGAGATTGGAGAGTTTGGGTTTGGTTCTTGACTAAATTAGACAAAGAAGGTTATAAAGCCACCCGTTGTTCCTTTCTTGAAGTGATGAGGGGACTCGTCTCGCAAGTCGTAGTCAGAATACAAAGGAAGTTCCGTCTTGCGCCAGGGCTTCTGTGAGATCATCACTTTGCAGGCACGCTTTGTCTTTGTCTGGTGCATTGGGACGCGACTGCCAATTAAACCGCGGGCGCACTTGCCCCACTATCTAATTGAATGTCTTTGCAGCGTCCGAACTTGTGTTGGCAAGGGGAACCGGCCAAAAACGTCCCTGCAGAATTGGGACATGCCGTTGCAACTTCCACCGCGCCCACGTGAGAACGCGAACCCCTGGTTGCTCGGGACGCGTTCTCTCTATCAAAAGCACGATTTGTACATGATACCGTCTGGAAGTAGTTGATCGACACTTTTTATTCATGAGACATCCGCCAACCTCTTCTGCCAGAATTGTTCAAGATGGATGACTATAGGAAATACTTGGCCCAGCAAATCCTAACGGAGGACAAGCTCGTTCGTCTGTCCCAACTGCACCTGAATACAATGTCGGCTAACGTTGTACATCCAGGTCACATATCGACTTTTGAGTCGCGCATTAAAAGTCCATGTCAACACTGCCAAAGAGTGAGTAAAAATAAATCGCCCAACTGGCAGCATACTGCTAACGAGTCTCAGAATGCTATATGAGTTTCACAAGTGGCAAAATGACAAGCGTCCAGACACCCTCCACGCAACTTATCTGGTGTACGGGACTCGAAAGAAGCAAGTCGAGGCAAATGGCGATGTAGAAATGACTGATTCTCAGTCTGAGAACGAGACTGATGTCTCTTCAAACACCATGACCCTGGTGCGGGAGGAGAAACTGCAAGGTAGGTCTTCCACGACTAGATGGACACTCGGAAGTAATCTTGACGATAAGAACAGAGGCTTTGCAGCAATATGAAGAAGTCACGTCCATACATGTATACAGTCTAGCCCCTCACCCCCTCAAGGACTTGCAATTATTGGTCGACACGGCTCAGACTGTAGCAAGAATGACGCTCGAGGAGGACTCGACTGGCTCGGGCAATGTTTACGGGATGATTGCCAATCCTGGTGTTCGGAAGAGAGAGCGCAAGGGCGGAATGCCCAAAGCAGCACCAGCTGTGCCAATTGTCAAGGCCGAGCCTAAAGCACAAGTCAAGCAAGAGTCCCAGCCCGCAGTCAAGGAAGAGCCCAAGACATTGAAGACAGCACCAACCAAGGAGATGAAGGGTCCTGTGGCTACTGCTGCGAAGAAAGCTGCGGCTGCTCCCGCTCTAAAGCGTCAGGGCTCCTCGGGGGGCATCGGTCAAATGTTTGCCAAGGCAGCGGCAAAGCCCAAGAAGCCTGCCCCTAGAACGACCTCGAATACACCATCGGTGATTGACACCCCCAGCCCGGCGCTATCTGACGAAGGTGAAGACGATTCTGAAATGCCCGACGTCAAGCCTGATCCAGTAGCCGCTCAAGCCAGAAAGAGCCGGCAGAATGAACTTCGGAAGATGATGGAAGAAAGCGACGAGGAGATTGAGCCTAAAGCCGAAACTCCGGCAGAAGAGCCCGAGGAGGAGGAGATGGAAGAGATACCGGCCGAGCCTGCGCCTAAAGCCGATGAGGGTCCGAGTGAAGTTGTCTCGAGCACGGGCAACGGCCGAAAGCGCGGCAAGAGGAGAGTCTCGAAAAAGGTTACGAAGATGGACGATCAAGGTTACCTGAGTAAGTTGGTGTATACCATGACATGCATTGTGGAAATCTCTAATCTAGTATTACAGTTACGTCTCAAGAGCTAGCTTGGGAGTCATTCTCAGAAGACGAGGCTCCCCCGCCACTCAAAACAAAAGTTGAAAAGACCGAGAAGCCTGCTCCTGCTGCAAAGGGCAAGAAAGGTGGCGCAAAGGGCCAGGGAAGTATCATGTCCTTCTTTGCCAAGAAATGAGTGTCACTCGGTTACAATGGTAATATAGCAATGCAACGGCTGTTGAGTTGACTATATCATGAGGGTTTATTCAGAGACAAGCCAAATCAGCTACATGGGTAACAAGGTTCCAAGGACATTTTGCGCGATTGTCTTGTCGTCATCAAGAGCAAGCTTAGATGTTGGATCAGCAATTTTGCCCCAACATAAATCAGATACACTTTACGTCTATGGTGTGGAGGATATGAAGATGGCACCTTGTAACGATGGCTGTAATGAGAAATCAGGCCTGTGTAAGGGACACATCCTGGTTTCTTCCTAACCACAGTGCTAAATTGATGACGAGTGCAATATGAATGCCCTTGATGATACATTTGACAGATCTGATAACAAAAAGGAAACGTGTTCAGAGAATGAGGCAAACCCTCGACGGAGCCGAAGTGCTAAAGTCCAAACCCCGAGGCGACTCGGGCGCACAAAAGCCGGCCCCGACTCTCCGACTGCCCGAGTCGCTGAATCAATGGGACCAACTCGGACATTTTTGGCAACACGAGCCAACTTTTTGGAGGCAATGAAGAAAAAGTAAGCGGAGCAATTTCAAGGCCGCCAGAATCGCTAACCCCCAGCTCTAGCGCAGATCAGAACGCGGTCCATTTTCGTAGAATTGCGCACGCGAGCTTATTCTCTGCGAGCTTATTTTCATGTAGGGTTTATTACTGCATCTACGCTCCTGGGCCTGGCACAGGCCATGCAGGACCGGGAAAACCAACTATGCAGTATCATAATGGAATATGTCATTCATTGCATTAGTTCTGTGTACAGAAGAGTGCTGACGGGAACGAGATGAGCGTTTTGGGGAAGCGTACAAGTGATGTGCAAATCTAGCACCGCCAGATCTAGTCAAGCGGGAACGACAAACCCGCAGGATAGCGGGCTTAATTGCACGCGACAGCTACAGATTACAGCTCTCCATAGCGCTGTCGAATTTCTCTTATGGTTTCGACAAGTTTCGTGACGGCTTATGATTTTGTGCGCTATCTACTATAGTGAGGTACCTACGCACTGGTCGCCGCGTGTCTGAAGCAAGCATGAGGGAATGTTCGAGACCTGTTATGGCACACTGGACGGTGATACTAACCAAGAGCTCAACCTGAAGAAAGACCCTTCAGGGCCCTGACTGAGGCCTTGTGAGGCGGTTTACTCATGTACGTATGCAAGTGCCCACTGAGCTGTGAGGACCGCACTGCCCACAGGCCATTTGGTGGGCATTTTCTTTTAACACTGTGGGACTCTCGATCGCCAAAGTGGTCAGATGCTCACTCCCAGTTTTCCACCACAGTGGCAGAGATTTTCATCCTTGCCCGCATGAATTTATCAGATTGCGATCTATCATTCTAAATGATTCGCGTATCCTATTCAGGGAAGTCATCCTGCTTTTTCTAATCATTACAGCTATGTTCATGCATATCAATCACGTTGGCGATGCATGTCAGCAGGTTTGCTTTTTATTTTGTAGCGATGGGCTCGGAGCCAATTGCACGTAAATTCTCTCATGCGCGTAATATGGTAAAGTAGCAAAGAAAAAAAAGTGGTGATGCTCATGATGATGCTCCATAGGTGTACATCACATCCACTCTCCAGGGAAAAAGTCACCGTGCTCGCCGCTGGGATCGCGATTCCGGCTTCAACCGAGCAGCTTCTGCAATTGGACGCCATCCCAAAGCCTGTCATTGCCAAGCACCTTGCCCGGGTTTCCCCACACGTCAGAGTTTACCTCCCAGCCGTTGTCTTCCAAATCCGAGGGAGGGAATTGGGGGATTTTGGGGATCTCGCTGAATAGAAATCACCGGTGATTAACAAGGCGTCCGAACATGCCGAGGGCTCCCTTTTCCCATGATTACGGTATTGACCCTCCAACCCTCTCAGACCTCCCACACTCCCAGAAGGGAAATGGAAATGTACTTCGTACATGCAGTACGCAATGCAGCCCTAGTCAGCTAGCCACTACAGGGCGTTCCTACATTACGGTATGACCTAGGTCATTCAGGCTGCCAGGCTGCCAGGCTGCCGCTGGTGCTACGACGCAAGAAAAAAGTGACGGGCAAATTTGGGGGCTGTTTTGTGTGCTCGTCATGGATTGAGGTAGCCAAAGGAGGGAGGGCTTAAGGTCAGAGAAGATGACCTTTGCCAAATGTAGCAGAGTCTACAGTAGCAGGAGGTATGTAGTCTTCCTAGTCATAGTACTACGTAGCCAGTCTCCGGCTACTGCAGTCTGCATGTGGTAGCCAGGGGACGCCGCCAGCGGCTGGTTGCTTTTGCTGAAAAATATGGAAGCTAGGGATCGTTCCGGGAGGTTTTTTGAATTTTAGTGTGATATGCAACGCTTCAAACGTTGTTTCACGCGTGTCAATGGAAAGAAGCCAGTGGCGGAGGTATGTATCCAACTCAGATTTGCAAGAGTAGAAACAGTCAAGGTGCATGAGATATATCAATGGTGTTGTTATTCTGGGAAGCACCTTGATGTGACCACTCTTTCTGTAGCTGCACGTCTCGGAGATCCAACCACGAGCCAGCATTTGCAAGATGAATGGTTTCGAGCAGGTCTGGAACAAAGAAACTATATCATATACACCTCCATACGCTACATTCTCGTTTGTTCTTCACCCGAGTCATACTCATATGCACGAAAGCTGAAAAGGGAAGACGGCACTAAGTGAAAGTTGCTGAAGTTGCCGCATCCACCCCGCTAAGTTGGAATCCAGGATGCAATGCCGGGCGCCCGGGGAATGCTCCAACCCTGTTTTTTTCAACGCCCGCACTGTCAGAGTAACAAGTGTTGTATTCATTGTTGTGTATTGGAAACTAGAGATGAACACGATACTTCATATAGCACAATCGTGGATTAGGGAAAATATTGTTTTGGATGATGACACGGTTGGCATTCAATCTTCACATGCCCATACTTGAGTAGCAGATATAGCTCTTGATACTCTGATACATACAAGCACATAGATGTCAATATATCTGATGGAATATCGTACAGGCATGTGTGCTGGGTTTCATCAGTGATTATCCCTCACTGTGCGATTTGCAAAATAATCAATTGGATGCGAAAGCAACTTGTCGAAAGCAACCACAAGGTTCAGCGTTGAAATCAATGGACCCCCACCGAAGCACCTGGAAGGAACCTCCACCACTAAATTCCAACTAAACAAGCTAGAGGCCAGGTTTAGCCACACACAGCCACTAAGAAGTCACCGAAGGCTACTGGATCTGACAGCGCTGGCAGCGACCCGCAGGACCCCTTGACGGGCGATTCGACAGGGGCTTGACCGGGCACGATAATTGTGAGGAAACTCGATCTCGGTGCTGGTGAATGGTGGATTTGGTGGTGTTGGACCAGTGGATGAACGGAATGATGCAGTGAGTGACTGGGAGGGAGACCGAATCCATCCCACACGCACGCGGGCTGGTGGTTTCCCATGTGCTCCAATATCATACATACCACACCAACACCCTCGATATTATTTTTCTTGTTCCCCCCCTTCCCGTTTTGATCATTCTGTTCTTTTCAACCAACAAACCACCAACTTTTTTTTTTCTTCATAAAGATCGCGCGTTTGTTTGACGGCTTGAGGAGGCTGTCAAATGAACCTGCAACGACTCTTCATACCCTCCCTCCGTGTAAGTCGTCATAGATACCCCATTTTATGAGAAGTACCAACCCTGGTCGCGTGTGCGCATCGCCAAAAGAGTTGAGTCACAAGAGCTCTTCAAGTCGCGCAGGCGAAACCGGCTACCAATAATTTGTCTCGCAACAAGTCGCGAGACGACAGCAAGCTTTCTTTACCATCTTTTATACATCCATGAAAAATTCATGTCTCATATAGTATTCGATTTACTGACTCATCTTTCTTTTCATTCTATAGTCTTCTTACCCACCTGGCGTCATCTAAATGCCATTCCATTCGACCCTGTATCAGAACGTCTTCCGTACAGGACTTAGCAAGACACTTGCCCACGGCTACGCACAATCTGTCGTAGCTGCGACACATCCCCATGTTCTAAACTCACAGAACCGCCCCTCGTGGGCCCGGCGCAGCAGTCATCGCGTCGGCAGGCTCTCGGGCCTGCAACTTCAGAGTGCTTTCCATGTCTCAACTTCAGCGTCCGCGGCTGCTCCCCAAGAGCACCGCCCAGAGAGGCGAGGCAGCTTTGGTAATCTAGACGCCTACTTTGAAGCTCTTCAAAAGAAGCAGGAGCAAGCCCAGGCTGCAGGCAATGAAGAGGCCGCAGCAGAAGTCGAGCAGGAATGGATGCAGTTTCAGTTCCCGAAGCCCATTGAGTGGAAGCCCACAGCCTCCTCCGTACTTCCTGAGTCGACAGCCGACGCCCTTTTGCCCATAGAAGCAGCTCAGGATGCCGCCGAGAACCAGCCTGTGCCTGTTGATGCCGACGTGGCCTTGGCTCACATCAACGCCGCATTGGAGAAGGAGATCGAAGTCCGAAGGTTACAAGAGGCTCTAGAGGAAGGTTCTCCGCTTCCATCAAGAGCACCTACTCCACCAGTCGAGATTGCCCAGTCAAGGTCCGGTACTCCAGAACGATCAGCCACCCCAGTCAGCGTTGCCCGAAGTGCATCTCCTCCGATCGACCCTCAATCTCAGACTTATGCCGATCATCTCACGAAGCTTTCCGAGGATGGTCGCCACGCAGAGATTCCCGCGGTCTTTGAGGCCATGCTTGTTGCTGACGTCAAGCCCATTGCCAAGGCTTACAATGCTTTGTTGACTGCAGCCATCCACATTCCCGTGGAGAAGGTTGAGGTTGTTTCCAAGGCGCTGGACGTGTATGCCGATATGATGAGGCGAAAGGTTCTCCCCAACAGCGACACCTATAACATCCTCGTAGATCTGCTTGCCAGCAGATGCCTGGAAGTTTCGAGCCTCAAGAAGGCCCTCGAGGACAAGTTGGCTCGGTTCGGTGGAATGGAGGAGCCTGGCAAGTTCATGTTTGCTTCATCGGAACTTGAATATGCTATTCTCTCCGAGGATGATCGTCTTGACTTGGCAGTCAGGCTGTTTGACTCCTCAGTCGAGTTCAGCAAAGCCAACTACTCGTCAGACACTTATCATCGACTGATCTCAGCCTGCGCTCAGGCTGGCCGTGTATCAGACATGCTGCGCCTATTTGATCACATGGAAATCAGCGGCGCTATTCCCTCGGCCGCCACCTTTCCTACCATGATCGCCGCTTTCGCCAAGGTCGGTGATCTTCCAAGTGCAGTAGAGTGCTACAATGAGTACAAGGAACTGGCTATCTCTCACGATAGTGGCAAATACACTCTCAACGACCGCCTTGATGCTCAGGTCTATGCTGCTGTCATCAACGCTTACGTCACATCGGACAAGTTTGATGGCGCTATGAGGTTCTACGAGAGAATCATGGCTAGCTATGGCGCAAAGTGTAGTGACATCAAGGACGTTCTGGTCGGTTCAGGCTTTGTGCGCGGTCTCACTCAACGTGCTGTGTACCGTGAAGCACTCCAGTGGGCACAAACCATTGACACAGACATCAGATTTGCGTCCATGGCCAGCATTGCAACCGCCGCCGCCGATTCTGGTGATAAGATGACGGCGGTGGCTGCTTTTGCCAACCTCCCTTCTGCATTCCGCGGAATTGCCACCCCAGCCATGGCACTGTTGGCACTCAGCGTTCGGGAAGGAGATGTTGCCGCTGCTTCTAGCTACTGGCGTGTCCTGAGCAACCCTGAAGTCGAGGTCACTGCCACTCTCATTGAGCCTGCCACCATGTATGCTATCGCCATGATTGGCTCCGGCCAAGTTCTGGAAGGATTGGTCGAGTCGGAGCGGATGTTCCAACGCATCCAGGCCACCGAGGCGCAGTCTCGCCCTCAGGTCACTGATGAGATCGAGGAGGCCTTGGACTTTGTGCAGAAGTTCATGTCCGCTCGCGGTGTCGTCGATCCTCGGGAGACGACTTCAGTTGCCAGTTATGCTCAGACCTACTCGCCATCTGCTTATGAGTCGACACCAACCGTTTCAAGTTACGAGGACAACTTCGACCCCTACGCCCACAGCACCGACTTCAAGGGTTCTTCCATCATCTCCGATGAGCTCGAAGGTGCCCACGGCCGCAAAGGGCCAAGATTCAACGACGCTCTTGCCCGGTTCCGCAATATGCGCCGTGCTGGTCGTCACCCACGATACATCACATATGCCAAGCTTATCTCTGCCGCTGCTCGCGAGAAGCGCATGGATCTGTGCCATGACATTCTTGCCATGGCTCGGACCGATGTTCCTCTCCTTCCGCAGTATGCAGTTGTCCGCTATGGCTGGTCCTCCATCTTGGACGCAATGGTTGGTGCTTGTTTGACTATTGGTGACCGCACCCTGGCTGAGCAGTACCACCTCGAGCTTCTCGAGATGGGAGCTGCTCCGTCTGCAAACACCTTTGGTCTTTACATCACAAGCCTGAAGGAGTCGACCAAGACATTTGATGAGGCTACTGAAGCCGTCAAGATTTTCCATCGCGCCAAGGCTGAGGGTGTTGAGCCATCTAGCTTCCTATACAATGCGCTCATTGGAAAGCTTGGCAAGGCTAGACGCATCGATGACTGTCTGTTCTACTTTGCTGAGATGCGCGCTCTCGGTATTAAGCCTACGAGTGTCACCTACGGCACTGTTGTCAATGCTCTCTGCCGTGTCAGTGATGAGAAGTTTGCCGAGGAGCTGTTTGATGAGATGGAGGCCATGCCGAACTACAAGGCTCGTCCCGCACCATACAATAGCATGATGCAGTTCTTCCTCTCAACAAAGCGTGACAAGAGCAAGGTCCTGTCCTACTACGAGAGGATGAAGGCCAAGGGCATTGCCCCCACCTCGCACACTTTCAAGCTGCTAGTAGATACGCACGCTACTCTTGAGCCTGTCAACATGACTGCCGCTGAGGCTGTCTTGGACATGATCCGCGCCTCTGGTCAGCAGCCTGACCCGGTTCACTATGCTTCTCTAATCCACGCTCGTGGCTGTGTGCTTCACGATATGGATGGTGCTCGCAGGATCTTCGACTCGGTAACTAGGGACCCTAGCATCCCATCGCATCCCTGCATTTTCCAGGCCTTGTTCGAGTCCATGGTTGCCAACCACAACGTGGCCGACACTGAGAAAATTCTTTCCATGATGCGATCGCGCAGGGTGGAGATGACGCCCTACATTGCCAACACTTTGATCCACGGCTGGGCGAACGAGAAGAACATTGACAAGGCTCGTGCCGTGTACGGCCAAGTCAGCCGCGAGAAGCGTGAGCCTAGCACCTACGAGGCAATGACTCGTGCCTATCTCGCCGTGGAGCAACGTGAGCGGGCCAAGTCGGTTGTCACCGAGATGCTTTCCCGTGGTTACCCTAGCGCTGTCGTCAACAAGGTTCTTGAACTTCTTGGAGGCGGCAACAGCGAGGAAGCTATTGCAGCGTAAGAACACTACGCGGCGATGCAAACTTTTCTTTTGTGCATATTTCTTTTGTCCTCCAGTGCTTTGACTTCTAGCGATACCCCGTGCTTTTTGATGAGATGTATTGAAGGAAGGGAAAAATATCAGGGCAGCCGGGGCATTGGTTGAGTTCAGAGGATCGGAGGACATGATGTCTTCTACTGGGTTTGGGGAATGCTTTCAAAAGACCACCTCTGATGCCGGATGATCAAAGGTGGCAAACTCTGTTCTTTAACAGACGGCAAGGCGTTCATCGGTGGTAATCCGTGTACAAAACGGTCCTTCTTGATCTGGCATGATCAGTCGGTTCTGGAGTTCATTTGGAAAAAGACATGTGCAGCTTTTAGATGGCGTGCGCGCGATAGATCATCCCCACTCTAGAACACTCAGCCTACGGGCTGGGATCAAAGATAATTGAAAAGGTAGCTGAAGCTACCTGCGATTGATCGACGATTTTACTGATTATGTTATCCGAATACTTCTTTTGTTTTGCCTATGATACAATGCCAAGCAGAGGGCATGAAGCAATTACCAACGCCATCAATGAATGCCCTTCCCAAACGAGCAGTGCATTACCTGCTCATGGTTTAACGAATGAATCTTCGAGTTGGTGCAGCTACATAGTACTGATCGAACCACCAACATGTTTCTTGACTTTTTCCACTCACTGCCTAGTCAGTTGCGCCATGTTCCTGGTCAAGTACTAGGCAGATGAACGAATCAGTACACTTACTACCAAAAAACACAGCTCAATGTAACATATCGGCATTATAACGAATCTGGGGGCACGCCGAGCTCCCCGCCTTATACATACTTGAAGTACTTGGCGCCCCGGCTCGGCGTGTCGGTGCCGCTGCTCTGACCTGCGGCGGCCCCAGCGCCGGCACTGCTCCGGCGTTTCTCGTCGCCGCTACCCCCGAGTCGACCGCCCAGGGCCTCGAGGATGCTACTGCGGCGACGTCCCTGGCGGCCGGGCGTCAGGTCCTCGAGGAACTGACTGCCGGCGCCCGAGGCGTCGCGGTGCGGGTGCAGCGCGGGGTCCGTCGTGGTCGAGGACGATGTGGTGGACGACGCCGAGGAGCCCGTGCTGGAGACGCGGCGGAGCGGCTCGTGCTGCTGGTGCATCTGGGAGGAGGAGGAAGAGGTGGGTTTGTGGTCGGATTGTGAGAGGCGGCGTTGGCGTTGGTCGTGGGGGGCAAAGGTGTCTTTTAGGGTGTTGAAGAAGTTTGTCGAGGTTGAGTTGCCCTCGTTGTTATTGTTGGAAGTCATGATTGTTGTGTCTTCTGATGGACTGGCTGTTTTGTTCTTGGATCTCTTGATGCTTTAGGGCAAGATCATGTAGTTGAAATAGAGAGAGAAATAGAGAGTTGCAAGCTATTCCATGGAATAATGTTTTGAGCTCAAAAGGAAAACCATATACCGTTGAGTGTGTGCTCACTCTTGTCTCACATAGCTCCATGGGTGGCGATTACTGCTTCGGCGGGGAAGCTTTCATACTTCTACATATGGTTTCGCACCTCCGTTTCTTCTGAGGGGGCCCGTCCGGGATCGTCATTTCTGCAAACGTCAGTCGCAAGTCAATCACTCAAGGGAAATGCTTAAATTTGGAGAAAAAAGAATGGGGCTTTTGCAACGGTTGTCTGTTTTGTCAGGTTGCACCACATGTTCCTCTCCTCAACATAGCCAGAAGGTACGGCTTGGCGTGTGAGCTCCGTCGCAACCTTGACGTAATCTTGCGTTGCTCAATCAGCCCTGTGAGACAGACAAGGAGAGCTTAGCAAGCTAACCTTGTAGCTTCAACCAGAAATTACTGTCCATTCTCTCGGTCAAAGGTGAATGAAAAGGCAATACTTAGGAATAATGATGAGCTTGAATTGGGAAATGACAAAATGACGGCCCCTCCAATACAATCCTTGATTCTTCGGCTTTGGAAAGCAAGTAGATCAGTGTTTTCTTTCTTACTCCGGCATTTGCGAACACGATGTAACGGTGGGAGCTCGAATTTGGTGGTCAAGTTACCTCGGGTGCATGATACAACAGGCAAATATATAATGTGAGCACTTATTTCTAGGATTGGGTTTCGATCGTAAACAATTGAAATATCAGGGCTACTGACGGTCCAAGTGGTTCTACAACCATACTATGCTGTCCATGTGTGTTCTTTTGTGCAGTGCATCATAAATTTTATCGTCATCGTTCCCGTCGAGACTCAATGTATGGCTGCCAGAACAAATACTTTCCAGTTGTCGACGCTGACTGCGATATGTCTCCTCTGTAGGGACTAAAATTGCAGTGAAAGGGACTGAGGCCGGACTATCATCTATGATTGGCTAAGGTAGCAGCACGGAAGACAGAGCACGAGCTATAAGCCAGCCGCATCCTTGATTGCCTGACTGAGGCCTTTGTCGGGATTAAAATTGCAGTGCAATATTTCACCTCAGGGGTAAACTTGGGGGCGGGCGGGCTTCATTCGACCAACAATACTCAGAGTCGGCCTCGATGGATTGGGCAGTAGGGTCTCCAAGATTCGACAGATTGATTTGTCCAATCAAGGATATGAGGTTCTGTGGGTACGGACACAAATCGGAGACTTCGCATGCAGTGGAAATATGGCCATCTTCAAACAACACAGTTTTGCCCACGACTTCTGTTACTGTGTCAATCAGAGACAGTCACACATCTCCAGACGATCCTCGAATATATCCTTCACCGATATCAACAATAGAGGAAAAGCAAAGTGGGATCAATCTGTCCAAAATTCATGTGCTCATATTGACTCCTATTTTGTCTCAATAGAACTAAGATGGCTGCCAGTCTCTCCAGTATCATGCGCATTCGATAGCTGATGTCCTGAAGACTGAAGTTCATCTGACGACTGATTGCGAGATGCGTTCGTCACTTGCGAGATCATACTTCTAGATCGGTTGGTGGAAAACATGGATCTCCTCTTGTTCGAGCTGAAAATCGACAATAATGAAGGCAGCGGCGCGAATCGTGGTAGCCTAGGACTTGTTTCATCGGCATATGCAGAATCGTCCATCTACGACGAGTTAGAATCAAGAGAATGTACACGTTCATGTCCCAACTTACAAAGACTCGATGTGATACGGCCGCTGGAGCCGGTGGGGATACCTCAAGCAGTACCGAATTTCTCACGTGTATTGAATTCGCTGACAACTGAGACAACTCCATGTTACTTGTCGGGTGGACAGCCTGCTCCTCGTCCGAGTCAACACGAATCTCTGGTACCGTTTGATTCGACATGGTGTTCGACATGGATGGCCCCGATGATTTGGTGGACAGGTGAAATATGCTACCCAATCCCGAACGTGGTGTCGCAGGCTGATCGTTACCATTGGCTCTAATGTAGCTTCTTCGCTGACCGTTGGATCGATTGCGTCTGGACCAAGACGCGACATGCGATTCCGTCCGCGCCGATGATGTTCCCATTCTGCTCTGTAGCTGCTCGACCAGGGGCTTGAGCGTCCCTATTGACACTGCAGTGATGCCGATACCGGATTCTACGGTACTGAGGTATGCCACTTCGGCAGATGAATCTACATTTTCAAGTCAGCTACTGCTTAATGGGGAATCACAGAGAATGGGCCAACTTACACAAAAAGTCTTCCCCGTCGAGTAGTTTCGGCAGGAAAAAGATGCGGACAAACGTAGCGGTACTTCCGACAGCAGCAAAGCTGAGGAGGCAGGCGACGAGAATCTTGGTGCGCCGTCGCATATTAAGGGACTTGACCATGAAAATCGGCAGGACACCGAGCACCCAGTCGCCCCCGCAGTTGATGATGGAAGCGGCCAGGTCCATGCCCAGGACGATCCTATCTTCCCAGCATTTGTCTGGAGCGCGCGGCGAGTCTGTCCACCAAGTAGACGGCGGATGGCATTGGAATATGGCCATGAAAAAGTAACCCGTCCCGCAGGTGCAGACTCCGAACATTATGATGCGCAGAATCCATATATGAAGCGTCACGACAGCCACCCGCATGAGGAACAGTCCAACTGCTATCTTGAACAGACAGACGCAGACAATGTAGAGGAGGAAACATATCCACCACCACTATTTGTCGTCAGCTATAACGAACAAAGATCTGATGGGTATTTGAGTGGCTCACCATCAGAGCTGCACTTCTATTTTCTGGCGACAGTTGGCTTTCATGCTGACCTAGGCCATGTCTCCATCCTTGAATTTGGGCTGCAAGATAAACTGTGAATACAACCTGTATCAAGTTAGACGCCAAGTAATTACCGGGGCGAGGACAAAAGGAATAGAAGGAAAGAAATATGCAAACTCACCAAAAGCACAATGACCATGACATCGTCGGATCCGAACGCTTTGCTGTAACAGACGTGATCAGCCATCATCGGTATAGGGGAAGCATCCCGGAAGTCCCGGCTTCCCATGAGAGTTCTGAGTCTTGCTTACTTAACAGAGAGTCGGGTAAAGGTCCGCAAGCCCACCGTCACATAGGTCAGAACGAAAAAGATGATAATGATGGCCAGGACCGCCGCGCTTTTGCCTTCCATACTGGACTGCTATTCCTCAACCATGAGGAGCCTCCATGGCGAGAGTTGTTTCACAAGATTGCTGAAGAGTGTCGAGAAAAGAAATGTCGAGTGTGCCCACGCTCTTCAGAGAGGGTCACGGCAATGGCTGACCTACTTATCCCAAAGTGTTGATGATCGGAGAGCTTTAGTACAAGACCCTGAAGAGTGGTACGCTCTTTGCAGGGAGCAACCCTATTGGTTCCAGTAGTACTTTTCCATTGACAGGAACCCAAGGACTAAGTCCTATTCCTCTCTACCTAGGGCGTTCAGTGCCGTCAATGACAGCTCGCTAACACGATAGTATAGACCAAAGCCCAATCAGAAGCGATCCGTGTACAAGTCCGTCTCACAGAGACCCATTTTATGGTGGAGTTTTTTTCTGAAGTCCATGCGGCGCTCATGCCGCGCTCAATGCAATGGGTACGGAGTACAGCAGCAGCCCGATCTTGGACAATCTCTCCCAGGCTTGGAACAGTGCTACAGATTCTGCCTGGCCTATTTCCAGAGTGCGGAAAATGTTTGGATGGCAGGCAGCTAGTCCTGACGCCAAAGCGAGGAGCTGCCGAGGCCCGTTGATAGTAGAGGTTGTCTAGCAAAATCTGCTTACTAGAAATGGAAACGTTATTGCCGTATTGGAGCCGACTACTGTAAAGACCAAATCGTTTCCGCTTTTCAGCCGCACACGTCTGACTCGTAAATTTCAGGAACAAGACCAGACTGTTTTGCCGATCACCAAAGCATATCGCAACAGGCAAGGGCTTGCAAAGGTTTGTCGGCTCATGAGTGGGTTCATTAGAGATGCAACTGCGTCGCGCCAGATGGCCAAAACCTTCTTTGCGCATTGGCCTGTCCATGTGGCGGCGACTGTGCCTGAACACCAGGCCGAGCACCCCCAGTCCAGTGGGCACAATGATCGTCTAGATCTCATCGGGATCTCACCCCCCGCACTTGACTCAATTTTGGAAACTTGGCTTCATACTGTGTGATTGTTGCTGTTGCTTATGGGTATCATGTTCAACGCCGTGACTTTTTCTTGCCAGTCTTTGATTTGTTTCCTCCCTTTCCCGCTGCCTTTTCCGTCCTTTCAAACTTGTTTGCATGCTCCATGTCAAACTCTGACTTCTTTTTCCTAAAGAGCAGCATGGCCACCTTGGCATCTTCAATACTAGAGTGGTGACCTGTCTGAATCTCCATGTCGAGTAGCTCCTTGGCCAGCGTCCGCAGAGCCGGCTTCGGCCCGTGCCCGTACTGTCTGAAACCGGCAAATCGAGCCGTATCCCGAATATGCGTTGTTGGATGTGTGAGCATGAGGACTGCCAGGTCGTGTCGTATGTCGTGACCGACTAGTATGCGGCCCTGGATGAGATCGGCCACCTCTTGCTGGACTGCGTCGAACTCGCGGGCCGTGGCCATGTGTTTTGGTGTGATGCCCGTAATCTTTGTCCGCCAATCCGTGACGCGCTCCCTCGGGCGGACAAAGGAGTCGTAGACTTGGCGCCCGTGGAAATCGACCAAGCTGACGCGTGCAAGAACAGAGTCGTGACCGTCGGGCCCTACGCCCACCATTTCGCAGTCCATTGCAACGTATTTGCCAATCTCGATGCCGGGGGCCAATCCCTCATTGACGCGGGGCTGCTCAGAGACGACGAGGGCATTCCGCTTGATTCCCAAACCATACGCCTCTGCCAGCGCTTCGGCTGATATATCGTTGTCCTCGGCCCAGAGTGCAAGTGAGGGATTCACGGTTGACGATGAGCCCTTTGCGACGGCCGAGGATTGCGCAACGCCCATGGCGGCCCCCGACGACTTGGTGCCCTTGGGCGTTGGTTTTGCGACTGGACGGTCTGTCTTTTGTGTCTGTTCCAATCTTTGCCGCTTGGGCTGGGCCGTCAGAGATCCGCCAGCCTTTCTTTTGGCGGGCGCCTTGTCCTTGGCGGGCGTGGAAGAAGACTCTGTCTTCAAAGTCGCTTGCAGCTTTTTCCAGTTTGATGAGAGTCCCGCCGCCATGTTGAAGATTTCTTGTGAGTCGAGCCAGGCTTTATAGGCTGACGTAATCTTCACCTTGGCTGCATTTCAGAACCTTTTCTTCTTCTTTATTCTCTTGTGAGGTGACAGGTATGTTTTAGATGATCGCCTTGAAATCGCGAGCAAGATTGCAGAAACGATATGAAAATTCTAGTGGGTCTGGTCAATGCCCCACGCCGCCTAGCCTACGTGGATAAAATACCGTCCTAGTGCATAAATCGTGCATAAATACTTATATGCGCCAGTGGCCAGCAAAATTGTAGCTCGTCTATGGTCGCTCCATTGATTATAGACAACCCAAATCGGGAAATTGAAAAAGTCCAGTCTCTAGAAAGAGCCAGGCCAGGAAATGACAAAAAGCTTTTTTCAGCGTGTCCATGTTTCCACAGCGACGGCGCAAGGTTCAACCTACCTGTGGCTGATTGCAGTTCGGATAACCTCACTGGCCATCCAGGTATTGCTAAGACCGAACTCTTCTGCTATTTCGGTGAAAGAAACCCTGTGACGGCGAAAAAGGTTTACTGATTAGACCGCTGTTGATGATTATTCGTGATCTGATCTCTTGCCACCAGGCTTGAGATTTCTTGTCAAATCAAGTAACCTCTAAATGATTAATTCGATATTGATCCAAGTACTTCGCAACATGAGTGACTTTCAATACAAAGACTCCCTCGTGTTTCCTCCAAAGTAATCTGCTAGTGCTTACAGAAGTGAAGAAAATCTTTCATATCTACCATTGAAGTGCTTCTCCCGCTAGGAGACCCAAGAATCTCAAGCACTATCAAAGGAGTTGGGAAATTTGCGTGTTCTCAAGGTGAAAGTATTGAAGGCTATGATGAAAACTCACGTACTCAACAGCAGTTGGCGACAGAGCCTTTACACCTTCAACATGGCGCCGACACATATAGGCTCAGAATTCAATCAACCGAACCAAAACAACAACAGGATCAGTAAAAGACCTTTGAGTTTACCTCTCAGGTATATAAATGTGCCCCGTTGCCCCGGCCTCCTACAGCCCCCCTCGAAGATTCATGTCTTCTTCATCAGACTTTTCATCAGACTTTTCATCAGACTTTTCACTACAAATTCTGAAGTGATTCGTCCACCAAGTAAACAAACAATCACCAGATCAGTAAGTGATTTTGACTTTTGCCTCTCAGGTATATATGTAGGCCTCGGTCCCCCTCTTGTTTTGCAGTCCCGCTTGGAAATCCCTTTCTTCTTCATCACACTTTCCACTACACATTCTTGATTGGCATATCCACCCATCACTGAAGATCTCACATCAAGACACAGTTGATTACTACATTCAACTTGCCACTATAAACTCTGCATTGGAATCTCCACTCATCACTAAAGATCATCAAGATCCAGTTGTCTACTACATTCAACTGTCTTCAAACTTCCCAGTCACAACAGCAACTTCTCCAGAAGTGCCGGTGACCACGACATCGTCAGTCGACGTGTCTCGTCAGGCTACAAGCCTCAAAAGCTCTACATACATCACTACACGTCCAACGGCGGTAGTTGATCTCACCACCACCGAAAAAACCAACGGAGTTTGCCCCTGGCATTCCTCCATCGACAAGTACCACAAAAGAAACTTGTCCGCCACAGCTGAAATCACGACGGATCTGAAGACCTGATCAGTCACAATGCAAGTCATCAAGTTCTTCACGTCAATCCTCGCTGTCGCGAGCGTCGCAATAGCTGCACCGGTCGCACCATACAAAAATCAAACCAAGTCGGCCCTGTCTACCACAGAAGACACCAGCAGCAGCATCATCACTGCCAGCGCCACTGCCAGCGCCGCCATCAACAATGATGACGCCGCATTTGAATTCTTCGGAATATCGGCACCCATCCCCCTCCTGAACATAACAAATCTACACATGGAGGCGGCCGCTGAAACCAAGGAAGACAATTCCCTTGAGCAGCACAATGCCAACAGACTGCACATGGCGGTGGCAGCAACATTAGAGGAGGGACGGCCAGGCAAAATCCCTTACAGGCGGTTCCCACAATGTTACATTGACTGCTTCGACTCAGAGGGCATCGATTCCAAAACGTGGCCCGCCATTGGGGATATTCGTGATCTTACAACACACGAATTCTGCTACTCCCAACACATGTGGGTGGCAAACTGGTTCCTTGAGCATCTGCAATTCTGCGTTGGCGGTGCGTGTGCTCATTGCAGGGCGCAAGGATGCAATCACGACGCAACTCTTGCATACAAAAGCATGTGTGATGGGATTGACCCCATGACGGGGCATACATAACCAGAAGCATCAAGAAGGGTCTTTCTCTCAAAGATAAAAAATTGCCGGAGTGCCCTGTTCATTACTACATTGCTCTTGGCAGTCATTGATACATGCTTTCTGGATGAGGAGTTTGCTTTTGAGGTTGGAATTGTTATTCAAGCTGGAGTTGGTGTTGGGCGATAAGGGCTGGATCAATATACACTTACCCATCAAGAGAAGAATAGATTTTGAGGCAGACTGCGATGAATAAATGGTGTCCTGGAATTCAAATGTCTTGTTATATTCCAATTATTCGTGTATGTCGTGTCCGAATTATAAAACATGCTGCTGTACAACACTTTGCACTAGACATTCAGGATTTCGAGAAAGTATTTGCATTGTGACAGTCACTGATATCCCTTCTGCGCTGCCACAGACAAGCTGTGAGCCAGAGCTGAAAGGGGGTTTGGTGGAAACCACCGCACCACGGGCAAACACGGCACAGTCCACAAGGGACCTACCCAAACAACCCTCTCGCTAACGAGACCTTGACCGGAGAAACAGTTGACCAGAAGAACCACCAGAGATGGGACAAGAGAGAACCACTACACCGAGACTGACGACACCAAATGGGGAGAAACCGAGAGGCGACCAGAAGAACCGACAGGTGAGATAGACGGACCGAGAAGTGAAAGAAAAGAAAACGGGGAAGTGGCGCGAAGTGAACAGAAGAATCCAGAAGAGAAAAAACCATGCTGAAGAATAGTTGCCGAAGAAGAGTTGCCGAAACCAGAATAGACCGATGTGACCAATGACCGCTGAGAAGACCGAGTGAAAAGACCAAGACCGACCATGTGCCCAACCACCAGGGACTGTGTTGCATTGACCGGGGCAGCTGCGGTGTTCTTGTCGAAGAGAGTGATGATGCATTGACCGGGGCAGCTGCGGTGTTCTTGACGAAGAGAGTGGTGTTGCATTGACCGGGGCAGCTGCGGTGTTCTTGACGAAGGAGGACTGAAAGGAAACTGAGAAAAAAACTATTGACAGACGTTAGTGACAAAAACACATGAAAAAAGAAGAAGGGGAAAGGGGAACTTAGCTCTGGTCAAGAACAACACGAAGGACAGACGGAAACGGAACAGACTGAAACTAAATGGACACGTCAGTAAAAAGAACACAGCAGAAAGAAAAGAAAAAAGGGGGAAAAGGAAAGGGAAAACTTAGCTCTGGTCAAGAAAATCAAAACGGGGTAGGTGGTTTACTTCATGGCCGGTCTTGGTCTTGGTCTTCCACTTCAATCTACACATCCACACGACTACTGAACCTTTTCTGGTCCAGAGCCAGCAACGCCCAGTCTATGAAGTCCGATTCATGCGTCGACGCGGTTCCGAACGTCCTTCTTCGTGGGTTGAAGAAGACTGCTCGGCACTGCGTGAGTGCATTCGTCGGGCAACTGGTGTAGTCGCAAGCCCTGACCAGAATTCCGCGGCGTCGAGACGTTGGCGAAGTACTTCATGGCGCATTTCCCAGACTTTGTCGCTGTAAGGAAGGTCGATACCAGGCTCGTAGCGACCATACTTGGCGACACGTTCGGGCTGCCACCAGAAGATGAGCCACTGTACAGAAAGTAAGCAAGTCAGCAGAGTCGAGTTGGCAAAGGGGAAGAGTGAGACTGACCATCCACCAAGAGCTCCCCAACACTTGGCGTAAGTTACCCATGTAACCTTTGTCCCAAGGGTTGCCGCGGAAATCTTTCAGTCGCATGACGTGACGACCTCCTTGAGTGTCCTTGAAGGCGAGAAGTTGCGGCGCTCTGGGCTTGCCACGGTGCTCGAAATGAACCTCATTGTTGAACGCCAAATGCCACCACTGTCTAGGACCCCACAAGGAGACCCCGACAGCGAGAGCAATGAGAGCAAAGCTACCACTAACCACGAATGGCGTGATACCTTGGCTCGTGTACGAACAAAGGGCCATGACGAGAACAGTGAGCGTGCTCAGAATGTCCAACGGAAGGAACAGAAGGAGGTACAGATAGGCCTTCATCGTGCGAGAATATACCGAAATCTGGACCCAGGGGCAGAAGTGATCGAAGATAGGCAGGCATCTATGGGTGGTATTGTCGTGATAGACCCTGTCGGCGCATTTTCGATCGCACCTGGGACACGTGCGAGGTCGGCGATTGGGTTCCCAGCGGCTGGTCGTCTCAGGTCGAAAGCCTGAGGAACCGGCATTGTCAGACACCAAACTTGAAGAAAAGTAGAGAGAAATTATGGAAAGAAAAGAAAGGGAGAGAGAGGGAGAAAACTTACCCCTTCCTCCTTGCATGATGACTTGGGCCTTGATCGGGGGCTCATAGTCACGATCACAAAAGAACGTGATAACGAGGCCCATGACCCAGGACCCAAACCAGTTCAGCTTGAGGAAGCCGTGGACCGCAAAGATGGCATAAGCTGCTCCGGGGTAAGCAGCGACAGGAGTATCAAACAGGCCCTGCTCGGGGACCTGCAACAAGACCAGAAAACAGTAACGGTAGAACACGGCATAAACAGACGTGCCCAGGTACAAGACCAACCAGAGGGGACCAAGAGTTCCGAACAAGCGAACAAGCTCGTTCCAGAACTTCTGACAAGATACAAAAGCGGCCATTTTTAAAAATAGACCGCAGGGAAGACCAGAGAGAAAAACCAGAGAGAAACGGGCAGAAAAGCCGAGAAGGAAACCAGGGAACAGAACAAGAGAGAAAACACAGAGAGAAAAGTGCACAAGGAAAACGGGTAAGGGGGTGGAGAGGGGGGTTGCTGTGTTTGACGGAAAGGAAATGGGGGTACGTAGCTGAATATATTGCGGCCGTCCGCGGAGATCGTGGAAACGTGAGTTCGAGCTGACGCAAGAAAACACTCGTGACGATTTCGTTGGGTGAGGCGCGCGAATGTGACTCTCAAAATTTCGAATTCTGGGAGTCGATTGAGAGAAGAAAGGAAAACAAAAGAGAGCTCGAGGGGAGGAACTGCTGGCTTAAATATTTGAATTCTGGAATCGAGCAGCCTCGTGGTGCAGCCAATGGGAAGGCTCAAAACATGGCAGGTGCGGTTTCAAGTTGGTCGCGACTGTCGTTGAGCCATTGAGAGGGCAGCAATCTGCCAGGCAACCAGAGCGGTGAAATGAATATGGAACAAGTGAGCGGTGAAATGGATATGGACAAGCAATGGACAGCCGGGTCGCTGGGGATATGCAGAGCTGGATGTCAACAGGCTCTGTTGACAGCCATGGCATTTGGTCTATGTACGTAGTAAATTGAGTTTATTTGCACGGTAAAATGTCTTCAGATTGGAGAGTGATGAACTGTGAGCTTCTCGTAGTAGCCTCGTGTGTGAGCATGCACGCAAATGGCAGTGATATTCGACCAGACTGACGTCCGGCGCATGGAAGGGACGGTGGCAGTGGCAGTCGGTAGGCAAGCAGAGGACTGTGATACTCCAGAATCGTTACTTCCTTGAGACTTGCGATAGTGCCATGAACTTGTCAGGAATCATCGAGTGGCTTTCCAGTGATGTCAGATCCGGGTTGTCGGTAGAGCTCGACTTGCGGTGCTGGCTGTGTTCTGTTGCTCGAGATCTCGAGGGCTTCAGCAGCCTGGATCGTGTTGAGAGCTTGGCGTAGATACAATGTGCTGATATTTGGAAAATAGCAAGACAACTTTTGCAATGCAGCATCGTACATGTTTGCATTCATGCCAAGTACCCGAGAATACTTCACGTTGACACAGCTTCGTTGTCCAAGACTGGTGGGAATCAATGCATGGCGACGACACGATGGTATGCCAGAATATGCTACGACGTTCGTATGTGATCAGAAGTAATCATTGTCAAAAGCTTTACTGCGAGCACTCCTGGAATCCGGGATGCGCCATGGCATCAAGCACAGAAGGGGAGTCCACAAGGACAACGGGAGATTCAAGCTATGCTGATCGGCAGTGCAGCTTAGGGAACAACCACAGCACTCAGGTTCTACGAGATGCGTTGTCAGATCCAAAGGCGTGGTTCCAAGAATGGCATTTCATGACAGCATCATGTGCTCTCACCAGGCAGTCACGGCCACTGTTGACATGTTTGTCTCGAGAGATTTACGGACAGGACGAAATGCAGCAGACCAGAGCATAAGTAGATACCAGGTAAGACTTTGGAATATGTTCAAGACATGTCTATTATGTTTGAAATCATCAGAAAGCAAATGTACACGCTACCAAACCGCTCCGCATCTATCTATCATTCTATGCCATCTATCATCCATGAATCATGTCCAGATTTAGTGCTTGCCGTAGTTCTCGTTGACCAGGACATATCGGTACCGGGCCTTGCCATCGGCCATGTCGACAATGGCCTGGTTGGCATCCTTGAGCGGCCGCTCCTGGACCCAAGGCTTGATCTTCTTCTCGGCAGCGAGGTTCAACATGTACTTGATCTCAGCGGGAGAGCCGATTCCGCTACCACCGACCTTGATACCGTTACCGAGCAGGGTGAAGGCGTTGATGTTGGGCAGGTTGCCACCGTCAGGAGCACTGTGAGAATGTTAGTCTGGTATTCAGGGAAGCGATGGAACAATGTTTTTCATGACTGACCCAACTTGGATGAAGGTACCCTCAGTCTTGAGCATCATGAGGTAGCTCTGGAGAGGCATCTTCTCGCTCGAGACGGTGCAGATGATGAGGTCCAGCGAACGTCTGTTCTTCTGGACCCAGTCCTTGTCATCGTCGGTGGCAATGTACTCGTCAGCGCCGAGCTTGAGCACGTCCTCCCTCTTGTCAGCCTTTCTCGAGATTCCGACCACTCTGTCGGCACCGAGGGCCTTGGCAAAGAGGACACCAAAGTGTCCTAGACCACCCACTCCGACGATACCGACCTTCTTGCCAGGGCCGGCGCCGTTCTTGTGTAGGGGGGAGAAGACGGTGATACCACCGCAGAGCATGGGCGCGGCGTCAGCCGAGCTGATGCCTTCAGGAATCGGGATAACAAAGTGTCCATTGGTACGGTTGTAGTCGGCGTACCCACCGTACGACTTGCCCTCATCGTCGGGGTAGATGGAGCCGTAAGTGTTGACGGTGCCGTTGCCGCAGTAGTTCTCGAGGCCGTTGCTGCAGTCCACACAGTCGGGCTTCAAGCAAGAGCGAGCCTGAGCACCAACACCGACGCGGTCGCCAACCTTGACGTGCTTTACGTTGTTGCCAACCTTGACGGCCTTGCCGACAATCTCGTGGCCGACACAGCAGGCTAGAAGAAGAGTCAATAACAATGATTGCGAAAGAGAAAGAATGGCATCTGGAACTCACGGTATGGTGTCTCTCCCCAGCCAGATTTGAGCATGTGCAAGTCGCTACCGCAAATACCGCAGTGGGAGATCTCAATGTCAACATCGTCCTCTGTCCACTTCTTGGGCTCGAAGTCGCCCCACTCCATCTTTCCGTTAACAGACTCGGGGGTCTTGCCGAGCCATCCTTGGAATCGTGGGCTTGCCATTGTTGTTGTTGAAGCGTGTGTTACGTGTGTGAAGGTGTTGCTAAAGTAGTTTACTGTAGACTGTAGAGTCGTGATTGAGTAGGCAGTAATGAATTGAGTGAGTAGTTTAAATCTTGTCAAATTATGGTGGAATATGCTGTCCTACTTATATGCCCACCACAAGTCGGGACTCGCTGCCCGCGGACACTGACTTGACCCTGCAACCGCGGTCATGACGTCGACTCAGTTCATAGAGAGAGTCGATATGGGCTGTGGGCCCGGTACGGGCGCGAAGGGGAGGAGATAGTCGTCAAAGTGCGGGAGTATCGGCAGCTCCATCGAGCCCGATACCTAGCAAGGATGGGACCGGGAAAAGCAGATAACCACTAGACAGCTACGAAAGCCTCATGCAGTACATTACCTACCACCTACGTAGCATCGGCAGTAGCCAGAGGATAGACCGCCCAGCGCTTCACCTTAGTCATTCCGGGGCTCGCTGAGTGTCACAGACGGTCCCACCCCCTGCTGGGACGGTCGTAAAAAGGTGCTGACCTGTGGCTTGCGTGGGGTTTCAGCGCTCGGCGTTTATCCGTGGGCTGCACCTAATTTAGGCGATAACACTGGCATGCCATCGGCGATTGGATCCGCACAGGGCCCGCATACTGGACTTATTGTCTTGCGATGGAACCTGCACCCAGCCAGCGGATTTACCATGGACTTTGGGGGCTCAATACTACCTATTGCAATGGACATTAGGCATGTAAGCCACTTGCATTAATCCGTTGAGGAGGAATGATTAGTAGTTCTTCTGCCTTGAAGCTACTCATGTCATCCGGGTTTGTGCTTGAAGATACTTGAATTACCTGTGGTCCAATGAACAGATCAGGGTCCAGATCACCAGAGCCTCCAGCTGCATGTCAGCATTTAATCAGGTACCTACAGATAAACGTATTCTGCCTACTCGGTACTGGATATAGGATGATTATATAATGTAAGCAGGTTGCATTAGCGCAGAAGTCGGTGGCTTGCATGCCATTGATCATATCTTTTCCTTCTACTGCCGAACATGTCATAACTGTGTATGCTCTTAAATCCGATGTTTGACATTGAATCATTCGATAATCATTGCATTAACCGACCGCTACTCAACTGCCAGTCAGGGGGATACAAGTCAGACATGTGTTCAGATGTATTCCACACTCTGATCAGAAAATGCCATTAATGCAAGGCTAGGAATTTGGGACTCTTAAGTCCGGATCTTGTCGAGGTTTCGAGAAATTTTTCTACTTGTGGAGCCTCTCCCTTGGAGACTTCGAGAATCAAGAATTGGCCAGTCACCGCCGCTTGCGCCGTTTACGTCGTAGCGGAAAACCTTCTGTTTTAGACTTGGAGATCCCAACCCCCACATCTTGCATCATAAGTGTATGTGGTGTGGCTATGAGCGGATCAACTTGATGCCAATGTACCCTCCTCGCCCTCTGCAGTGTAGTGTACGAGGTATACCTGATGGGCAATAGAATAAGCTTATCGTGTTGTGACACCCAGCTGCAGGCCTATTTCTTGTCACATTTCTGGATGTCGAAGTGACTTGCTTCCCTTGCCGAACAAGGCTGCCGTCGGATTGACGCGTACTACAGCTTTGCCCTCAGCATGATTCGGGAGCCATTCTAGTCTTGCTCAAGGCATTATTGTTCTATAAACGCCGCGTTCTTTCGGTGTTATGGCAATAAACTGCGATGACTTGAACCAACGTCTTCATGCTTCCAGCAGCGAGGGCCAGTCGTCAGCAAAAGACGAGGATTGCGAATTTGTCACTGGCATGGACACAAGAAGTCTGCGTGGGATGTAATCTGGATCAATCCGTTTTTGTCAGCCAAAACATTCTTTTGGCAATTGATTAGAAAGCATAATATTGTGCTACTAATGCCTCATGCTGACATTGGATGAGAGCGAAACGCCAAACTGGAAGGCGCCGTGACCCCTATTCATTATCAGGAGGCACTACATCGCCTAGACGAATCACGGGTCACAAATGGAGAGAAGCATGACCACCGGGCATATGCCGAGAATCCAATCTATTATTAACATAGGGAAGAACGCACGCACAGTACAAGTCTTGCCTCTGCAGCAGCAGCGGATCAAAACCACGATAATCCATCTCCAAACTTACGAATTTTCAAAGGTCGCGCAAACTCAGGTACCTCATTCGTACCGTCCGGGTTGAGCTTGATACAAGGCTCCGTGGGATCGTCGGGGCGGGTGTCCGCGTACAACCCGAACCGCAGCGCCATCTGATGTCGAAACTCGGCGGGCGTCGCGTTGGTCTTGTTGATCCACTCGACAATATCCTGCGGGATGATGTTGTCTGGGTAAAGGCCCTTGCGGCGTTGTTTCTCCCTATACCGTTCGCGCTCCTCTTCCTCCCTGGCCGCAATGTCGGGGACCTTTCGCGGCGGCCAGGCTGGGCCCGGCACCAGCTTGCCGATCACGTAGTGAGGATAGTTCCCTGAAAGCCAGCGGGCAAGCGTGTCATCGGTCAGGATCCTACCAGCCCACATCTTGGGTATACTGTGTTTGTAGAAATCCTTTCCGTGAATCATGATTGCTAGAAGGGGAGAAGCAATAAAGTGTCAGCCACAATACCTTTCGGCACCGAGAAAACGACTTTGCTTATCGCGAGAGGAAGGGGACAAACATACTTGAGACATCGTACACCTGGCCGTTCACGGCCACCCAAGCACGAGTGGTAATTTCTGGGTCGATATGCCTTTTCAGCTCGTCTTCTGGAATTTCCTTGAGTGGTTGATCTTTCTTGATCCTGCCGACGATCAGGTCCTTTCTTCGATAGAGGTTCACCAGAGCAGATCCCATCACGTCATTCTTCTTGATGGCCTCTGACGCATCTTGACCTCCGAGCTTAACGGTTTGCTCGTGTATCTTGTTATCTGCAATGCTCTGGGACTGGTCTGGTGCGAGGCGGGATATGTCAAACACCCACCCGTGAATGACCACCTCGTGCTCCTCGACAAAGTTGACATCAATTTCAGAGACGAGTCGTCCGACGCGCAAATGAGCCACTTGTTCAAGAATGTCGGGACTGTGCCAATCCTGAAACTCTGTGGCCTGTTCACCAAGATATTTGATGATGATCTGGCGACCTCCCGGGTGATTGTCGAGGTAAGCTGGAGGGAACGCGTCGTCAGTCTTGTGTGTTGATTTCGAGGGGGCGGGGCCCGGAAGGGAAACTCACTTTTCAGATCGTACACATAATCGCCTATGGCCGTGTAACAGCCAAACGTTGGGTTGTCGCAACGGGCCAGTGTCTCCAGTGTGTACGGCCTAAGTTGCGCCATGAAATTGTATGGCCTTCCCTGTACGATGGCACATTTGCGCGGCTCAATCTTCTTCAGCATCCTCTTGCTTTCAGTGTCGCTCACGTTCTTGGACTTGTATCTTAGGGGATTCACTAGTGATCTGAGTACGTCGAGGTCCCTTTGCGAGTGCTTGAATGCTGTGAGGGAAAGATCAATCAGCTTCAATAACGTCCTGAATTACTACTGCAGCATGCGCCAGAGTCTCATAATTCTTTGTTTCACGGTTCAGGATATTCATCCGAAGAACTTACTAGTCAGATCGTAAGCGCAGCCACGGATGGTGAGCCAAAATGGCATCCCATGTCTCCCATCGTACTCGGCAATCTCCTCCATGCGTTTGCGCGTACGGAGTTTTCCCAGGGGATGCATTGTTGAACCAAAGTTTGCGCGAATCATTTTCGCTTCAGTACTCTCAATAGAGTTGAGCAGGTCATTCTTGAGGCCAGATTTCTCTATCAACGAGCGCAGCCAAGGACTGACTGATTCTGATACGTCTGTCGTACCTTGGACAAGGCAAGGTCCGTATTCACCAACGTGCAGCAAGCGGGTTCTGACGTCTTGACCATCGGCGAACCCTGCTTCCTCACACAACCCTGAAGCCCCTGATTAGGATGTGGTTTTGGCTCTGGTCGTGGATATTTTATACTCACCTGTAATATCGTAGATATCGAAGCCACAGTTTCCATCTGGCTCAATAATCCGAGTGCATTCGTCGGAATCAATGTGGTCTCCAACCTCACCAACTGTGTGATATCGGAACGTTTCGTTGACTAAGTTGGATTGCCCCCACCTACCCGAAGCTTTGGCGGTTGACCGCAGAGGGCCAATGAGAGGCCCATCAGGCTCTGGCAAGCTGGTGTATGATTGCTTTGCAGTCATTGTGGTTGGGCTTGCTAGGGGACTGTGCTCCCGGTTTGTCAAAACATCGTGATTGGCTGACCATTTTGTGTCGTTGTCGTACGGGGGAACTTGAAGTGTGAACTCTGGCCAGTTCATGATTGTGGGCTCTCCATTCGTGGCGACCCATTTAGCCAGTTCGGCCCATGTGTTTTCTAGAACGTCGAGCCAGGCTTCTGGGACCGGATGAATTAGGCGCTCGGTATTGGCCAAGGCTTTGGCCTCTGCTAGTTCTATAGTAGACGAAATCCAATTGCTCTTGGGGATGGTCGTGTCGAGCGTGAAATTCTCAAAGTAGACCATCGACAGGTCGAAACTGATTTCGTTGAGCATGATTCCGTGCACTGTCATGCTGCCGGGAACACCACGGCTGTTGGGATGCATGTTCGCGCCTGGATTTCGTGGAGGGTGGCAGTCGAGATAGTCGTCTAACATTAGCGGTGTCGCGGCCCTCATAAGGCGGCCAATGACAATGTAAACCCACGTCAAGGGACCTCTGGCGCCCTTGGCGTGATAGTCGTATACGTATCGCGCGAATATGTCTGCCTGTTTGACACACTGCGCCTGGTCGCGGGTGGAATGTGCCTCCACGAAACGCTCTAGGGTCGCACGAGCTTGCGCCATACTCCAAGGTGTCGAGGACCATTTTTGATACTCTTCAGCGTACCAAGGCCTGAGGAGATCCCAACGCACCTGGCGGTTCTGCCAGACCTGTTGAGACCATTCATACTTGTCTGCAAACCAATCGTTCTCGTTCAAGCGCATCCTCTTCGCTCCAAAAGCCCTCTGGCCGAGAGTGTACCAGTCCCTGCGGGTTTCTGATCGGAAGACCTTCGGAGCCTGGAATGCTGCGCTGCCTTTGAAAAATGGAACTATTATGTTCCAAAAGTCTTTTGTTGCAAAGGAAGAGGCCCAGGACGCTGGCAAAGGGTAGTTTATAAGGTTGTGTGCAAAGACATCGTTCTGCCAGAGTTCTGGTGGTAAGTCTTGACCCCCAATATACAACGGCCAGGTGCTCAGGCATAGTGTCAAGGGCCTCCCCTTCCAAGTGTATGGGTCCGGAGGCTGAGGAAATGCTTGGACAGTACCCCCAAAGACGTGCTTTTCAAAAGAAAAGCCCAGTTCTTTGACAGTCTCTGGCGGGCCCGTTGCCGGCCACATGTACTGCCATGATGATTAAACAAGCGAAAAGTCAGGAGATTGTAAGGGCAACCACATACCGGCTCCTGATTATGATCGGTGCTGCCTTTTTCTATTATAAGACGACCCATCCAAAGAGCATGCTGCGCATAATTCAGCTTCCAAGCACCACGTATCAAGCACCTTTTGTTGTGTCGGACTTACCACGGTTTCATGGAGTATCTGTTTGAATCTATTAGCGTCATGTTTCTCCACGCAACCGGTTGCAACAAACTTACAGTATCCGCCAACGCCATTTGCACATTAACCCTCTCGACGAGGGACAAATTGCTGTTGCACAAGGAACGAAGACACCCAGTCTGTATTGTGATCAAGTTGCACGGGTTCGGCGCACCGGGCTTGTTTGGGGTGATGGTAAGGAGTGGCCAGGTGACACCAAGGCCAATTTCCAAATGTTCATCGAAGAAGCTCCACACGGTGTAGCTGAGCAGTACGGACATTTGATTCCGAATTGCTTCGGGCATCTGTCGCTTGTTGACGTCAGCCTCCTGCTGAACGAACATGGGATTGTTCTCGTTGTTCTGTAGATACATGTTCATGACGCGCGGGTCTCGATGACGCCAGTATTGTATCGGCTGAAAGATCACAGCATCAAGCCTGAACATAAAATTAGTAACAATGATCAAGAAGTCAGATTCCATGTATGTTTTGGAACGACAGATAGGGAAGATTAGAAAGTAGAGATACTTACCAGGGGTCTCTCTCGGCTATGAGTTGTTCGAGGAGACGATTGGCAATCTCAATTGACACAGACAACTGGTTCCAAATATGTTGGTTGTCTACAGTCCACCAATTGTCCTTGTGCCGAGTCAAGCCAGGAATTGGATTTTCGATGGTCTCAAAGCAGTTGACTCGATAATCAAACCATCTTTCGCGGGCGAAAATAGTCAGCCACTTGAACTCGTTTCTTTCGAACCCCGAAGACTTGAAGACTTCCCACCCCAAGTCATTTCCATCTCTTGGTACATGGTGTTCGGGCCCATATGGCCCAGGCCGCGTGTTGAGTGCAGGGATCTGCCAACTCCGAAGGCCGCCAATGGCAAGAGCCTGGAGGCGCTCGTCGAGAAACAATCTGTCAAGTGCCAGAATGTGAGGTTGTTGGACTATCTGATCGGGCACCTCTCCCCCATCGGGCAGGGCTTCGACAGGCATTGTAGGCCAGTAAGGCGCCAGGCTAGAATGAAGCACGCCATTCTCGTCTAAACTCGAGTATGGCATAGTCCCCGGATAGAATCTGTTGGCCCATGGCGAATGTGGATATTCTATGTATATATGGGCTCTCCGGTATGGAGCCGTCGGCTTGCGGTCGCGCCACGGGCGCGCCATGATGAATGTTACGTCGTTTGTTAATACCTCGCCGCCGCTAGGTCATGATACCAGGAGGAGAGTTGAGCAATGAAAGGGAAGTTCTCGCGCAAAAAAATATCGAGAGCGGAGAAATATTGTTTGGTCTAGGATGAGACATGTAAATTACGCACAGACTTGCAATAGCTGGAATGGAGAATGCCCAGGCGTTGCCGGGCAAACACATTCCAAAGCAGTCGGACGGATTAGGGAATGAAAACACATATGGGAACAATGAATAGGTGAGCATTATTAGTCCCTTTATTGGACGAAATGCAGTAGTCACATATCCTACCACAGCTGGAGCCTGCCCGCCAGCCACAGGCTTTGCGATTGTCATGGTTTGCTCAAGGTACATTTGCGGACTTAGTGACGTGCAGGAGAGACAGCAGCACTGCCAAGCCGGGCGAAGAAAGGAGAAGCACGCAAGGGATTAGATCCAGAGGCCGCTCAATACATTAACAAATTGCACATCCACCACTTGCTTTGTCAGAGTACGACACTAGGTATACAAGGCTGTATATGTAAACATGCTTGCATGGAATGACTAAAAGAAAAAGGCTGAGCTGAGGCGGGCAAAATATCAACTTCAATATTTCTGAAACCTTTTGCTTCCATTTTGACATCGAGAATCTTGGGATATCATTCGAAAAATAACTAAGTCCCTAGGTATGCTGCGTAGTCAAGTTCACGACATCGGCCACGGTGTTCATCAACTACACAGAAAAATTGCGTATCATCTCGTAAATGCATGGACTCGGACGATCTGGTTGCGATTGTGCATCCTATATAGGGTGACAATGTTTCTCTGATCAGAAGTATTCCCGAAGAACAAAAAGAAAGAAAAAACTTTACTGCCGTGACATGAAGGAAACAGTGCAACAAAGAGCTGTAGTGTTGATTCTTCTTCTCGAGCTGGACATGATTGTTTCCATGTCACCTTTATCAAGGAGGGTCTCGAGCTATCATCCATCCTCAACGAATAACTGGGCAAGATGTTTAGGGGTCGCATGAGACGAAGGCCGTTTGCACCATTCGTATCAAGGAGAAACTCTGGGTAAAACCTCATTCATTGGCCCCCCGACCACACCACGTTTCATAGACCTGGTTAAACTGCTCTGTTTTCAACAAAGAAACAAACACTGCTCTCGGGTCAGCAATAGCTTAGTGGTATTCCTGACAAGTTTCTAAACGCGCGCTCTGGAAACTTGTCATCAATACCACAAAGCGCGCCAGTTCGATTCCACCAGTTGGCTCGGATTGTGCCCAGTCAGTGAGAACAAACTCAAGCGTCTGATCCACGCTACATGGAGGGGGCTGGGGGCTAGAGATCGAAATAGATTAGTTTTTTTTTTAAGTCTTTTTTCCTTCCTGTCCTTATTCTTTTGCCCCTTTCCCCTCTTTCTCCTATCCGTGCTGACTCTCTGGATGGCGTGAGAATGTATGGCTCAAGACAGATGGTACACCAACGAGTTGACAAGGGAAGAGTCATCATGTCTTCTAGTTTCAAATATTATTATTTAATATTATCAATGGATACATGAGTCAAAATCGTTTTGAAGGGTGCCAAAACTAGACATTTTGCCAGTTGGCAGTGTGACTTCAATAGAACATTGAAATGCGCGGCTAGAAGGGGACCGAAGTCTCCTTCTTCGACGATGCATTACTTGGACCAACAAACAGAAACCTTGTTAGAGCATTGTAGCTTAAGAGATTAGGTCTCCTGTTTGCCCCACGTGGCCTGTCTGAATGCAGGCGTTGAGAATGATTTGGCATGGCTCATTTTTATCCTTTATCAGTTTCAGGAGTCGTCGCATTGGCTTGGCACCTACAGATAGGACGAGATGCACCCGAGTCACTGGTTACCTTCTTCGAATGTAGCACTTGTTGCAAGAAAAGATGACATAAGACAATCACTCAAGAAAGATTGATTGCAACTACCAGGCAGTGCCTAGAATTCCAGAAGTGGAGGTCAAGCCAGTTGACGTGTCTGTCAGTCAAATGTCTCACATGATGCGATCCAGGTAGTACGAATCATCAGATCTATTGTCAAGTACGATTTGAACCTCTATGCCCTCCGTGATGCCATGATACCATAACCTGCAGCTAAGAGGCACCTGCTCTTGCTGACATGCCAAAGAACGCCGATTTCCAAATCAGAAACGCCATTTCTCTATCCGTATCCCTTGCAACTCTTGAAGAAAACAAAACATCTCATCCTCCCGTCAATCTAGCAATACTTATGCGTTACACCAGTCATCAATCTGATCTACCCTCACCTGCTCCAAAGCATTGACTAGCTTACGTCTCATGTCCTCTTGGTGCAAGACCTGCTTGAACGCCTCAGCCTCATTCTGGAATAAATGCAAGAGTTGAGCGTGCGTGGTGATGTCCTTGCCATCAAGGGCCTTGGCAAAGAGGTTGTGCTTCAAGAGCCGTGCCAAAATGTTGCCAAACTCGGGAATCGCCTCCAAGAGGTAGAGAATCAGACTTCGTCGAGCCTCGGGCAGGAGCTCTTCGGTCGTCAGGCCGCGCTGGCGCGCCAGGATCTGCAACGGGATATTCCCAGTCAAGTAGTCTCTGCCAAGGATGAAGATCGGCTCGGAGATGGACATGGTCGGATCGTACAAAGTAGCCAAGGCAGATAACCTGTGATGACCAACTGCTTTCCTCTCGGGCCGCTGCGATCGCTTCTGCTGCTTGTTCAATCTCCTGATGTTGATAAGCCCACCGCCTCCTCCGCGCAGCGTCATGGCGGTATCAGCCGGTCTGTCGGAGTTCTCTTGAATCTGGGTTGCCTGTGACAGGACTTGAGTCGGAGTGGCTCGGTTCGCGGAATCATTGACTGGTGTTGTATCATTCGTTTTAAGCTTCTTCATGGAATCGGAAAGACCGTCAAACGAGGGGTACTGTCGCTTGTTGCTGGAAGGCTGCGACTCGGGCTGAGAAACAGCGGCTTGAGAGCAAGCATCTTTCACCTTGTCGAGGAGGATATCTCGGGTCTCGGTGTCTTTTCCATTCTGAATCGGTTGAACAGAAATGTCGACAGTTGCAGGCTTTCGCGTGGCACAATTGTTACAAGTGCGCATCGAGTACCCTTCTCGAAAGAATTGACTCTCGGGCATCTTCTTGTCGCACTTGGGGCAATTGTGGATAGTCTCCTTTGGTTGCGGTACCTTGGTTTGTTTGGCTGCGTCCCTTTGCGGTGCCGGCTTGGGCGGAGCCAAAGCCTTGACTGTGATCTCGCCAGACGAAGTCAAGCTGTTCTCCGGCAATACACCTAGATCGATCAGAATGGCTTCGGCGTCCTTGCCCTGGGCGAATTGCTTGGCAGCCCTTTTGACCTTGGCTTGGTCTGCCCGGTCTAGCTCTCGGCAGCTGCGGCAATTCTTTACAACTTTTTTGGCATGTTTGGCATGGTGAAAGTGCTCTATGGATTTGGTTTGCAAGCAGTTGGGGCATTGCACCATGTAACCTAGAGGCCCAGAGTCGCCGGACGGTGCAGGCGCTGATTGAAGTTTGTGAGAGTCTGCTTTCGGTTGCTTGCTAGCATCTTGATCAGTGCCGCCTGTTGCGGGATTGGATGCGGAGTCTGTGGGCGTCTTGGTTCCTGTTGATTGGACTCCAGAGGGAACATTGGCTGAGAGATGTGGTGCAGCAGGACCCCCACTACTACTGACATCAGTGCCGGTACTGTTTCTTGTGTCACTGTCGACTTCTTCTGTAGGCAATGGGTCGACACGACCATTGTCCACTCTTGTCGAGTCTGCAGGTTGGACTTGATCATTGGAACTTGAAGTCGGAGTGTTTGGCTCAGTCTTGTCCTCCTTGACATTGGATGGTTGGGAAGGTGTTGTAACATCGTTTGCGTTCGAAATCTGAGGGGAAGGCAATGTCTGTGTGCCTTGGCTTGTCTGTTGAGTTTCAGCTACAACGACTGTTTGAGGCTGGCTGGGCGCGTTCTTGTCCGACGACCCGGTCGAGCTGGGAGAGGCCTCTGGACCTCCAAAGCGGAATCGAACTAGACGCTCTGCCTGAGTGAAAGCCGTATTTGTATTGGGTTGTTGTCGGTCGACCTTGGGCTGTTCACTTGACGAATTCGGCTTGGCTGGATGCCCGTCCGAAGGAGCATGGGTCGGAGTGGCTGTATTGTGTTGTCCGTGATCCGCCATGTTGACTGACTGTCACTTGCGAGCTGTCTCGAATGATGTCTATGCTGAGATGAGTGATTGATAATAGGTTTGGAATACCAGTGTTCTTCACCCTCGAGGCCAGGATTACGATTGAGACCAAGTAGACGTGCGGTGAAAGTTGAACAGAATAGAGGTTTCTCTAAAGTTGTAAGTGAAAATGATTTGAAGGGAAGTTGATGAGGGCATGAAGATGATTTGAGATTCAGACTGCCACTTGGCATATTCTTATATAATCGAGTACAAGGTCAGAAATTTGTTACCTTCAGCATCGGAGGTCTGAGGCATAGATCAAGACAGTCTTTTCTCCCTTGTCGTGCCTCCTTGATGGACAAGGCTGAACATTGACAAGACATGGTGCCTGGACATTGATTTGTACAAGACTTCTCCGAAATAAAATAAGAACCCTGGGTATAATGATACATTGATACCGCTGAGAAGACAAAAGTGGTGGAACAAGGATGGTGTGCATCACATTTCATCCGTGAATGTGTCCTGGCTAGGAATTGAGCTCAGGCATATCTTAGCAGAAATCTCCGCGGAATACATGCCACAAATTAGAAGTGATTGATCGGTGGTCGCGAGCTGACCTACCAAGGCAAAGCTGTGATGCCTAGCTGATCTTGATCTGCCTTGGGAATGTGCTCGCCAGGCCTTGAGAGCTCACTTAAGCACGACATTCACAAGGGAACTCAATGAAGACGGCTGAATGTCATTTTATGCCGTGATTGGAAGGATTATCTAACTTGCTGTTTAGAATAAATATTTCTTGAATGAAAAAGCCTTTTGCCATAATGCAACTGCACAGTGGAGGAATTGCATAGGGCTCCTGTATTAGCCAGCAGAGCATAAATCTTCCATACGGGTATTGATACTATTCAGTACGAAACGGTTGTCGCCAAGGCTTAAACTTCTTTCTATGCCTGGATGATATGCACCTGAGGTAGCACAAAATCATGAGAAAAGTATGTTGCATACCTTGGTATTCATTCTGTTCATCAAAGGTTTCATAAACCCTTATGACGTCACCCCCCGCGAAACTCTGCAATAACTCAACAAACAATTGTACCACTTCCTCCCTTCGACTCACATATCCTCAGCTATTTGGATAGATTCTTGACAAGGATTTACCAAAGAGAAAGAGCCTCTTTTTATGCACCTGGGACCGACTTCATTCACTCGCCAATGTTTCGAAAGATGGCGCCCATCTCCGCATCCGACATTCCCTCCTTGGCTCTGCTGTACAAGCTCAAGAAGCTCCAGCCTGCCAAGACGCTTCCAGTGTCGGGCGCCACGCCCGCCCACAATGACCGCGTCGGCTTGATCCGAGGCGACATCACCACCATGGCCGTCGACGCCATCGTCAACGCCGCCAAGCGATCCCTGCTGGGCGGCGGCGGCGTCGACGGGGCGATCCACCGCGCCGCCGGCCCGGGGCTCCTGGCCGAGTGCCGCACCCTTCAGGGTTGCGGCACCGGTTCGGCCAAGATCACCGACGCCTACGACCTGCCCTCGCGCAAGGTGATTCACACCGTCGGCCCCGTCTTCTTCCGCGTAGGGCCCACCCAAGCCAAGGTTGACCTTTCGTCGTGCTACGACTCGTGCCTGCGCCTCGCTGTGCAGTCTGGCGTCAAGACGATTGCCTTTAGCGCTATTAGCACAGGTGTCTATGGTTATCCCAGCCTGGATGCTTCGGTGGTTGCCTGCGAGACTGTCAAGAACTTTCTTGATGGCGAGCATGGACACAAGCTCGACAAGGTCATCTTTGTCACATTTGAGGAGAAGGACGTTCACTCGTACAATGCCACTCTACCGTAAACTTCTCACCTCCCTTCAAATCTAGGGCCATGTACTAATTTTCCTTCTCAGTCGATTCTTTCCCCCTAGCATGGAGACATCATCGCAGCAAGAGAGAGCCGCAAAGGAGGAGAACGCCGAGGCCGAGGCAACCATCAGTCAGCTGCCTGATGTGCCCAAGGCAGATCCTTCCGACCCCGACCATGTTCAGAAGAAGCAGAAGCAGAATGACTAAGGAGGACGCCTAGGCGTAAAGTACACGACGATGATAATGATATGAAAGCGAGGCGTTATTGGTGTACACTGGGATAAGTGATACCACTTTGATTTGCGGTTTGAGTTTCCATTGAAATGCAAAGGGCATCGCCTACCTACCAAAGATTCACGTAGCAGCCGGTGTCGCAGTTTGTCATAGTTCCGATCAGTTTAGAGAATGAATTGATTCGAGTCTACGATAACTCTTGAATTTGACAATAATGTGATGACCCTATTTGCGACTTCATCTTTTCCCTTCTTTCACTTATAGCACAGCTTTCTACGGCGTGAAAGATGGAGAGATGGCGCCGGCGAATAATGTCCTTTGCCTTTTCCACGTCGGCTGCCACAATGTTTGGTAATCGCACCCTACCTGAATTCAGTCCGCAGGAGAGGACAGGTTGAGTGCTCACAATACTTTCCACGACTTGAATGTGGCGGGCCATGATCTCCAGGTCTAGAGGTTCTGCCTTCTAATTCGGGTCCCAGGTCGGCTTCTAAAAAGAAGACCTCCGCCAGGAAGAAGGTCCGATTTCCACTGCTACATTTCATCACCTTCATAATCTCATCTACTTGTTTTCGCCGGCCAAGGGCGGCTGCACTGTGGGTAAAGCGTGCACCTGTGCCGCGAACACACATGAGTCTCATCTGATCGATGAGTGCGTGTTTTCTCTCGCTTCCCCCTTTTTTTTTCCCTCCTTCCCAACCTCCTCCCCTCCATCTCACTGGGGGTTTCAACTCCTATGTCTGCCAACCAATCTTGAAAGCATACACAGGAACCACTCCCACCCTGGGAACTTTGCCCGGAAAGACCTTGTTCAGAATACCGCCAGACCATGAACTCCGGGTGAGGAAAGAGGTCAGCGGCACCGGTGGACTGCGCCGTCAACGCGGCCTTGACGTAACATCAAGTCTTCAAGTTCTTTTTGAAATCATTACCAGCAGATAGTAGTTGTGGTTTGTTGTTAGGCTGAGTATATCAAGAGCCATTCTGAATTGCACGTCATGAGAAGGCTGTAATTATTTTTGACATCCGGAACTATCAATTCACGAAAACCATTAATACCTAGTTCGCTATGATGTAGACTCCAATCCGATCCTGAGCATTTAGATCGCCATGGTGATGGAATCCAGTAGCCCCAAAGGACAGATGTTTCCAATCACCGACTGCCCTAATCATCCGGTCCATAGTGACCATTTAAGCATCGCTCATATGACGAGTTGCGCCCTTCTCCTCATCCTCCACAACGTGAGGCTTTTCGTGCCTGTGAGCAGTTGCTTCATCCAGGTCGGCGTCGTGGGCAGCGTCGAACGAGCGGCTCAGATGTTCGGGTCCGATAAAGGTCAGGAGGATAACATAGGCGTAAACACAACCCATGAAGATGCAAATAACCTTGCCATATTCATAGCGCTTCGTCTCTCCCTTTGGCGGCAGAGGGAACCGCTCGCCGATGGTGGACTCGATGGTCGAACTTGCTGATGACACCAGGTTGCCCAATTGGTAACTAGTACCCACGACAAAGGTTCGGAATGCACCAGGCGACAGTTCCATCAGATGAATGGGAATGACACCCCAAGCACCTTGTACGCAAAATTGCTGGAAGAATGCCGCGGCGATGATCCCGTGGTTGGAAACAAATGTGTAGGGATACAGCAGAGCACCACCGACTATGCATATGACGATGATACTAATACGACGACCAAAGATCTGAGACGAATAGCCAACAACGGTACCGCCAAGCATGGCACCCAAGTTTGCTACAACCCTATAGAAGTAGAATATTAGCGTGCAACATTCACACAGAATATGTTGTGGAAAGACGTACTGGGTGACAGTGACCTCGGTAGCACCAAAATTGTACTGGTTCTGGAGCATGGTTGGGTATAGGTCCTGGGAGCCGTGCGACATGAAGTTGAAGCCAGCCATGAGCAAGACCAAGTAAACAAGCAGTAGCCAATGGCGCTTGACGGCAACCTTGCCCTCCTCGACAAAGGTCTTGCCAACGCTTCCACCTTCAGTCTTGCGCAAAGACTGATGGTGTTTGTACGTGTCGGTCTCATCCAGGAAAAATCGCCAAATGATGAATATCAATGGCGGACAGGCACCGAACCAATACAGGGGACGCCACTCGTGGGGAGTCGTGTTGACGAGTCCTCGTGAAAAGGCGGCAGCAAGTAGGTAGCCGAATGCGTAGCCCTGTTGCAGCAAGCCGCTCATCAATCCACGTGCTTCGGCCGGGAGATCTTCCAATGCGGTGGCTGCAGCATTGCCATAGAGACCGCCCATTGCAATACCAAAGAGTGCGCGACACGCGAGGAATTGTTCATATGTCTGACAGAAACCCGTACCCTTTTTGAACAAGTATTAGTCAACTTTATCACCAATTCCGATAGGTCTCCAAGACCTGTGCCGCTTTTGGGGTAGGTACTATGGCTGCCCAGCTCATAAATCTGCAGCCAAGATAGTTGTGAGGGCTTGGCCGCACTATGGCGGTCTTGGCTCCCGTGGGCCTTCACAACAAACCTGGCCCCTACGATTCGCGAGGCAGCCACAAAAAAAGCTTGGTATGGACGGCGATGAGCCGCAATTTGAGGCATGACGTACCAGTTCAAGGACAATGAAGAGAAAGTTGTTGACAATGAAGGGCCATTTGCGACCATATCTATCGGCAGCTACACCAAAAATGATGGACCCGACAGAACGGAACATTAATACCTGCCAAATTGGTAAGTCGCTACATTGCCACCGCGGTCATGAGCTGCTCTCTCATTGGTAAGAATACTAACCAGCGTGATTCCCCAGGTTATGTCCGTGTTGGTGATATCTGGCTTGTGAACTTTGAACGTCTTGACTAGGTCACTGACAGTGAGTGAAACTGTGAAGAAATCGAAGGCATCCCATGTCTATTTGAGCGCGCCAGTCAGTTTTACTCGAGGATTCGGCAGGTATGTTGTTGTTGTTGATATGGTGAAATCATGTAAAACTTACCCAGGCCCAGAATGCGACAAAGAAGAATGCCCAGTGGTGGCGGTTGAGCATGCGGACCAGTCTGATGGGATTTGGGGCATTGGCCATTGCCGGCTTCAGCGTGCTCACGCGCGTGGCGAGGTATTTGCCAGCCGACATGCCATGATGTGGCGGATGCATACTTGCGTTGTGCTCATTGTAGTCGCCGGTGCCATCAAAGGCGGCTGACGTTGGCGCTTCACTGTGTGCCATGGTCGGTCCGCGCGTGGAAGAGTAATACGCAGCGACAAGACAGTTACGTGTCGGAGTCAGACTTCGAAATCGCAACAGGCTGTGAGCGATGGATGAGAAAAGGCTACGCACTGCTACTCCTCCCAGGATTGGACTGGCCGACCTGGGCCCTTTAAATATGTCTCGGAGCACAAGGTAGGGAGGTACCTTGGAGGACCCTACCTTGGACCTTAGATAGCCCGACTACTGCAAGACGAGGCAAAACAACAGCAGAGGTAGGCAAGGTAGGTTAGACAGATGAATCCTTCCGCTGGCTTCTGTGCGGGGTGTAGACGGAGTACCGCCGCATGCGGTCTCAGTCAGCCACTCATAATCAGTGCATGGCAGAAGAGCAACGATGGGCACTGTCTTTTCCGTGGTCGATAAGGCAAGCAGGCAGGCAGGCAGGCAAAGCAGGGAGAATGAGCCAGCATTCTTTTGGGTTAGTGAGCATGTCAGATGGGCAAAGATCCTCGTCAGGACTAGGGAAGTATTTCGAGCCAGCATGCGATGTTGGTTGGTAGGTACAACTAGCCGGCGAATGAAAACCTTGCCTTGAGCCTCCAGAGAACGGGGCGCCGATGAGAGTCAGAGTCAACTAGGGTGATCGTCCGTAAATTGAGAGAGGGTGTGAAGGAGTCGGGGGAAGCGCCAACCAGGGTTGCCGTAGCCAGGGACCTGGGAATCAACTTGATGTCCTCAACTCCGCATCAGGTAGGCATTTGCGCTCGCTATCCACAGCTACATTACCTGACACTGAGAAGATGATGGATAGGTCTCCATTCACGAGAATCAATGTTGCACTTGCGACATGATCTTGCATCCCAGCCGCAGAAAATACACGACCCGTGACCCAAGGCTCTTGCCGTCACTATTGACGGTATTCTGGCAACTACATCTATCTCGAGTCTCAATTTTTTTTTTCCTGGGGCCACTACTTACCCCATCCCCATCATCCCCAACCTTGGCGGCTTTGGGGTTACCACTACCCACAAGCACGGACATTTTGGGGAACTGGGGTAAAAGCTGAACAAACACATTGGATGACATCTAGGGCATTGTGGTGATGGGTTCGGTCCCTAATTTGCCCGTTCCATACTGTGAAAAGACGACGAGTAATTGTCGTTGCTTCCCGAAACCAGATCGTGTATCAAATTAGATTTCGTCTCAATCCTCTAGCGTCAAAGTCTTTCTGGCTGAGTTCAGCATCTATTTATGTAATGCACCTGTTGAAGTCGTCGGGTATTTTTCTTTCGCCATCATTTTAGAGTGTGTGCCCCTGGCATATCAGCAACGAGTCGCAACATGCAGATCTTGGCCAAATCAAAGCATAATTGTCGCCAAAGTATGTTGCCAAGTGTAACGGCGAGAGTTCTGCCATGAGATATAACCTATCCGGACGATCCTTGAAGCGCGAAGCGGGGGGTCATCCATCAACCGACTCGAGGCCATCGTGAATTTCTAGACTCCATACGTTGGTCCGCATTTCTCGTACGTTCATTGATGTCAGACATGGACCAAAGTCTGGCGTGGTGTGGGGAGGTGGGGGATGGTGAGCACCAAAAATCTTGGCTGCCGTTACAAACACCCTTGACAACTTAACACTAGTAGGCAAACTACAAGGAAGGCTCGATGTCGTCCACATAGTATTGATCCTGGTACCACCAGTCCAGCAAGCTTCAGGAGGCAAACTGGATACAATCCATCTTAGGTGCTGGTGGTCTGGTGCTTTGTTCTAAATAAGCCCACGATATACATCGTAGCATTTGATTGGTTGATTTGAATGCCTGGAAGCCATGTCCCTCTTGTATAATAGCCATTTACTAGATTGAAGCTTCAACACTCCACACTGTTCTCCCCGAGCGCAGCCCTACGGCTGAAGGAGGAAAACTATACAAACGTGGTTGGCGATTTGTCAGAATTTACACGACTTATCAAGTAATTTTTATTCATGAATGGTGCCCAAATGGTGCCATGAGATGTTCATCTCAAAGATCTGGAATTATTCGGACCAGATCAAGCCAAAACATTATCTAGACTTGACACTTCCTTTCGCGCCAGATATCCTCTCGGGCTGGCTTTTTGTCGTCCCTGCTATGATTTTAGTGCCACCAAGGATATCTCGGGCACCAATGGGAAGTGTAAATGCAGATTCGGACCACGAACAGAATTGCCGGCCTGCCGGAAGCAAGAAAAAAAAAATCGATTGCATGTCACTCGAAAGGTAGGGAGTCAAGACGGGCCGGTCGCAGTGGATTCAACTTAAAATGTGTAATCGGAATCAAGACAAACCGACGGTCAAAAAATAGCCATATAGAAAACACATGTAAGATTCAGGCGAGTGAATCAAGAATAAGTTGTAATTCACACGAATAGCATATCAACAAAAATCATGATTAGATACACAGAAATCCTTGAAAACGCCACTGCCACCAAGCCGGCGCCAGCGCCCCCAAACTCCAGCCTTGGTCATAGATCGGGAGGGAAAAATAAAATAAAATAAAGGTTCAGTAGTGTGAGCTTGGTGATGTTGGTCATCAATGCCTCAATCATTCTACTGGTTTGCGCAAACCAGTGTCATAGGGGCTCAAATGAGGCTTTCGCTCTCCTGCTTTTGTTCCAGAGCCTTGCTGACATTTTCCAACAAATCCTTGAGCTTGTTGACCTCCTCTCTCAGTGACCTGACCTCGAGAACTGCAGGTTCCTCTTCAACATTGGCCTTGCTCTCGGCCACCTTCTTGGCCCAACCTTCGCTTTCAAAGTCAACATCGCCAGCCATCTGCTCCCATTCCTCCACGGAATCGTCATCATCATCACCACGCGCACGGTTGCGGAGGATCTCCTTGGCCGTGTGCATCTCGAATATCGCAGCCATGACCAACAGCGGAGAATAAATGATTCCCATGACAATATCGTTGATGCGTTCATACAGCTTCTTTGGCATCCACCACTCGAAGGGAAGAACCAGAAGAAACACCTCAATCAAGTTGAAGGGTGCAATGTAAACATTTTCATCAGGAGCACGAACAAATTGCATCGTCTTTTGAGAAAAGAGTGCAAGGTATTCGTCGTCCGAGTTATCGTAAATATCCTCGTAAGCGCTGTTGTAGAGAGCAATCAAGATGTTGAGGAGAATGATCATGATGACAAAGGTAAAGACGTAGTACAGGATGATGCCGAATGGAGGGCTGAATCTCTCGAATCCGCTAAAGTCGGGACTCTGCATGATCGCATTGGCCATGGCTTGAAGGATGAAGATGGTATCGTCGCCAGCCATATCGTCCGCATAGTCCATACCAATAAACGCTTGCAAAAAGCCGACAATAACGACGAAGAGCAATGCGAAGAAGATGACAGACTCCTTCATCATGACCTTGAGCACGACAAGCATCGCACCAAAGAATCTGAAGCTGTCAAGGTAGAGCAACAGACGACCCCAAAACATGGGCGCGGCAAAGGCGAGGAAACTGTAGCTGAGCTGGTTGAAGTGTTGTCTCGTATCTGCCTCGTCCCACGAATGGCTGAAGGCGATGATTCTCAACACGAATGAGACAATGAGCAGCGAGTAGAGACAGCCGTTGAAGACGTTCCAGAACCCAATAATGTGATAGCCAGCCTTCCAGAACTTTGTGAGCTCGTCAAAGATGAAACCGGAGGTGAAGATATACAGCAAGATTTCAACAAAGTCCAGATCACCGCTGGGGTTGATGGTGTTGATGGCGCCCGTGTACAATGCCAGATAGATGATGGAGATGAGAAGCTGGGCGGCGTTTTGGTGCATGGGAGCTCGCATGCGGTCGGGGTCAAGATGTGGCCAGAAAGATGTGTTGTCTCGATCCTTGTAGTCAACAAAGCTGGCTGGATCATCTTCATCTTGGACAAGCCATCCCTTCCAAAGATAGCCAATGCATTTCTGGACCGTCCACGTTTAGCCTTGATACGATCATTCAGACATGTACGAGATAGAACCCACCTGGTAGCCGGAGGAGCCAATAACAAGAAGTGAGTGAAGATCCACGGCCTTTTCAATCACGTTGACGGGTGGAGTGGCCTCTCCGTCGATCATGATGGAGTAGCGCTTGAGCAGGACCGAGTGCATGAGGTAGCCCATATCCTCCTCACCCTCGATACTAGCGCACTGTCAGAAAGGCTCCATGTTGCGAATTGATAGATAGATTGCTCACATTTGCTTGGCAATGACCTCACAAGCGGTGGCACGGAGGCCATGGAGATCGGCATCCCATAGCTCGAGAAGAGCCTGGTGCTTGAACCACCTCTTGACGGTCAGCAGACAGTACACCACGCACGCCTTGTTCTCTTCGCCGCCGGCCTCTTGAGCAGCCTTTACGACTTTCCGTGTGATGACCTTGCTGTGAGGACGGGTGACCTGCTCCTCGTCCAATTCGCACGGAATGCACTCTTCAATCAGGTAACGGAGACGGATCGCAATCTTGGTGACGTCGGGGGCTGGGATCGCAGATTCGATATTCCTGTCTCGGTAAGAAGGAAGGACTGTGCAACGATAATTAGCCGCTGAGCGGGAACGAAACAAGCATGTCTGCGTGCTTGGGATACTTGCGTCGACGGCGAGACTCATGAATGCTCCAGTCATTGTCGCGGTGCGGGTGCCGGTCCCAGCCAAGCAACTTTGATATGCTGAAACGATTGTGACCTCGTGCCATGGTGCCAACTGTTTACTGCGAACTCAAGCCAACGGCGGCGTCGTCCTCGTCGTGCAAGACTGAAGAAAGGCTCAATGGGCGCCGGGTTAGGGGCAATTGAACCGAGGAGCCTCGAACTGGACGGCTAAAGAGATCGTAAGGTGGTTCAACAAGACGAGAAATGCTCTTTCTTGCGTTCGGCCGAGTTGCAAAATCAGCAAAAAATCCCAGCCCACTTCTTGCTGCACAATTGACTCCAGTGTGTTGATAACCTGTTTTTCGACCCGCAGGACAGGAATGGCTGGTGGGCTCGGACATCAATTGCTCCATGACGTCTGTTAGACCCAATTGAACCAATGGCGGGGGGGTTTGAGCTCAACCTAAGAGAGCTCTAGAGCTTCCCCGGTCCTTGGGTCTGTCTTCCGACCTCGTGCGGGTATATCTTGAGTGGTCGCCTTTCGGGCCGCGTCGTCGATTGACGGTTTTAAAAGTATAAGAGAATTCTAAGATTAGTGGTATTCCGTAGATGGGCCACAGATCCGGGATTGTATTGATCTTGCCCCGGTGTGGCGCGTATTCCTGGCATTCTGACTTGTGCTGACTTCGCTGTTCCTGGCGATCTCTGGATGATCAACTCTAAAATGGGCCAGACTAGCACGCCTGACCCTGTGTTACCATCTATGATCTACGAGCTATATAGGTAAGCTCTCATCTATATTGTCCTCCCAACTTGCAACTTGCTTATCTGCCATCTATATAAACTTTCGATAATTTCTGCTCCTCAAATGATTGAGAAGGTAGATAGCCGGAGGGTAGTACCCCTTGGAACCACTTGACGAACCTCCGAATCCCACCTAGCTATACTGGCCACAACAGATATGTAACGGGTCGTCTCCAGTCTGAGACTTTCTATCCATGTGTGACCCGGTATTCTTGCTCCGTGTCTCGGGGCCTTTCTGATTTATTACTTGCGACTTGACTGAGGCTGTCGGTGACATGCAGCACGATGCGATAGCTCTTGTTGCACACACCAAACATCTTCGTAGAGCACCGAATTGAGCACGGCGCAACCAATGATCTCCACAACCTTGCTACACGATATATATATCAGTTTTCTTCTGCCACGATCATCTATTTAATATTCACACCGCTCAAAACGTGGGTCCCTCCACAGTAGGTACAGCATGCAGCAGCCATGAATGCAGGTGCAGCCAATGTTGGCCTCGCTTCGAACGTCCACGCAATGTGCAACAACATGAAAATCTGCGGCCGTCCGTTCTTAGCACCTCGCTCTTTCCAGCCAAATTACATTCTACGGCTATAGACGCCCTCGTCAAGCAGATCTCGTCATTTCAGCAGCCGTAACTGACTATTGACGGCAGGCGACGAAGCCTGCTGCGGATTGCCGCCTCAGCGCGGAAGTGCCCAGCCTGGAAGCATCCGGCTGATGGTTGTCAACCAGTTGCGACGGCAAAAGACAGTGATACTCTTGGGAGGGTTGCTTTGCCCCGTATAAATCAGACATTTATTGTCCCATGCACGCGTTTACCGAGCTCGATGAGTGAGGCGGACTCTGTGCGATAGGCTCGTTCCCCAAATGCATGTTGCTACGAACGGATTTTTACACGAAGCGCTTATTAACAAACCATATGCAGCCTAGGGAGGGCAGAAGACACCACTTGACCCTTAAAGGATATAAATGAATGCATGGACAGCATGGCCATTGCTCGACCGGTCACTACACTTGTCGGCTCTGGAGCTTCCGTCAAATGACACCGCGGCAGCTGGGAATAATGCACACATTCTGGCATATGTATGCAACCCTGATGATTCTCAAGATTCCCCGGGGGCTAGTTCCAACATGCATGCTTTTCTACAAGATGGCTTGGATGACTACGGAGGTATGCTGGGGCTATGCTCCTCGGTACCTCTCAAAGCACCTCGATTTCTTATCCACCATGCGATGCGCTCGAATGTATAGTTTCTGAAAAGCAAGCAATTCATCACATCCATTGCTTTCCACCATCATCGACGCAACATTTTAGCGATGCATGTGTTTATTGCATTCCTATGCAGTATTTATATTTCCATCGGGTAGGCTACCAGGCGGGTTTTGTTGCTGTGTAGTGCCTTGGCAAAGCATTCAGTGAGCTGGAGCCTCTTCATTCAGCAAAAGAGCCATGGGCCAATGCCAGGCATCCGAGATCGTGCAACCTGACCTGTCATGCTGCAGCCAACCGTAGTTCAGCTACCTACTAGGTATGCACATATCGTTTTGCAGAGCAATTCTCAACAATTTGCATCTATGGGGCACTGGTCAATAACCCTTGTCGTGAAAAAGGGAACACGCCTGTCGTGGCGAGCTGCCACGAAATCAATCATTTTGCATACTGCAAAAGTCGGTAGCCGACCGCTTCGCCATCAGACGAAAGCTGCCAAACCTGCAGCCGCAATGTCCATCCTTCGAAAATCACACCCCTCTCCCTAACCCCCCAAACAGCATATGCAATTTGTCGGACACGCCGAGCCAAATACATCTTCGACAGCGATCCGGGTTCTGTAGCCTTTTCCTTCTTACGCCGAGACATGCTTTGGCTGCCTGCTTTGTTGCCTAGCAATGCTCCCCGTATGACAGTAAGCAGCTTGTCATTGGCAAGGCATCTCGACGATCTTCGGTCCAACAGGCAGTGCGGCGGAGCCTAGGTAGCAGTCCCGCCACTAGGATGCATCTGGACAGAGGGCAGCCGTGGATGATTGCTACCATTTTTCCATATGGCATTGAAAATAATAGTACATAATCTGTTAATTTGAGGCTCTGAATCATGCCGTCTCCTCAATGGTACTTCTGGTCACCATGTATGCATCCTGAGATATAGTGGCATGCATAAGTATTTAGTATTCCCTTTCAATATAATATACGACGAGGGAACCGTCGAGCAACTCTAGCCGGATCTGGCGGAACAATGTTCAATTCGCGCCGTCTCATTGGCCATCTGCAAGTCTGATCTACTCGTGTGCATAGATCATGTCTAGGTATGAGTGAATACCTACTCAGGTGCCTTGAAAGTTCTTTAAAGATATCTTACCTATTATCATAATTCCCAAGGCAAATCTTTGTTTTTTGACACCTTTGCATAGGTGCAGGTTTATGAATATGCAATATCCCTAGCACTAATGTATAGCCTACAGGCTTTGCCGTTACCGCGCCTACCATCGGACTTGTCTCTTCTGGCAAGATGGATGCAATGATGCATTTCGATATGCAGCTCGTCATGCCAGGCTTTTTGGCGGGGACAGCTCACTGGTCTGACAGATGTAACCTGTTGCTCCTGTCACCTTGAGATCGCCCAGCAAAGAAAGAGCACTAATGCATGGAGCTAGGGGGGACTGCAGTCAACTATGTACTTACCTTGGGTATGGCTGACAACGGGGACATGATACATAATACTATCGACTTGGCCGCCTTGTTCTGCCTGCACGTCTCGCCACCAACATTGAACCCAAACGAGTCTCTTATAATTTCATTGGTACCCTCTTTGGCAGCCCTACCAGAGGTCCCTTGATTATCTTTTGCAACCCAGGGCATAAGTTCTCTAATCATTGACCAGGGGAGCTGCCCTCCTTAATTACCTACCCGGCTTTCATTGTTCAACCTTCGACGTATCCCGCCAACCACCACTTCTTCTTTTGCCCATCACACCACATCGGCGACAAATACTTGGTGAGTATCAACGTACAGTCTTCTGGCGAACAAGTCATTGTCAACATACTTTAGACAATTTTACCCCTTTGATAAATCCTCTCACGGTGCCTGCTTCTTCTTGGTCGTCGATTGCGGGGTATCAATGAGGAAGCTGAGGCTCACACTGCATCCTCCTCAAGCGTGCAGCTTCTACATCCGTGGGTGGCAGCTTTCCAGTTCGCCTGCATTCATTGGTCCTTGGCAAAATGCGGCACAACAAATATCCTGTTTGATCATCAAATGACATCCTGCCATGTGCTTTCTGATCTATGTTTCGTGCCGAGACTGACTGATATTCTCACAACAGGGAGGAGAAGTGTGTCACTATTTGTTGCGTGGTTTTCTTAGCGGCGAGAGAGAGGCAAACAAACGCATAAGCCGGCAAAATCTGATCAATCTGCTGCTTTTTCAAGAGCAGTCTCCGGTGGAAGGAAGCATCGCTTTGGGTCTCTCCTGTCTTCCTGCAGCGCTTGCCTGCCCATCACAAAATTCTTCGGCTGGTGCAAGCCAATCAACAAGCTTTACAAACTAATCAGACGGTCTCATTCTTTCGTCGCAAAACATTGTCAAGTTCAACGATCTCTGGCGTCTCATTCTTGATCCACCACGAAACATCTTCTTTCAAAGCATTTTCAATCGACCTTTTCTGGAGAAACAGAAACTGACCCATATTCTTCCGGTCTACGATTATCGTTACAAACATGGCCTCTTCAGCTACCCTGGAGGTGAGCCCAAAGGACGAGGGCAGCAGAGCGACTAACAGCAAGGACCCTACTGTCGTCACGCCTTCGGATTCTTCTTCATTAGGCGCTTCTGCAGCAGCAAAGGACCAGAAGACTGAAAATATCAAGGCCAATGGGGACAATGGCAACAAAATCCACAAGCTTGCCAAATCTTCAAAGAAGAACTCCAAGTCCAAAAAACGCAAGAAGGTTATTGTCCTTGATGACCAGTCAAGTCACGATAGCTCCGAGAGTGAATCATCCTCACAGGAGTCATCAGACACCGAGTCGGACGAAGAGATTGTGAAGAACAAATCTCGATCCAAGAAGGGAAAGATCGGTAAGCAGTCAAGGCACCGGAGAAAGCAGAGCAAATCCGGCCGTTCAGACACTGGGACTGAAGTCTCAGATTCCGATTCTCTCGACACCACCGATGAAGAAGAGTCCAAGAATGACAGAAAGTCGCAAAAGGCCCTTGCAACAGTGCAGCAACAGCTCAAACTCCTCACTCGTCAGTTCCAAGATCTAGCTCGCGCCTCAGCGCCCGGCATCAACAATTTCGGTGGCATGCCTCTTTACAATGGAGGTCTAGCAACCAATGCAGGCATCAACCAACCGCTTCTGCCCAATATGAACACGTTTTCAGGTAGACCATATGCCACTCCACCCCCAGCCATTCCAGCAAGAGGACCCGGTCATCCGATCCGTGGCCATCGGGTCAATCGCGACATTGATGAGATTGGCAGCGATGAAGAAAATGACAATTGGGACCCTTTCCAATCTCGCAGTCCGTCAAGAACTAAGAGCAAGGACAAAAACGGCCAGCGCCGACACGTGCTAGAATTCAAGCGCGTCGATCAAGTATGGGACTCGACCACTCACAACTACAAGTTGCAGGATACTGCCACCGACGCGCACAATTCACGCTATGACGAGTATCTGTTCCATGTGCGCCGTACCTTTGACTGGGAAGGCAAGTACAAGGCCACTGTCGTAGACATCAAAAGCAAGCAGCTTCGTGAGGCTCTCCGTGATGTTATGGGGAATCTTCGAGGTATGAACTTGGTGGTGGAGAACCCTAAACTGGATCCAAATATATTGTTTCTGTAAGTTACCCAACATGTCGATTGACTCAGAAACTCTTGACTGATATGTGTCAGATATCTGGATGATCTTCGGGAGCATATGGTGAACCTGACGGATCTGGAGCCAGCCGGAAAGACCAGAAAAGCCCGTAAGAAGGTGCAAAAGTGGATCGACGAGAAGCGTCGACACCTCCGTGTTCTCATTAGGTACTTGGACAAGGATTATGCTCAGACCAAGAAAACGTGAGTGGACTGAAACTTCCTCTCCGGCGGTGTCAATAGTAAAAGCTAATTGCTCACAGCTTGTATCCCCTTCTCGAACACGGTCTCATCACATTCGACCTCTGCTGGGCATTGTGGAAACCTGGTACCAAGGCTTATACGACTACATACGGCTCAACCGATGAGCCTCGGGTCTTCAACATCGAGTTTGCCGAGAAACAACGGAATGTCCTGAAGGGAGAATTTTTCTACGTTGAAGGAAAGGTTGGCGATATGACCATAGTGAAACAATGTGCAGAACCTCGAGCTAATATAGATCTAGTATCTTGAGTTTGATGGCAAGAGCTTTGGCTACGGCACCATGTGCGAAGAGATCGCTGCTTTTAGAGGCGCTCGTAAGATCAGCAGCTTGGATTGCTTTCCGCTACAGTATCACAAAGATGAAGGGCAGATACGGAGGAGTCTCATCGAGCGCGGCCAGAAGTTTGTCAGCTTGGCAGGCGCTCATTACAAGAGTCACAAAGGCATTGCCTTCTACAAGAAGAAGAAGGCTGTAGTCAAGGTGAACATCAATGGCCGCGTCATGATTGATCCGAGCACGTACCGACGAAACAACCCTAATTATCAGGTGAGCTTTATTTCGATGCCAATCTTTCAGACTCGGTCTAATGATGTGATTCTCCAGATCTCCCCCATTCGTCCGAGGGATCATGATATTCTGGACTCTCCCGAGGATAGCGAGGATGAAGAGTACTCCGACGGTGACACTGGCGACGGAGCAAAGGCTCTACAAGACAATGAGGATCTGATCAAGTATGTGACCAAAGTTATCCAGGACAAGGACGGAAATACCCAAGAGATCAGTGTTTCCAAGGATGAGCTTGACCTCATGAATGCAGCTCTAGAAAATGGATTCTTTTCAGGTCAAGGAGCCGACGACGCTAAGGACAAAGCATCCAAGGAGAACAAGATGGAAAACCACCATACTACTAAGAAGGCATCTCATGGCCGCGAATTTTCTGACGAGGACTACCTCATTGCCTCTTCCGTTGTTCTTGGCTTTGCATTCAATGAGAAGCTTTGGGTGGAGCTGTCGGTCAGCGGTGTCAAGGAAATCTCTTGGAATGAGTCTGCGTACGAATCGCTTGTGCTTCAGCCCAAGACAAAGGACGTCGTCAAGGCTCTTGTGGAGTCTCACAAGTATCATGCTGCCGAGAACATCGACGATGTCATCCAAGGAAAAGGAAAAGGTCTAGTTTTTGTGCTCCACGGGCCTCCAGGAACGGGGAAGACGCTCACCGCGGAGGGAATCAGTGAATTCCTCAAATGTCCTCTCTACAGTGTATCGGCAGGCGATCTAGGCACAGATTCTCGGGGATTGGAGGCAGAGCTACAGAGAGTTCTGGATATATGTCATACTTGGGGTGCTATTCTGCTCCTCGATGAGGCGGACGTCTTCTTGGAGAAGCGAAACATGCTTGACCTTCATCGCAATGCCCTTGTGAGCATCTTCCTCCGACATCTAGAGTACTTCCAAGGCATCATGTTCTTGACCACCAACCGTGTCGAGGTGAGTATTTCAAATCCCTGGTTGCCATCCACCTTCATATGACCTTTTAAATCACTCAATCAACGTTATGTGATACTAATGTGAATCTCATAGACTTTTGACGACGCATTTCAATCCCGCATCCACATTGGTCTTCGATACGATGAGCTCGACACTAAGGCAAAGAAGGCCATCTTCAAGATATTTATCGAGCGAGTGAAGGCTCTTCAGGAGGTTCCGATCACCAATTTCACTGACGAAGATTACAATACGCTTGCGAGGCAAAGTCTTAATGGTCGTCAGATCAAGAACACCGTCCGCACGGCCCAGGCATTGGCTCTTCACCGAGGCGAAGCTCTAAGCATGAAGCACATTAGTCAGTTCTTGGATGTACTGCAGAGTTTCCAACAAGACCTACGGGGCGGCACCGGATATCAGGATGCCATGAGAAGCTATTTCTGAGAGTAAGCAATATTTTCTTCGCACCGAGCCGCCGTTGAAGCCATCACGACGCCAAATTCAGCGGTCAGACGAGAACGCTATGCATTATTAGTCGATGGACTGGGGGGTTTGTACACCAGAATTTGAGTCATTACTTCTTGTGCAAGTCCCTGCTTCGCTGCGGAAGGGCTATTTGACTTCGGTATTGATTGCAGGTGGAGACTATTACCGCGGTATGATGGTCCTCAAACTTTTCAGGGCCGAACATTAGGTACCTAGGTATTCATATGAACAGCGATCATCAACCCAGCGAGTCAGGGCTGCCACGCAGAATTGTGTAGATACATGATTACTTTCTAAGAATAAACGGAATTTCAAGCGCACTAAAATTTGTAATCAACAAGAAACCGAGATGCAATGTACTCAAATTGTCTAATGTGACGATCAACAAATCTGCGCATTCTTGCTGCTATTTTGTCACTCGCGGACGCAATCTGCTGGACTGGGCTGCACTATTTCCAGCTGAGCGCTGTGGTAGATCTGCAAGCCATATACAACTCTGATCCGCCCACTGCCATACTATCTTACATGTCCTGGGCTTTTGTCAGAGTTGTGGCATAAGTGCAGTGAAACATTTGACGTCTATGTTGCTTGCTGTAGCCTGAATCGGCGTTCCCGGGCTGACCGCCTCCTCATCGCTCACACGGTCTCTCGACGAGATATCTCGGCGTCGGAGTATCAAGGTTGCAGTTTAATCAACGACACACTTGGATTAAGTCCCTTGATCAGCCGCGGATAAGTGTGCCAATGAATGTTCTCAAATCGTTCGCTTCTTCAGGTACTGTGCGTTCAGGTAGACTGATGATGGCGCTCTTGAGTTCAGGATCCCGCGATACCGCTTGGCGTAGAAGCACTCCAAGGGTCTCTGTCTTGTACGTCGAAAACGGCGTTATCCGCTGAATGCTGACGAGGGTCTCGAAAAAGTCGATTAGACTCAGGTGCATGAGTAGATCCTCGTTGTTGATCATGCGCAGGCCGGCAAACTGGAGCAGACCCTCATCATTGCTGTTCTTCTCAACCTCGCCGGTGAAGCGCTCATGCAGATCCGGAAACTCGGTCTTGGTGATTGCGGCTAGGTCCAGAGCGGCCAGACGGGGTAGCAGCCGTAACAGCCTTCCCTGCGCCAGCGTGATCTGATGGTCGCTCAGCCCGCCCTCGGCATCGTGATGATGGCCGCCAAAACTGGACAGGGAGAGTATCGAGCCGTAAATGTCCCGATCGTGAAAGATGCGCCGCCACACCAGTCCCTGACCGGGCGGTCGGCGCAGGACAATCTCCTGACCGTTGAGCGAAACGCCCTGGGCGGGGCGCACGGCGCAGTCAACGTCGAGGAGATCACCGAGGACCTTGGATCCCTTCTCCCCAACCTCGACCTGCGGGGCGCTGAGCCACTGCACCACAAAGTTGGCGACAATGTTCTTGAGCGTGGCGAGAATGGCGGCCTCGCCGGGCGACTGGGCAGCCTTTTCGAGAACGGCCATGGCGAGGAGGTTGGCCGAGGGGGCCGGCGACCGCATGGCCTGGATGATGGCGTCCTCGGAGGCCAGGGCCATGACCTGGGTAAAGGTCAGGGGCCCCAGCAGCTTGATGGCCAGCTCACAGAGGATGGCCGGGTCCTGCTGGTACTGCTTGAGGATCTCGGTGATCTTGGGCAGGAGTCGCGGGATCAGTGGTGGGATATTGACCTCTAAAATTGCGCAGAGTCAGCAATGATTCCAAACAGACTCTCGGTTCATGCACATACCTGTTAATTGTAGCGTGACGTTATCAAACAACTTGATGTTGGACGCGAGTGTTGGATCGGCTATGAGTTGGTCGAGATGCTTGTCCAGTTCATCTACACCCGTCAAAGGGACCACTGTGTCGTCCATCTTGACTGCAATTCGCGACATGGACAAAGTTACGCTGCTTGAGGGGTTCTGGAAAATATGTCACGTGGGCGTAGAGATGGCCAGTGTTGAGATATTGTCACCAGTTGATCAGATTGTACGGCAACTTGTCTGTTGAATATGCGGACGGGTTAGGTTTTATTAATGCTAGGCAAACAGGAGCTGTCGCGGCGTCAAGTGCACGTATTCGTAGTAACGAGTTGCCCCTCTGCCAACCAAGCAGTAGTTTTATGACCTGTAGGCTTCGAACATCAGCTACATTGATGAATTGGTAGAATTGTTCGATTATCAGTCTTCCAAAGAAGTTGTATTGAATATCGAATTCCAAAAACCCAAAGCAATAGAATACTAAGGATACAGATCAAATGAAATCTGAAATCTCGACTCTTTGCCTCTTGTATTTACCATAGTAGTTCCTGGCGGCTCTCTTATAAACTGATTGACCTGTGGCGGGGTAAATCAGCGTCACACTTGAAGCCCAGGCACATCTGTGAGGTTCGGAATTGCGCCGCTATAAGCGCTAGTCCTTCCAGGTACCCCCAATGTGGGTGACCCCACTAAAAAGTCGAGTGAAAGATTGAAACTTTGCGACAGCTCTTTTTTTGGCCTGGCCTGTGATTCATCTTTCCTGATTCATCTTTGCAGCCACCAGCTTGACCGGCTAAAACCCCACGTTCCACCACCGGGCGACCACAAAATCTACGCGCCCCGGAAGATTTTTCGAGGTCGTATGTCATAATTCACAATGGCAGCACGCGGCGGTCGTGGAGGTGGCAGAGGCGGACGCGGCGGCGCTCGAGGCGGCAAAGGAGGTGCAAATGGTCTTCCTTGGGAATACGATCCTACTTTGAACACCGACCAGCCGCAAGACACATATCCAAAGACGTACCGGCCCCCAGTGGCAAGCAGCTTCCCACTGACGTCGTCCGAAAGCCGCTCAGTTCGCTACTTTGTCAAAGTCCGACGCGATTTTCACAACTCACCACTTTACACTCACAAACATCTGGCCCCCGAGGCCCTGGGCACCTCGTCGAATATTGCGGATCCAGTGTTCAAACAGTATGGCCAGGAGCAAGTTAATGAGCGTTATGGAATCAAGAGCAGAGCCACAATCGATCCATTCACAGCTGTGCCCATGTTTACGCACCAGTTTGTGTCCGAGACGAGGACGATGCCGTTCCTAAGAGGCCGAACATTTCACCACGACCTCTTTCCGGAAGAGCTCTGGGATACACTGGATGGCAAAGATGGTGGTCCCGCAAAGGACGCCATCTCCCAGGGCATGAAGCGCAAGTCGATGGCTGCGGACAACCACTTTGAAGATGACGATGAGGAGGCCGCGTCACGCAAGCGACCCGAGACGGAGGAGGAACGCAAGCGGCGCATTGCCGAGGCCGCGGCCGGCAGGGATAACGAGGATGATGCCGCCGAGGAGGATCCCGACGACGACGAGGAGAACATGAGCCAGGCGGATGATGACTTTGAGGACGACGAAGACGGTGGAGACTACGATGCTGAGCAATACTTTGACGGTGGAGACGACGATATGGAAGATGACGGTGGCGGAGGTGGTGACGAGTACTGATTTACATCACTCTAGCCTACCGCAGAAGAAGCGTTTGCTTCACTTGCATTGGGATGGCGTTTCAAAAAGGTCCAAATTTGTTTTTGCTTCAGGGCTTGGGAAAGAGTCCATACAGAGCGAAGAAGCATCATACGAAAGATACCAGTTTGCATTTCCACTCCGTCCGGTCCCGAAGTTTTTGCACGGTGACTGCTCTCACGATATCTGTTTACATCAATTTTGGCCTTAATCGGCATGCAATTACACCGCCTTCAAAAAAGTTCAAAAGTATGTTCCCAGCCGCAGCAATTTTGCCCCGGTCACTGCCAGCAGGCGCAATCGGGCACGGGAAACAAAGGATCAAGTTCAAAGTGTATACCTGACAACAGGTTTGGTGCTTAGAACCGATATACCTTGCACGCATCCTGTTGTGACTCGGCCGCAATCTTATCACGTAAAAAGCCACCTGCGTTTGTCGACTTTGGGTATTTCCTCATCGGGTTAATATCCAGCCGGTCTCCAAGCCCGGGCCAATGCCCTGGGGCCGACGGAGACGCATCGGCATCGCTGCGTCGATTGTAAGGACGTTTGCAACTATCATGCAAAAAGTCTCCGAGGTGGCTGCTCTGGCTGATCCGTCGATACTAGGAGTGGTATAGCTCCCGGCGGGTGCATTATTACCCCTGGGCCGATTTCTAATGCGCCTCCACCGTCATCGTGAAAGTTGCGCCGTTATAGTTGTGGCTTACACGGAGGCATGGACTTGCAGAAAGATGACCCGGATTAAGTAATCACCACCGCCAAGGTGAATTGCTATCGTGACATACGATACATGCAGCATATATGATATTTCGCATCATTCGAACGTCTTTGTTCTCGGCAATATAATCATTCAGTCACATACCGTTCTACAGACACATTCTACTGTTCCTTGAATGCAACAAGCTTAACACGATGTCTCATAACATTCTCATCACTGGCGGCTCCGGCTATCTTGGCGGAAGTCTCCTGCACCGTCTTCCTACTGCCGGCCTGCCGCCGTACAATAAGTTGTTCGCACTTGTTCGAACGGATGCACAGGCCGAAAAAGTCAAGGAGCTATACGACGCTCACCCTCTCCAAGTAGATTTGCATGATGAAGCCGCAGTGCAGAAGAGTATCGAAGACAACGACATCTCTGTCGTCTTCTTCCTCATTGATGCCGCAAACCCGACGATGCAGGTGCCCATGATCAAGGGGCTCGCCGAGGTCAAGAAGCGAAAGGGCGGAGACGTTCACTTTCTCCATGTAAGCATTACCATATCTTGTCTGGATAAGTTGACGCCCTGCTGATTTGATGTAACCTGCGTCGCAAAGACGACGGGAGCCAAGCTCTTCTCTTCGCATGCCGGAGCGCCAACAGACCATCCCTTGTTGGACACGGACCCGAAGCTTTACGAGATTCAAAAGTCTCAAAAGGCGACATTCACTCCGGCGCAAAAGGCAAGTACTTTCTATACTGTTTTCGATTTGATACGCCACGTTAACACAATTATTCAAGGCCATAGATACCAATAATACCGTTGTTGATGTAGCCGAACCCCTTGGCGTTCATTCGTACATTTTTGCCCCCTGTATTGTTTGTATGTCTACTCCAGCCTCATGATTTCAAGCCAAAAGTCCTCCACTTATTAACTTGAGCTGTGCTTAGATGGAAAGGGAGAAGGGTTTGGAAACACCATCTCTATTCAGACAGTAGCCATAGTCAAGGCTGCAAAAGCAGCTCGGCGCGTCTACAGGACAGACGAGGGCAAACCGGTTTGTACACCTGATTCCAACTTTTTTGGACCGTTATGCCTTGAAGTTGTGGCTTAACCCTTTTTTTTTTTTTTTTTTCAACCATAGACCTGGCCAGTCTGCCACATCAACGACAACACCAGCCTCTACACGACTATCCTAAAAGCGATTCTGTCCGGTGCCAACCCCGGCTACGGCAAGCACGGATACTATCTCGCCTCGCCCGGGTCCGTGGCGTGGGATGACTTGTACGACGCCATGGCGGCAGCGCTGCACCAGCACGGCGTCATTGACGACGCCCGTGTGGAGCTGGCGGACCGCGCGGCCCTTGAGAAGATGGCTCAGGGCACTGGAAATCCGCCCGAAATGGTCCACTTTGAGGTCGGCGGCAAATGCACCTTTACGGCCAAGCATGGCTATCAGCTCGGCTGGGAGCCCGAGTACAAACCGGAGCATATTCTCGAGACGGCTGGAGATGAAGTCAGCTTGATCCTGGCCAATCTTTGATTTGACAGAGCAGCATGGAGACTTTTCAGGTCGGCGATCGAATTATTGTACTTTGAATCAAGTTTCTCATGTCTAAAGTATTCATGATTGAGATAGGATCTCAGGAACTTCTAAAAATCGGTGTGATTTCATATAATCTTCATTTCAGAATTTATTGGACGATTCTGGCAGTATTCTCCCCATCATGATGCCTTTGGTGATCATTGCTTGTTCACAGTGCGTCCACCAGGTCAACAACTGCCGAGGCGCAGGACATCTTCTAGATTGGCCGGTAAAGCTAGTAATGCACTGTCAGCAACTCACTCAGTATATGGGCTCCAACGGTGCACAGAATCGACGAAATATTGGATGAGCTGTTAATGTGGCATACTGGCAGAGAAATCCGTCACAATGTCCTGTTTAGCCGCTGCCGCACGTCTCGTGAAATGTACTACAGCCGCATGACATCAGGAAAGGTGTTGAATGTTCTGACCGCAGCTAATGGGGCATCTAGGATCAGTGCATTGGCTTGGCTCAGAGCGATTGTAAGCGAAATAGCGGCGATTTCCCTCATTATCACAATGGACTTTTGGTTACATGCACGTTTGACAAGCAAATCCACAGAAACTCTGCATTTCAAAGTCATCTGGATCTTGATATCAAGCAGAAACCAATGTCATTCTCCTCAATTTCAGATATGCTCGCTTGCGTGGAGTCGGGGTGTCTGTAGCTAAGCTTTCAAGTGGTCTACCACCCAGAGAGTCTCCGTTCTTTGCACCACATTCCAGCAAGGAATTAAAGAGCATTTTGTTTTGAGTTTGATGTATCTGTTTAGGATCCATCCTGACTGATCGTGAATCTTGAGCTCTATCGTAAGCCCTCTTGAAAATAGAGATATCGAGGTAAATTCAAGGTTGATTCACTTTTGAGCTGAAAGGATCAATAGAACCTTATTCAATCGCGCTCTCTACCGTACCATATCTGAGTATGAAATACAAAAGTCAGAATTATGGGGTTGTAGAAGATCTTAAAAAAGACAGACATGAATCCCAAAGGTCCCGTGGGTGTTTGTCTCGGGTACGCCCTTGAGACATCTATACACTATACCACGCAAGTGCCCTGAAAATGCACCCGCAATACCGCGCTTCTGGACTCACATATATGTGCAGAACAGTTGGCACGCAAGCAGAAAGCAGCCGGCTGGACGCCCACCTCCTCCACCCCAAGCTTCCCAAGCAACCGTCGCTCGAGTTAAGCTTTGGCCATAAGATTTTAGACTCGAAAGGGCAAGACGCTGAAAACAAGATGCTTTGCATATCGCCGGCAGCACTGGAATAAGCGCTCGTTAGCGGTAAGCTTAGCTTTCGGGTGCCTGTCATTTCACGCAAAGGTTGAGCGAGAAGGCAAAGAGTACGTTTTTGACTCGTCTCTGGAATCTCGCCCTGGGCTCTTGATAATCGATCGTTCTCATGAGAGATCAACTTGGGAAAAAGAAAGATTTGTTTGATCAATTTCTTTTTTTCTCTTTCGTCTTCTAATTCCGTGACCCGTCTTGTATTACTCTCGTGTTGCCAGTTAGACTGTCCCGACTAGAATATTCCGACTCGATACCTAATCCCATCTTCGTTCTAGAAATAGAGTTTTACAGTTTGCGACAATGTCTGGGTATTCGGTCATGAGTCTCGTGTCTACCATTATTGGTTTCGTTTCCTTTGGGCTGACGATTCTTATTTGGCTTCACTCGTTCTGGAACGCTTTCCAAACGGTCCTCGGCGCCCGGAGCCAGATCCAGGACGAGCTGTCCCTCTTGAGACAGCGGCTCTACGAGGAGGCCGAGTACCTGCGGATGCTGCGGCGGCGCGAACGGCCGTCGTCGGAGAGACACCGCAGCGAGGACAAGTACCGCGATGATAGATACCGCAGCGGCGACGAAAAGGGCGGTGGCGGCGGCCACGAGCGTGTCCGGCCCAAGAAGGACATTTATCACGACGGAGGCCCGATCCGGGTCCTCTGGGACGCCGTCAAGGACCTCATCAAGGACTTTAAAATGTACGAACGGCCCTTTCTCGTCATCCCCGGCCACACGGACACGGAAAAGGGTGAAAAGGAGCTCGAGTGGAGCTACGGCGCGCTTCGGCAGAACTACCAGTGCGACTTGCCCCAGCGGCTCATCTGGCTCAAGTATCGGCATCACGTCACCGATGTGTCGACGAGGTTGGAAAAGATCCAGACGCACCGCGCCGCGATCGAGGCCACGCGGGGCCGGCTGCTCATCACCGATACTATGGGCCTGATGCGAGAGTGTCACGAGCGGGTCATGGATGTGGAAGACCGGGTGCGGGTGATCGAGGATCGAGTGCTGGGAGTTCGAATTGTAAGGGGTTTGTGAGGACTTGATTCTCTTCATCAAACACGACCGCGCACAAAATATCCCGAGAATAGAATGACTACATGCGACAGTGTTACGCGAACACATGTTTAATCTCTTCTTTCCCCCGTTTCTAGCAACAAGTCTGGATATTCGTCATTATGGCCATTATAATGAGATAGAGTGAAGAACCTGTCTGAAAGATTCCCCCATGACTTATAGCAAGACCAAAGAACCCTCCCCCCGCCGCGAGACTCAACATCAACTATTGCATGAATCACTTCTTTGCGGGCTGTCTACTGAGAGTTGCGTCCTGTGTATATAGTCATTGATGCGATTGGTAGCACTCGGAGGCTGCTCGGTGTCGGGGTTTTTCTGGCACAAGAACTCATTGAAGAATTCTTTGCTTCAATCAGAGCCACTTGCACCATCATACATAGAGATTAGTCATATTCCAGACTTTGCAAGCATCATTTCTTTTCTGATTATGGTGAAATGCTTCTCTAGCAAAGTGTCTTTTGTGAAATTCTTTTTGTACATTGCTTATGCCCTCAGACACCCATCAAGCTACCTTTTCAGTCACAGTTTCTTCTACCTTCATTTCCGCAGTACCAGCTGATGATCTGTGGCGTGTAAATCCTTCTACTGTGGCCTTTTTGAATTTACGTGCTGGCACTCTTGCCTCAAAGAGGACGTCGAGCTCACCATAGGTACGGCCCTTTGGTTCCGGAATACGAAAGTAGGCCCAGACAAAGCACAGCGCACATGATCCTGCCCAGAAGAACCCTGACTTGGCCCCCCAATTCCACGCCGTTGGATTGATCATCAGCGGTGTGATGATGTTATTGACAATGCCAGTAATGTTGTACGAATTCCTCGCCAGGACCACAGACTTTGTCTTGAGCCGCGTGGAGGGAATCTCGGAAACCAGCGCGTAGCATACTGGGCCGACCGTACTGTCATAGATGAGTGTGTATACGAGGATCATGGCGCCAATGGCCCACTGTGCACCAACATTTGATCGCCCTGCAAGTCCGATGAATCCGATGATCGCCAGGATGATAGCCATTAGTCCCAGCCCGGTCAGGTAGAGCACTCGTCGCCCAAACCATCCCATCAGAAACCATGACGCAAAAACGCCAAAGGCTCCGATGCAGTACTGCGCAAGGGTCAAGGTAAAGGCGTTGCTGGCATCGAGCCCGGCCTGTTGGAAAAAGTAGCTAGAGTATCCGGAATAGGCCGAGCCGCACAGAACTTGGCAGGCCCAGACACCACACACAATCTCGGTCCGTCGCAAGTCGATTCCCTTGAAGCAATCCGCATAGCTCGTCCCTGCCGAGACCGTCTTTTCCAGGTGGTCGGTATACACCATCATGGCGACCGAGTGGTCAACGTTGAAGTCTGGGTTCATCTTTTTCGACGTCAGACGCGCGACGGATCTCCTGGCGTCGTCTATGCGGCCGCGCCGGACGAGCCACCACGGCGACTCGGGCGCAAAGATGACGGCGAGGCATATGGGAATAGGCCAGAACCACTGCAGCGCAAAGGGGATGCGATAGCCCCAGTCGTCTGTCCGGTTCACGAGCGCCCGCAGGATGACGGAGGCGAGGATCTGACCAATGCACCAGCAAAGATTGATATACGCCGTCAGATAGCTCCGGAGCTGAGTAGGGCAGACCTCGGAGGCATAGGTACAGGCCAGCGTCTGAAAGATGCCAAAGGGAATACCAAGCAGAATCTCGCCGGCCAAAAGGGTCTCGACGTTGTGGGCAAAGAAGGGGATGAATATAAAGGCCACCACCAACGTCAAGGCCCCCGCCATGGTTTTCCTGTACCCGAACCTGTCGGCGAGAAAGCCGTTCATGAAGAGGCCGAGGATCTGGCCCACCAGCACCCCGTTGGCCAGCCCAGTCTGCCACGCTGCCGTCAGCTCATAGGTCCCGTCAGGCAAGGGCCTGCCGAATTTCCTCTTGAACGACGGGAAGCCAAACAGGCTGTTGAGCAGGATCAGGTCGAAGCCTTCCATGATGATGGCCGTCGACAAGGCCAATGACCAGAGAGCCCCCTTTCGGTATACTTTGAGGCTCTGAAGAAGTCCCATTTGGTGCTCGACTTCAGTCGCCTTGGCGGCGTCGGCGGCTGTATCCATGGCACTGAAGTTTGTCGACATTTTCCGGGCACATTCTTGTGGCAATTGCACAAGATTGGCATTGGCTGCATCATGGTCTCCTCCCTCGGCCATCTTGGTGTCTTCGCCTGACGGTATTGGAAATGATGACGTGGAATCAGGGCAAATTTCCTGAAAAAGCAAACATGGTCTGCCTCGCTTTTATTCTTGTAGTCCCAGTATTGTTGAAAATTGATTCCAATATGCAATGCGTCTCAGTGGCACAGCAGCGAGTCCAGACTATACTTTTGTCCTCAACAAAACCCCCCTTTTCCATTGAGCAAAAATCGAGAGACTTTGGTCCGCTGTTGACGAGGATGGAGCCGTCATGATATTGACCGAGTCGAACGCTCGCCTGACCTCCAAGCTGACCAGCTAGTGGCTGGCTTACCCCCAGGGCCTAGATTCTTGGGCACAGCCAGTCGCTGAACCTTAAAGACGTGAATGTCGCTTTTAGGCAGTGTGGAGTGCATAAGTGCATGATGAATTTGATCCATTATGGCAGGACACGCAAGTAGGACAGGTTTAGGTAGGAAGACAAGAAGGGTGTCGGCGTCTCCATTATGCGGGAGAAGTAGGTAGGCCGGGAATGAACAAGATTGCGCACATTGACCCAGTATTCTCGCTCCTACGTGTCCCTACTGCAAGCATTTAACAGCATGCGTGGCCGTTATATTTGCTTGGTCTATCTATAGTCATGCTAGTTGCATATGTCCTTCCGCGTCTCGTTTCCTTGCGTTGCCTTGCCAGTGCGCAAACATGGCTCAACTCTATATGCATGGTATACCGACTATAGTGAAAGCCACAAGCAACCACGTCTAGTTCAAACCAATCTTTGTCGGATCCCAAGCGATAGGAGCATATTCAGTCGACTCGAGCTCATCTACCTCGGCCTGAGTGAGTTCAAAGTCATAAATCTCGGCATTCTCCACGATGCGACTGGGCGTGACACTCTTGGGCAGAGGAACGTAGCCCTTTTGCAAGCTCCAGCGGATCAGAATCTGTGCTGGCGTCTTGCCGTACTTTTGAGCCAACTTTACGACACTCGGCTCGTCGAATCGCTTGCCTCGGACGACGGGGCAGTACGCCTCAAAGACAATGTTGCGCTTGGCGCACCACTCAGCAATGTCGTTGCGAGCACACCACGGGTGGACTTCATGCTGGGCGACTGAGATGACGCCGCCCTTGCCCTGGCCGCCGCGCTCCGTCTCGAGCTCCTTGATGTGCTGCTCCAGCTCGTCCAGGTGATGCACACCGTAGTTGCTGATGCCAATGCTGCGAATCTTGCCGGCGTCGACGGCCTCGACGAGCGCCTTCCACACACCTTTGCGGTTGGCCGAGCCGCCGTAGGGCGCGTGGATGAGGTACAGGTCAATGTACTCCAAGCCCGCGGTCTGCAGACTCTTGTCGATCTGGGCCTTGGCCTGGTCGTAGTCGAGAAAGCTGCTGGGCAGCTGGGGGATCTTGGTTGTGAAGAAGATTTCCGAGCGAGGGATGCCGCTCTTCTTGATGGCGGAACCTACGCCGGCCTCATTGCGGTAAAGCACGGCCGAGTCAATGTGTCTGTAACCGGCCTTGAGTGCTTCCAGAGTTGCGACCTCTGTCTCATCAGGGGGGCTATAAAGTCTGCATAAGTATCCACATGACATTTGTTCCGTTAAGAGACATTGTCCTACGTTTGGTAAACCTGATTGACCATTGTTAGCCGAGCCGAACCTCACATTTATAGTCCCAACATGAGAACTTACGCCAAAGCCAAGTCGGGGTATCTCATAGCCACTGTTGAGCTTGGCAGTCGAGTTGATTGTATAAGATGAAGCCATTTTGAATAGAATACTGTGTCCAATGTGAGATGAAGAAAAGAATTGATGACGGATTGTTGACGCCGCTCCGAGTCTGAATATCAGTGATATTTATGCAACATCAAGGCAATGCAAAGAGTATGGAACTTTTGGGGTCTTGTCTGGCTTGGCCAACCCCTCGTTTCCAGTACCAGTGGGGAGCCGGAGCACGGTTGGTGGAACAGGTACAGAGTATAGGTATACAGGCAGGTATAAGGGCTCAGAACACATACCTTGGGCTATGCTTGGTTTATTGTTTGAATTAAAAACTGGTGATGATTTTATATCTGCGTTTTACTGATAATGATGGATGATTGAAAGAAGAAAAGACTGTTTCCTGCGTCTTTATATATGGTCACAATGATGTGATCTATCCTGGCGTCTTGAACCCCTCCATTGACGATGCGATTTCGGCGTTATGGCGGCGTTTAAAGGTCCGCCCTCTCTTAACCCCAGCACTTCTGTTATTCCATCTTGAACAACGAAGACGGAATGACGCAAAGCTGTAGCATCTCGATTCGCCATTGGCACATCGGGTAACGACCGAGGTTCCTTCGATTGCTAGGTATTCAGACTAAATTCTTGCTTCTAAAACACTTGAGTTCTGCGCTGTTTAGATGCTGCCGTTATGCGGCATTGCTACACCAAGATTGATGCAGCCATGTTACAGCTTGTGTGGCGTTGAAGCAATAGTAGAAAACGCCATTATTAGACAATTTAGTTTCAGAGAAATCTTCAATATTTCTTCCAAGTGTGAAGAGCATCTCCTACTCTTGGGACGTCTGATGTTCGTCCGCCACAAGTAGTAGAGAAATGATGCCTGTGCAAAGTTTTGCGGTACACTACTTGAAAAAGCTCTCAACTCGCCCACAATGACACATTGTATGCCCATGACAATACATCCAAGGTATCGGGTAATACGAACTTGAAAAGCACCCGGGAATGTCCTGAGCGGTACTGCTGTCGGAGACACTCAGCCAGGAACAGTCTTGTGCGACTACGTCTTCAAGATGTGAAACTCAAATATTGCTATCAAATTACAAAAGGAGCATTCGTCATGTGCCAGTTGCTCAATTTTACAGGGTATCAATGTTCTTTTTTGCTTGCTCTTGGCTGCTCCTATCTCAACAGTTTCGCAATGCTTCTCACAAGACCTGAAAGTGAGTGGCGTATCCATCTCATATAATCATTCCTTCGGGTGCATCTTCTCCTTGCTCATCATCCTCGTCATCTTCGTCTAGATCATGAATCGGATACGTTAATATCGCAGCAATGCCACCCAAGGCATCAAGTCTCTGCCCACTTTCGTGATCACTGCTGAGAATCCGGGCATCACCTCCGTCCTCCCTCACCTTGTCCACCAATGCAACATATTTCTTTCTCGTGGCAATATCCAGACTGCGGAAGAGGGAGTTGTTGACGAGTAAAACGCCGCCACCTCGTCCGACAGCACCCTCATTGACTGCCTTTTCCACAGTAGAAATACCATACCACGCTCGGCCGTCGTCCCTTCGTAACCTTTCAAAGAGCTCATCCATTGCCCGTGTTTCCTTGGAGAACTTCATTTCCTTCATTGTGGCTAGTACCTCGGGGCTCTTGAGGATTTCATTAAGACTGTGCAGGTGACCGGAGCTGGAGTGGACGACAGTGGCCTCTTTGGCTATGGACATCATGGCCTTGTCGCCTTTTCGTGTGCCCTCTTCCTGGATGAACTTTTTGAAGTCGCCTGCGACAAAACCGGGGCTCGCCAACAAGAGCGGCCGCGGAGTGCCAAAGTCGATGCTTCTCAATAGAGTAGCCAGTACCTTGTCAAAGAACCTCTTCATGCCGCTGGACTGGTCCGAGCTGGCGGAGCGCTTCTTTGGTATCGTGCTCTCCACGCGCTGCTTTAGGATGGTTCTATACTCTGTGATGAGGCATATGTTCGCAATACCCTCTTGCATGACGACAGCAGCGACCGCTCCCTCTTTATCTTGCTTAAGCGCTTCCTCTAGGGTCTCTTGTGCCACCGAATCCCAGCCATGGGACTTCCACAGAGTGAATGGCCGGTTGAGCTCGAGGTCCAGTGTGTGGTACTGTCCAATGTTCACAAAGCTGTTCTCGACTATTACAGTGCCTGAGACGTGTAGTTGAGAAGCGGCTGCATCGAAAAAGGTCGAGGTGACGCGGATGACGAGGTCAGTGTGTACGCGCTCGGATTGTGTGCTGCCCGTCTTGGACTCGGTCGTGACCTTGCGTACTGCATGTGCTCTGATGATGTCTTCGGGCGAGATGAGGTTGTTGGCGTGCCACATGTCCTCGGGTTCGATTGGCACCAGCGTCACGCTCTGCGAGCCATCGCCGACAGTGGCATCAAGACGCTGGGCTGACTTGTTCTTGACCAACTGCATCTTGGTCGATGTTTGCCTCAGTTAGCCCAAGAGGCTGCAGTTTCTGGGGTGTTCTGTAAGGAGGCGATCGGGGGAGCGAGCGCGTGACGAGCAGTGGGAAGTGATGGAAGCAGCTATGTATGCAGCTTTTCGTCGTTGGTGCCTGCCTGCCCTTTCGATGATTTTAATTTGTTGCTGTCGCGCGCTTTGCGCTGCCGCAGTGGCTGAGGATTGCGACAAGGAGTCGTCGAGGCGCAAATGAATGCAGAAATGTCAAAAGTGTATCTATGTGCGTGATGGATCTTGGTTTTGGGGCCGTGTCGAGTATATTCGTGGTTTAGTTTGGCTCGTTTCTTGAAGTAATCATCGGTTGATTTAATTTGAGTCTTGGATTTTCGAGCGGCTCAAGAACTCTCTCCCCAGTGAGTCGCTATTACCCCGCTACAACGTCACTCACTGCAATTTGTGCCCGACCGCAAAGGTACCCAGTACACACTAATGGTGGGGGTTTATGTCAGCTGCTGTTTCCAGGTACGATAATGATAGGCTGGGTTATGCTTGCCAGTGGACGCGCTTCAAGCCCGTCAAGGCGGTCGGTCCCTCTTTATTGTTCCAACCTACAGATTACCTCCCTACCTAATCAACCAATTAGCTTACACCAATAACTCAACAACTCATCAGTCCATACATCGATATATTCGCAACAGACAGACAGTCTGGCGGAGCTTTAATCAATTACTGCCAATATTCCTTCAATTCGCCCACTTCTATCACAGTTGAAGTTATCACCTTTTCTGGGATTTCTGGGACATCTTGTCTCGTCCAAGCTGTCTGCTGCAGCCGACGGCTATCCTAGCTACCAGACATAGCCCAACGACCCCGGAGGTACTTTTATAAGCAACCATGAATTCGCCAAATAACCTACTCCCTGGACAGATAGCATATCTGATGAACCAGCCAGACGGGAGGACGTTTCGCATTACACGCCAGCACAGATTCGGCCTTTCTGGAGTAGCGTCGGTCACTGTCGCATTTCACATGGCAGGACAAATCCGCACCATAAATGAGCAAAAAGTGTGCATCGTGGGAAATTCAAACCTAGTAATACAGTGTCACCAAGCGGTAAACCAACTTATTACAGAAGCTGCAGAATACGACCTCAGAGTCCAACAGCCAGTGCCCTTGCCAATACTGGAGCCTAACCCACTTGAGGGACCAAATAACCTACTCCCTCGACAAATAGCATATCTAAAGTATCAGCCAGACGGGAGGAAGTTTACTATTACACGCCGGGTCGAAATCGGCCTTTCTGGAGGAGCGTCGATCCGTATCGCATTTGAAATGGCAGGACAAGTCCGCACCATAAATGGGCAAAAAGTGTGTACCGTACTACAAAATTCGAACCTGATAACACACTGGGACCAAGCTGCATTCCGAACTGTGACAGAAAATTCGCAATACAACTTTCAAGTCGCACAGCCAGCGCCGTTGCCAGCGCTGCAGCCTTACCAACGTGAGGGACCACGTTAATAAGCCATGTAAGTTCCAACTCTTTATTTCCCCTTGCCCGAGAAAAGCTTCTCCATTGCTCTCAAATCTGCAGAACCAAACTGCAAGGCCTGAAGGCCGCAGCTGACTGTCCACCACAGGTCGCCCATGGCCACAGGAGCCTGGGGATCGATCGTGTCCCCTCTTTCCATAGCGCCCGCCACGAACCCGAGAGCTAGCATGAGCCAAGTATGGGCCTCCTCGGCACTTTTGCTTCCAGGACACTGCCGGTATTCGATCGTACCGCTGGGGCAATGGTTAGAAGTAAGACACAAGGCTGGATCGACCAGGCCGGAGAAATCCCATTTGTACACGCCATGGACAAAATTGCTGGTAAACCCGTTGGCTTGACCATAGGCAGACTTGGCCGGAAAGGAGCACATTGCGGCAGCGATATCGGTCGGACTGTGGCAATAGTCCATATGTGTGAAACAGTCCAAGAGTGGGACATTTTTCAGCGTAGTGTTTTCGTGGTTTGACTGACACCAGTACGATGAGCCTCTGGATGATGGCAGCAAGAGGTCTAGACCGGGCTCAAAGTAAAGGATTGCTTTGGCAAGAGTGCCGAGACAACTCGTGGGCAGCGGCGGAGATGTGGACATGTGAACATGAGTCGACGTATTGGCAGAACTGGACAGTGTGAATGAACTTTTGAGCGTCTTGTATATCAGCGACAGGTGAGCACTCCATGGGCTGGAAAGCTCAAATATCGGAGAAACGAGTTCAATACCCCCTAGAGTCTAGCGGTGAGATTTATAAACTTGCTTTTATGCTATTTTGGAGCCTTACATAGATTCTTTCCGGGCTGAGACGGTACCGTGACTTCTTGGACAATGGACCATTCTGTGTAATTCGCTGTGCTCTTATCACAGCCCTCATTGATGTGATTGCGTATGCCAGCTTTCTTGAGCTTGGTGCTGACCTCAGTTGCCAATGACATCCAAGACTTGTGACTCTTTGAGCGACTGGAAATGAGCAACTCGAGCTCAACACCAAAGAAGAAGGAGAATTGGTTTGCCATATTGAGTGAAAGAAGTTGCTAACGATTTCAGCAAGTAAAGGTACGTGTAGTCTTTGAAGCCTGCCTTCACAGATGTCTTCTCCTTCATGGAACCGCCATCTCGACGAGTATTTATAGCTCGCTGTCAGTGGATATCTGGTAATTCTTTCCAATAATGACATCTTCTTTGGCCCTCTCCATGTTGCTCAAGATGAAACATGGCCAACTCCACATTCACCACAAACAAAAGGTGATGACATTCCTGAGCGTCAAAGCCGTCGTCTATCATTGGAAGCTGACCCTGGGAAGAGCGTGACAAAGAAGTCGAGCAGGCCATTCACTCAAGCCAAGTCGGACTCAAGCGCGCGTTCCGTGGATGGGAGAGAGATACTGTCACAAATGAGCCGGTCCATCCAGACGCCGTACCTAGCGTCCAGTTGTATCAGTCTAAATTACTCTTTCCAAGCCTGTGGAATCATTGAAAGCCAACGATATCTGAAACAAGATCCCAGGTCGAGAGAAGTCTTAGTAGAGCAACTTGTGGGTTTTTTTGGGGGCGCAAAAAATCCCGTTGAATAACAACCCTAGGCTAAGCTGGCCCCCTGGTTGATGATGATTCCAAGCGCTCTTGTTCATGGGACTAGGCGGCTGGCCTTACCAAGAATTAGTTTGTGTGTAGGGACCCCCCGTCTCATTCATTCGCACAAATGCCCTCGCTTTGGGTCAGTGGGCGATTAGGTGGTGGCGGCGGAATACGACTGATGCGTCATGGCGGCCTTTTCCCGTCGAACTGATTAACATGACTTGAGGGCTGAGGACTTGTGAATGTCTCCAGGACGGCCAGTCAAATATCTTGAAGAGTTGTACAATGGTGGGCGGTCTTGAGAGAAATCTGTCAGCATTTGGCCGGCAAGGGGAGACATTTCCACCGCAGTAGACAGGCTTGTTTTTGATCTAGACAGTCACTCTCATAGAATAGCCGGACCAATCGCCTCTCTTACCCATAAGCATATATCACTCATGTGTCCAGGTCTTGGTTCCACACGCTCTGTTTGCTCGGCCGACACACTCCTGATGGGCGCTCATCAGGTACCTAGTCATGGTAGATCTTCCAAACGAGATGTCTTTTGGGGAAAAAGAAAAGCAATGAACAGGATGAGGGAAACCATGAGGGACCAAAAAAAAAAAAAAAAAGGCCTCCCGTTTTCGGTAAACTTGCCATTTTCCATTGGCCAAGATGGCTATGTCTAGTGGGGGCCAAAAAACCACACCGAACAAGACCAGCAAGGACCTGGGTTCCGGCAAGGGTTCAGTTTACTCTTAAGCGCCGCACTATCTCGTGAATTTTCCTGATTTGGAGGAGAAAAGAGCAGTGAAACTTATCTCATGAGGGTTGGAGCATTGCATCATGGTTGAGTTATCATCTGCCCGGTGGCAGGCATCATCGTTGGTAGTATGTTAGACGCTAGGAGGGTAAGGGTTGGTGTGATATCGGCTCGTGGGTGGGGGGAGGAGACTGAGGTTGAGATGGGTACCATGCATAGGGTTTCTATTCTGGATCGAGTTGGCCATATGATAGAAGATCCGTCTGAAGGCTGCAAGGGGTTTCCCTCTTTTCAACAGACCTATCAGGTGCTCTCGATCTCTGGAGCAGCCGCCTCCATCAAGAAATATTGATCCGAAAATGAACAGCGCTGGCAAGGTTGTGTCTATCAAAATATGGTGTTTGCTCGAGTGACCTTATCCGGGTTCGGAATTAAGATTTTTTTGCCGTCATGGATCGTCCAGAGGTAGCCAGCACCTAGGCTCGCACTAACGAGCTAGGACATCAATGATAACCAGATACTTGTGTCTATCAGAAATTCCGTGATATATATTTCAGTGAGGCATCATAAGCACCTATGCCACTCAAAAAGTAATCATGAATCCAAGTAACGCTCAGTACATGAAGCCGTTCGCGGTAAGGTTGAATTATCAAGTCGTTCGCTCACGGCCGAGAGTCCAACAAACTGGCGCGCCCGCGGCTACTGCACCCCGGTCTTTGCGCTGATCACCTGCGATCTGATCATTGTGCATAGATGCAGGCAGTCCAGTACGCTGCATGATGCAGTGTAACGTTTCTAACCAAGGATCCGAGAAATTGGGTGTACAAGCTTGTTTTGTACATTAACTTTTCAAAATTGACTGATGTAGTGATACCCCCAGAATAGCACAGCACGCTTGAGCGACATGGACACGGGCATCTTTCCTTTATCAACATCAATGCGTGTCGCGATATACATAGTACCTACCACCTACATGAGGGTATAGTATACGAATTGGCGACGAGCAATACTCCTCGCCCCATGACTGCTCCTTCGTCATTTCAAAGTCGCCTTGCTGGCACTCCTCTGCTCTTTTGGCAAGACGGCCCTAGATCTCTAGTTAGTCTTTCCAAGACGTTAAAAATGATTATACTCGCTTAGCTTATCATTATTGATCCGCACTACAACTCAATCCATGGCGTGCTAGCGGCTTACCAATCCTCGTACATTTCTCGCGATCGCTGCCTATTTGGTGGACGCGTCGACGTGATATAAACATACCTACATGTCTATTGTTGTGGGTAAGCTCGAAATATAAATATTTTGGACTACGGCATATCGCGTTATGGCAACATTTACACATTTCCTATACAAGTCAATATTCCATCATTGCCTCAGTGACATCCATAATGACCTCGCAAGATCCTACCGCGCCCACGCATCCCGTGCACGTCGTCCAGACGTTGGAAAGCTACAACGAGCTGCTATCGTCACACCAATATGTCGTGGTTGATTTCCACGCCACCTGGTGTGGCCCCGTAAGCCCATCATTAACCTTCCCGTAGTATCATATTATAACCCCCTTTTTGCCACCAGTGCAAAGCCATGAATCCCCTCTTTACCCAACACGCCACAAAGCACGCTTCTCCTGGCCAAATCGCCTTTGCCAAGATCGACATCGACGAGGTGCCCGACGTAGCGGCGCGGTACCGCGTCACTCACATTCCCACGTTTCTCTTTGTCCGCAACGGCGAGGCATATGAAGAGGTCCGGTCCGCCAACCCGCCCAAGCTTCAGGCTGCGATCGAGGAAATGGCCGCTGAACAGATCGCAAAGGGAAATGTGACGGCCGCGGGAAAAGGTGGTGCCAAGGATGACGGTAATGAGGTGGCCAAGGCTATCGAGGACAGCGATTGGTAGTTGATGTATGAAGAGAAGGGGAAAAAAGCAATTCAAGTGAAAAGTGTTTAAATTCTTTCTACAGACACGGTGGTATCATAAATAAAAACGCCAATTAACGCCAATGCTTTCCAAACAACGAGTATTCGGACTACTAGTTATCATGGATTCTGCCACATGACGAGCACACAAGCTTCTGCTGACCAGCAACCTTTTTCGACTTGAACTCGCGACTTCCGCATTTGGAGCACTGTGGGTTTCCCTGATCACTCGTTTCGGGATCGCTGATTTCCTCGCTTGTCAGGGTACTCACAACACTCGTCTGGCGATCACGGTGAGGACGCCCCCCTGGTGGGGCTAGCAGATCCTTGGACGGCATGCTCTTCCTCCTTCCGGATTGTTCAGTCTTATCGGGACTACTCGAGTGCGAGTGTGGTTGGATCACACGAGACCCTAAACTCTTGCGCCTTCTATCGTCAGATTCCGGTACTGGAGTCAGCATGGCCGCTCCCGATTCACTTGTCTTGCTGTCCCTCCGATCAGAGGTCCCGGCCCCAGCATTTCCCTTCAGCGTACTGCCTATGCCTTTCCACCGATTCAGATTCCAGAATGAAAGGGTAGGGCCGGAATGATCAACATGGGGCCCGCCTTCCTTGTCTTCATCTTCCTCATCCACACTTCTGAATGTGAAACTCGGAGGAGGAGGTCTGTCAAGCCGATCTTGATCGCTTGTCTTGACGCTCGATGATGGACTTGTGGGCTGAAGTGGTGGTGATGCCAGAGAACTAGCGTATGGCTGCCGCCGGGCTTCCGAAGCGGCATTGTGCGCGTTTGACGGAATCGGAGTGCGTGCTTTGGCAGGGCTCATGGACCGTTCACTCCTAACAGGGGTAGCAAGCGCAATGGAGCTCGGCCGCGATGGGATACCTTCGACTCCTTGTCGCCAGGACATGATTCTTTCAGAGCTAAATTGTGGGGTTCCAGGTCCAAGGCCAGATGGTGCTTGAGATATTGATCCACGTCGTGAGGCCGGTTCTTTGGTGCCAGTGCTGGTACTCGTCTTGACGCTTCCACTCCGTCCCAAAAGTCCATCCTTGCCAACTCGGCGCGAGAAGGTAGATCCGGCTTCCCAGCTATCGTGGCGTCGCTTGGCGAATGCGCAGTCCTGACGAAAGACCTTGATGATGCCAGAATGATCTGTCGTTACCACGACATTGCCATCATGGTGTTTTGACCGGGCAATGAAAGCTGGTGTTTCCATGGGTTTCTTAATCGCCAATGTTTTGTCGGGGACAGATTCCTGGCCGAGCGTGGTCTGGCTCATATTCGCCTCTTCCCTGCTCATCAGCGTCACGGGCGGCGGGTTGCACAAGGCGAAAATGGGATCTTGCGAAGCCTGCAAAAGTTGTCGGGTAGCGGTTGGTGCAAAAATGGCCTGTGTAATGATTGCAGAATTGGCCTCGAAATGTTCAGTCGGACGCTTCTCTTTGTTGTCTGACTGCGAAGGACCTGTCGACCAAATGAATGCTCTCTTGTCCTCGCTTCCACAAATGACATAGTTGCCATCGTCGCTGAAGCTGGCACGGATTTGGTTGCTCGTGTTTTCGTGCCCCTTGAACTTGAGCTCTAGCGCCTTGTCACGCAGGTTGTAGATGCGCACACGGGAATCATTGGAGGTAACCAAGACTTTTACCTCACCATCCAGCACATCTGGCGGGGAAGTCATGGTTTGGATGCCTGTGATTTTGCTCCCTTTGGCATTCTTGCCTCGAGATGAGCGAACATGCATCTGTGTCTCAAACTTCAATCCCTCCGTCTCGTAAAAGGTACAGAGACCGTTTAGACACCCAGCTATGCATGTCTTGCCGTCGGGAGAAAATGCAACGGCAGTAACCAAGTCGGCTATTTGACTTGAAAAGGCCACAGACTTGTCTGGGATGCTCCACAGTCTGAGAATGGAGTCTAATGATCCGGCCAGGAAGAACCGGTCGTCCCTAGGGTGGAAAGCAATCGAGGTAACAAAGTCTTTATGCTTGAAGGTGCAAAGGCATTCGTCCCTACTCAAGTGCCATAGACGGACAGTCTTGTCCATCGACGAGGACAGCAGAAAATTGTTTTTGCTCCAGCTCAGATCGAGGATCTCGCCCGTATGGCCTGAGAATTCACGAATTGGCCGTGGCCGGAAGACGGGCGCGCTAAGCCTTTCACCTGCGCCAACATCTGCAGACACGGATTCTTCCTCGTACGCCTTGCGGTCTTCCTGAGTCGCGATCACTGCCCAAACTCTCACAATCCTGTCTCGCCCTGCAGTTGCCAGATACTTTCCATCTTTGCTGAACTCCATGGCCCATATGGGACCGCCCGGGTTGAGATCTTTCCGTCCAAAGCCCCGTACCGGCTGTACGGGTGCTCCATTAATAGCAGGATTTTCACCATCATCTTCTTGGGGGGCCTGTAAAAGATATTAGCAGAGCCGTATATATGCTTAGATCGAAAGTATACAGGTAAAAGATGTATGTGGTCAAGTATACCATGCGTCCCGCAAGCAGCCTTTGCCCTTGCACTTGGACGTTAACAAGAGTTACACCACTTACCTCGGTACCAACAAGCTCTTGCGCAAGGAACATGCGATTAAACTCCTTTTCCTTCTTGTGATGTGTTCTCACTCTAATGTAGCGCGGCGGTTCTTTGTGTCGTGGAATGTAGCCGTTAAAGTCAATATCCGAACTGAAAGCGACCGCATTAGCGCCCTCGGTGCGCATATCGCTAATTTCGGAGGCGCCATCGTCCATGTCATCCCCTCTCTTCTTGTTTCCAATCATGCTCAATCGGCTGAGGAATGAGGCGGGCTTTCTCCTGTCTCGAAGATGTTCAGGGTGCAGCGGAGCTTGTTTCGCAGCGAGGTCGGAACTAGGTCGTGGGAGAGACTCATTGGCAGGACTGTCAGGCCTGCCAGGTCCACGGAGTTTTGGCGGAATAGCTCGATCAGTGTTGGTCCTCACAAAGATATGCTAGCAAGTCTTGTTTAGCAAGTCTTCTTGTTTTTTCCTTCTTCCTTTGGGCAGATTTGACCAAGTCGGGGTGAAAGACGCACATGGGACAAAGGATCGATTGCCGGCTCCGAGGGCGTCGCCGGGTTGGGGCGAGGTTTCGCATCTTTAACATCTTTCCCAGCAGTTTCCTTACGTGATAACTTCGCGGGTCCCTTCTTATTCGGCTGACCCGCATTCAAGGGGGTGGACTGAGCACTGTCGCCAGGCAAGACTGGTTATTGGTTAGTATGGGAAATATACATAGTGGCACCAGTATAATGACGGGCGCATCTGCCCTAAAATGGATGCCTGGCGATCGCCTTGGCATGGTGAGAAAAAATAGGAAAAAAGGATGCAGCATATGCATAGTCAGCAGACCGCGCCTCAAGAACAGCCACGGAGCTGGGAATGGGATCCCAATCGCGGCACTGCGGCACAGGGGCAGAGTGACTGGCGGGCGGGGTGCGAGTGGAAGCTCACCTTGGGAAGTAGCGGCCACGACTGCCGTCCCCGGCGGTGTCTGTGTGATTGCATTTGCAGCCGAGATATGCGAGTCCGAGTTTCCAGCTATCGTGACTCCCGTCTCGGATGCAGATTTTGTTTCCTCGGCTTGAATGCCACTTGGCGCGCTCTTCTTTGCTGTGAGGCTAGACATGTTGTTGTGAGCGAGGGAGGCATATATTCCGTAAGACGAAGCTGTGTCGCCCTGTGCCGTAGCTGAGCCTGCAAGACAATGCGCAGTAAGCTGAACAGATGACAGCAGCAAAAAGCTGCGATCTCACTGTCTTTCCCTTTCGCTCGTCTCTTTCTCTCCCTCTGGCCTAGATTTCCATGGCGGCGACCCGAGAGGTCGGTTTTTTTTCGGATGTCACCGTAGCGGTCGCGGGGCAGGTACCACAAGAAGAAGCGTCGTCGTCTGCGATTAGTGCTAAGGTAGCATATATCGGTAGCGCCAGGGGCCGTTGCAAGTCTGGATGCACAGAGACCGTTGAGGTGGCCCGTGAACAGCAGGCGGTGAATACGAAGAATGCGAAAAATGCGAGCAGACAAGCCAGCGACTCTATTTGATGGGGTTTCGTGAGATGAGGATAGTAGACCGACCGTCTTTTCTTCGGCGGGGCGTTGCTCAAGGGGCTATCCTAGAGTGGTTGGTGTATGGTAATTACGGAATACTCGTAGCTATTGTCTATTAGAAGGGCCTCTAGAGAATGTTCCAAGACAAGAATGGTGATATCTCCGAAGATCGATAGAGCAGATCCTTTTTTTCCCGAATAATAAGAACAATTATAGGAGAAGATAAGGTAGGACTGTAAATTTGCTTTGGGTGTTTTTCTACCTCGTCAATGTTGTGAAGTGAATTGCTTTCCAGGTAACCCAAGCGACCCCTCGCCTGTGGACTTTTCAAATCCCTCCAATCTACCTGCTAGGCAGTCCATTGGGTAGGTAGAGCATCCTGGTCAGGAGGGGAGCTATGACGTCGCCCCCGTACGTAATGATGTTTTAACACCAGCCCGTAGTTACTGGATCACTCACTAATACACTCACTATTTGAGGGCTACAAGGTTGGATAGTACATTATGTAGTCCCTGAAGAACAAAGCAAGAATGAACCTAGAACGTCGGCGGCTCTATCCGCAATTGATGGACACACTAATCTTTGCTACCCCATTGAACCCCTTGGAAGTCAACATCTGTCATGGTAAATTGCATCGTGGACAAGAAGGGTGACTAAGGGGGATGGGTTTGGTTTGATCTTCTCTTCCAGCTCATGCAACATGACTGCATATCCAATCCCACATTTTCAATACCTGCGCTTGTGAAAGCGGATGAACTTGCGCCATGGTCTTTGACACGCGACAACTATTTTTTGTATCAAAAACCCGAGGCTTGTGGGTGGTGCCATTTACGATTGGTTCGTCGCGATATTTCTGCTGCCAGAATCCCACTAATTTCTGCGCGGGGTGCAGATGCCCGTCGCCGCCGCCAACATCCAGGGCCTTCTCCAGGCGGCTGATCCACTCGCGGGGTGACACTATTTCAAAAGAAGTGGACCGGCTCCCTTTATCGTCTTGAACCCATTCCAGCATGTCGCGCCATGCAGGTTGCCGGTGCGGGTTCAAAACATGGTACACCGGACTTGCACCACCGGGCTCCGGAGCAGTACGACGACGACCATCAGTGTCATGTATGATGATTTCCAAAAGAGCTTGTGCCGCCTGGTCAACGGGCAGCCAGTTCAAACTCTCGTCCTGCAAGTCGGGCAGGCAGCCGGTGATCTTTGCCGTCGAGAGCATTAGCGGGTATGCTTCGCTGGCATTCCAAACACCAGCTGCATTTCCGCACAGCTGACCAACACGGACAACGGACACTTGAGGATGTCCATGGACAAAATCTTCTTCTGCCGCCTTGCTGACGCAGTGATGATTCGCTGCTGAACAGACCTGCTCCGCTACCCACTTTGACCTAGAATAACCCAACGGAGCGGCGTCGGATGGGTTCGATGGGATCGACTCGAGTATGCGCTGCTCCGACGACCTGCTCACTGAAGCCGTGGAGCTCACAAAGACAAGATTCGATCCAATGGAAATTGCAAATCGAATCATATGATGCAGTCCGCGGATGTGGTCCTCGAATGAGCCTAGTCGAAGGCTGAAATTCACTGTCCAAGCCGCATGGACAAAGATGGAACAATCCTGGCTGATGCGGCCTCTCATCTCTTCCGAGAGTCCTAGATGTGCATTGAAAATGTCACATGGTAGACAGACTACCTTTTGCTCGAGGGATGGGTGCGATGCGAATTGTTCCAGCTCACAGAGTCCACGCGCTCGTAGACTTTGGGACACTCGTTCATGGGCTGCGTTCGCTGTTTGCGCACGAACAAGACAATATATTTTGCGCATCTCAGGAGATTCTCGCAAACAGTGTAAGAGATGAGCCCCAAGTGCCCCGGTTGCGCCTGTCAGAATGATGCCGCGACGATTCCCTTCCCTTGATTTGACCTGAGATACTGTTGCAGGATCAAAGTCTCTGTACACTTTAGTCAATGTGGCCATCTGCTTCATCTCGGAACTCTCGATAGCTGTATTCTCAAGGCAATTGCCCTTTTCGTTACCTTGCCGCACAGTCTGAATATATAACGCCAAGTTCCGGACTGTCTGCTGCTCATAGATGACATTGAGTGGCAATGGGCACGATCCAGGCGGTACAAGACTGGTCTCCACCAGCTTGCGTATTTGAATACAAGCAATCGAGTCGACTCCTTGCCTGAAAATGTCATCATCAGGATCAATGACTCGGTCGATAATTTGTGAGAACTTCCCCACGATCATCTCCTGAAGCTGTGCTGTATTCAGAGTCTCATGGTGAAAGTGCTGATCCTTCCCAGCTCCGTAGACAGACTCAATCAGCTCTGCATATTTTTCTTCCGCTTGACGTCTCATGACGGTTCCTTTGCTGCTCTTTTCTAGATTTTCTTGGCCGCCCTTCTTGGACACCACCACCAAGGCTGTTTTGGTGAGACGAGAGTGGCTTTGCGAAGCACTGTTGATGCGCTCTATAGAAGGCCACACACCCTCTATGACTTTGGCTTTGGACAGATTTTCCGACCTGGGAAATAAGAGTGCGCCTGGAAATTCTCGTCCCGTGCCAAACACGAAGATGTCTTCGAGCAGATCAGCTCCACCCAGAATGTCTCCTTCGAGCGGAGCTGGGTCGAACTTTTTGCCGTTGGCTAAAGTGATTTGCGCATCGGATCTGCTATGATACCGCCACGCATTCGATATAGCATCGTGCGGTTGGAATAAATCAGAAGTTGCGTACGACCCGTCCTGACGATTCTGCTTCGTTCTCAAAGGCCAACCAGGCTTGGCCACGAGCTCAAACAAGCCGCCGTCTCGGGGCTCGAAAGAGATAAATTCATCGTTCGTCACGGGTCGCAGGTACTGCCACTCCTTGTCGCTATCGTAGTCGCGGTGCGACGACATGAGGAACCCGCATTCGGCGCTGCCCATCCGCGAGACAAGCTTCACACCTTGCCGCACGAGTTCATCGCCCACGGTGGCTGCGAGCGCAGCTCCTCCGACGCCTACCAGACTCATTCCCTGGAGTAGCCGCAGGCCCTCGCGATCGCTGGCGAGGCCCTGCAGGACATACGGCACGCTGGTAAAATACTCCACGCACACGCTAGATGGGCTATTTTTCCTTGAGAACTCAATTGCCTTTCTGACATTAGTTTCGGTGACGGGCACTTTCCCCTCGGGGAAGAACCATATCATGGCACCGCCCGTCCATGCACGAAAACAATCGGCCAGGCCGCCGTGGTAAAGGGGCGTCGTGGTAAAGGTGGCGCTGTGCTCATGGCCCGTCAAGCGTGGCAGCACGCCGACGGCTCCCCAATGGGTTTGAACTATGGGCTTGGGTAGACCTGATGATGTGCCCGAGGTATGTCTCAGATACGCAACGTCTGAGCTTTTCGGAACATGCTGATTTGGGGATATGGTTGCTTTGGCATCTGCGCACTGGTAGTCTGGGATGTGCTGAAAGGTGATGCCCTCAATGGGTTGCGTTGTCCATTTTTCATGCGTCTTGTCTATGAGTATTGTCATTGCCGCTTCACCCTCGCATAGATGTTTAATTGCTGGAGCCTCAAGCTGTGGTCTGCAAATTGGAGATGAGCGATGTATTCGGTATTGACAGGAATGTAGGTCACCTACGCAAGGAGCAAGGCTGTATGACCCAAGCGCATCAGGCCCAGCCATGTCAGTACAAAGTCGAGGCTGCTGCTGCATAGCAACCCGATCATCGCAGGTGACTCGTTTTTGATAGCTCCGTGCAATTCTCTGGACAGAATTCTGGCGGCATCCCTGGACCGGCTGTTCAGGGCACCGAATGTAAGAAAGGGCAAGCCTTGTCGATCGTCAGACGAGAGACTGGTTATATTTACTAGTGGGACGACTCACCATCATCATGCTGATGAGCAGTGAAATCTGCAAACCCAATGGCAGGGTCGTCGGGTGTCTCCTGCGCCTTGTTGTCTACGAGCTGGAGAACAGTATGATAAGCTGTCTTGGCACCTTTTGGCTGTTGGCCTTTCCATTCTGCAGATTCGCCCAGCGTGCAGGTGAAGTAATTCAAGGCTTTCAAATCCGTGTCACCCATATTCATAGTACGTAGCAATGGCTGAGTTGCGACAAACGTAGCCATCAACTGTACATGGATGAATGCAAACCTCAAAAAGGAAATCATGCACTCTGATTATAGTTCATTATTCGGCCCTCGGAGCTTTATTCGACAAGACCGAGAGCAATCTGAGCTTTTCTCCACTGGCAAAGACGGGTACATATTTCAATAAACGTATGAAACGGGAAAAGGTCTAAAACTTTTCATGTTTAATGATTGGCATATCTGGCCAGCCTAGTAACTCTGTTGTCATGAGATTCGTGTGCCATTCCGCTCTAATGCAACATTGTGGGATCATATTTTGTGAGATCCCAGCGCTACAAACGTATCAGGCAGGAGTTCAAAGCCCTTGCACGGCGTTAATTGATTTAGGTCAGTATTGCTCCTCTGTTTTCATTACATTATACATTCAAGTAATGAAATATGAGAGGTCTCGTACCAATTCAGTTGGATCAGTCCAGACTCACTCACGAGCTTGGTATGGGTCATCATGAGGTCATCGACTTGGAGAATTGGCATGTAGCCGCACAAACGCACCAAGTAGGTTCAGTTGCTCATGCATGGCGTTTCCTCAACAATACCGGATATTTCTCGTCCAGGCGGGATGAAATAATTTGCATAATTGAATATTCCAATCCGGATAGTCATGTATGCGCGTTTGCATCCATTAGCAGTGTTCACGGCATCCCATCCCCCGGCCAGCGATAATCAAAGTATTCAACCTGACCGCACGCCAACATGATACCCAAAGCAATCTCGGATATCCTTGAGCTGTCAAACTCTCAAACGGTCCCGCGGCTTGGCTTTGGCGTTTACAAATCACCGCCAGAAGTATGCGTGCAGTCGTGTTTGGCGGCGCTGGACAACGGCTACAGACACATTGACACGGCGCAATTCTACAGCAACGAGAACCAGGTCGGAGAGGCATGGAAGAAGGCGGGTCTATCGCGTGACAATGTATACCTGACGACCAAGATACTTGATGCAGCCGGTTCCGTGGATAAGAGCTACAGGCAGTGTCTGGAAAGTGTTGAGAAGCTCGACCGCACCGGGGGCTACGTTGATCTGTTCTTGATTCACAGCTCCAACTGTGGGAGGGAGAAGCGCAAGGAGCTGTGGCAAGCTCTGGAGAGGCTTTACAAGGAGGGAGGAGCCAAAAGTATTGGAGTCAGCAATTATGGCGTTCAGCATATTGAAGAGATGAAGGAGTATGCAGAGGTCTGGCCGCCTCATGTGAACCAAATCGAGGTGAGTGACTTGCAGCCAACAAACAAATCGATGAGTCGGTACCCTAATACGTTTGACACAGTTGCATCCGTGGTGCCAACAAGCAAAGACGGTGAAATACTGTGGACAGCACAACATTGCAGTGGAGGCATACTGTCCCATTGTAAGGAACAAGAAATCGGATGACCCAGCCCTCAAGAAAATTTCCGAGAAGCACAAAGTCACCGCTTCTCAGGTACTGATTCGATGGTCACTTCAAAGAGGATATATACCCCTTCCCAAGAGCGACACGCCTTCTCGCATCAAGGAGAATGCGGATGTTTATAGATTCGACCTGGACGATGATGACATGGCCATTTTGAACCAGCTTGACCAAGGCCGAGATGGAGCTATCGTGAAGGCAGTGGACGAATAGACTCAAGTATAGAATGTATATAACATTTATTCTCGGGCAAATAGTATTATATACCCTACTCTACATTTCCCATCGCCAATTATAAATATTCTGGAAAATACAGCAACAGTCCTTACATTAATACACGTTTCATAACGATCGAATACGAGTAGCACATGAGCCATACATGGAAGCTATATAAACACTCCGGCCTTTGTTTTTCAGCAGGCAAACATCTTTGTCGTACTAACATTGACCCTACTCCAATCATCTCCTCTCCACCATGCCGATAGTATGGTGAGGGGCCAGTAAACATGGTACAACACTACAGCTGGCCACGGATCCCATACCTCGAAAGTGCCCTCCTTCCAAGTCAAAACATGAATCAGGAACTCCGTTAAACAACAGAAAAGCTGATGAACAGACTTTTGGCCGGCAACAAAGTTCAATATGGGCTGGAGAACAAGAGTGAAAAGATCATGAGCGATCCAGAATCTTGGCAGTGTGCTCTTGGGAGGGAACACAATCATTTCCTCCCGCAGTCCATTCTGCTTCAGTACATGAGCATAGCTCTCGGGCGTCTCCTCGAGGGCCGACAGGTACGCCTTGACCATGGCTGACGTTGTGGCAGCGCCGTCACCGCCGCTGCCGTGTTGCTGCTGGGCAAAGAGCGTCACGGCCGTGTGGGCGCGCGGATTGCACTCAATGGCGTAGAGGGACCGCTCAATTGTGTGCTCATCCACGGCGCTGTCCCGGACCATGAAGTCAAAGCTCAGGTGGCCCGTGAACTGCTCCGAGTTGGGCGAGCGAAAAATGTACTCGCGCGTAAAGGCCAGCATGGCCCGCGACAGCGCCGATTGGGGTTCCAGGGCCCGGTAGTGCATGAGGAGCTCGGCGCTTGGGCAGGCTACGAAGCACTTGACCTCTCCCCGGACAATCAAGGCGTGAGTACAATACTCTTCGCCTCCTGTGATGAATTCTTGAAGGATCCAGGGACGTTGCGGGCTGATGGAGAGGCGGGATATGTACCTCTTTGTTGCCTCTTTGGTGTCGAGTGGGAGGAGCGTCATGTTCCCGCGATTGGCATCGTCCACTCCAACGGTTTTGAGTATAAACTTGCGGGCTGGAGACATGCCATGGAATTTCAATAATATGTTTAGAGCATCGTCTGGGCATGTCAAGTTGTGTGTTTCTGGAACGGGCAGACCGAGTCTATGTGCCTCGCGCATGAACAAGTCCTTTTCATGCAATGTTTCCGTTTCTTGGACCCCGAATTGGATACACTTGCATCTTGTTTCCCGCTCAATGAGCTCCTTGGCCTTGGCATCCTCGAGGGCACTAGCGACGCCGGAGCAAGATACCCAGAGATCGACATCTTCTTCCCTGACTATCCGCAGCATCTGCTGAACGTAGCTTCGCGAGGACTGTACGGAAGAAGACGGTGATTTCATTGATCTGAATTTCGAGAGGCCCTTTGAGTACCGCCCGGAGCAAGGAATGGCTTGGTTCTCGAAATCAGCACCCACAACCCGATGACCCTGGAGATAAAAGGCGCGCGCAATTGTCAAGCCTTTGGCCATGCCAACCCCAGTGACGAGAACTGTTCGGCTCCTGACTGGACTGAGGCATTTCGGCTTTGGATATCTTGATGATCCCAGCATCGATGCCCATGGTCGGAAGAAAATGACCAGCAACGCCAATGCAATCGACCAAGGAGCCAGTATCACACTGACGGCGACCAGCGCAAGAGAACGAGTGGCGCTGTATAAACCCATTCGAATCATGATTAGCTACAGTCTTTTAGACAACACAAGTGCGCCGCACGTAGAAAGTGAGCTGTCTCTACAACGGCTTCGTGTGTGCTGATGCAAAGCACTGCGCTGGTATTTTGGTGGATATAACGGAGCTAGATCATGGAGGTGGTTTGACAGCAATTGAGTTTTCGCGTAGCGCGGCAAATCAAGCACGCGAGATTAGTGCAAAGTTTGATAAATGAATAAACTCTTGGTTTGAATGATGCTTGAAGGAATTTATGTTTGTACATGCATGGATATCATTGAGATGATGAGCACCTCCAAAAACTATCGTCCTAGTAGTAGTCAAATGTCTTAACCTGCCACTCATGAATCATCAACCCCACAAGAAAAGAACAACACATCAATCAATACCATGCTGTCGAGCCATGGAAAAAGTAAACTAATGCTTGCACAATAGCACGATCTACATTCCTGAGCGACGGATTGCGGGCGAGGCATTCAAAGTGCATAGGCCTAGCTAGTATGAGCCGACTTCAACGGACATCGCTTGTACGCATCAGATCAATATGAGTGGGCTAGATGCGTCTCGCCTACTACAACTTATTCGATTATCGCGCAATTAAATCTAAACCAGTTCAATCTTTGTTTTCATCCAAGCCATGCGGCCGCACTCAGTAAGCATTTTGATCTAGGCATAAATCATACGATAATGGGGAGCAGTTGTATCTTTCAAGGAGTATCTAGGAATTACTGCCGTTTAATCGTCTCAAAGGTTCTCACAACTTTACGATACACCCATTGTGAATCGTGCGCTCAAAACTCCACTTGACTAAACCTTTACACATCTTGTGATTTCAAGAGCATCCTATCAACGTCAGCATCAATTGATTCTTGTCAGGAGTGTCGCATCTTACCGGCACGCCACTCGGCTCCCATCCTTCCACAAATTCGCTCTTGTATACGAGATCGGGGTTACCCTTGGGCCCATCGTTGCTGGCAGATGCAAACCGCTGGCGTTTCTGATCGACGGTGCTTCTAACATACTCGAGGTACGGAGGATTGCCCGGTTTGACCACTGTGGAGAGGTTAGTATAAAAGACTGGACATAGGACAAGGCGTCCAGGCATGTAATACCATTGTCCGCCGCATAAACCGATCCGTATCCCACAAGACCAAGTTCTTCACACAGTTTGAGATCCGGCGTGTAAAACGGTTTCTGGTGGTCCAGGAAGAGCAGATCAATGTGCTCTACCACGCCGTCTCGATGTAAACGCCGCAGCCCATCCGAGCTGGAGCCGATGACCACGGTCACGATATCGCCGAGGCCGGCGAGATCAACCAGCGACGAGGTCACGGCCCCGAACTCGGGATTGTGCTCTAGACTGTAGTACCGCTTGCCGCCGGCTCTTTTCATGGCGGCCGCGAACGCAATGGCAGAGTACCCGACATAAGCACCAATCTCGACCATGACCTGGGGTTTGACTTCGGCAATCAAGTCCACGACGGTCTTGGACTTGTACTCGCCGATATTCATGAGGTACTTTTTGGTTTTGCCATATTCGTCAATGGCATCGAGGACTTTCTGCGGATTGCCGCGCAGTTGTTCCAAGTTTGGGTGGCTGTAGATGAAGTGTAAGAGAGCTATTTCTCGTCCATCGTTAAACTGCAAAAGAATCAGACTTGAGAAAAACATACAATCAAAGGAGAATCAAGAAAAGAATATCACGGAGACATACATAGACCTCTTCTTGTGGTTGATAGGCTGTGCCTTTAAAGTCCTTGTGTACTGCCCCTGCCATGGCTACTCAAGGTGGTAAATCGACAAGTTTCTAGTGTGTGAGACGCGATCTTTGAGAAATTGCTCTCGAGCTTCACGCGTTTCTGTTGATTTTTCTCTTCGGACAAGGTGCTCTAGGCAACGACGGACTTTGCATTCTGCCTGTCAGAATACTAAAGGGCCTTGGTCTGCGCTTGTATTCGGTTGTTGGTGCATGCGGCTCGAAGCAATGTGATGTGTCACTACTCCGTGTCTTGGAGTCATTGACTTATCGTGACGACACGAAGACGCAGAGGTACGTCTCTGTGACCCGGAGCACATTTCCGCCAATCAGCTGCCTCGCATCGAGAGTACTCTACTATATGTTACGTGCAGAAACGTGGATGGTGTTCCAGATCAAATGCCAACTCTATACTGGGACTAATTCTTCTAGACGACTACTAGCCCCTTCTTGAGTCCACCATCTCGGCAAGCTGAATTAAGGATGACCCAGGTAGAAAGACTCCCTGCATAGACAGCTATTGCCGATCAGGGACCACACTAGGCGGGCGCGCTACTATATGATTCGTAGCACTGTTGATCGTCCGCGGATCGTCGCGTCTCACGAAGGGTAAAACTGCCTTGGGTCAAGCTTTCCTCATGATGCTCTCAACTAAGTACATCCGTTTTCGAAAGATACGGTGACAATGGGACTTGGGATTTACGGCGGGTTCCCCCAATAGTGATGACGCGTGGATTCGGATCCAAGAAAAACGTCCTAGACATGGGAAATGGGCAGAATTCCTTTGCTGGCCATGGAGAAAAGTAGTGGCCTTAAAGTTTCCCATATTTCCTCAAAAACTCCCGATGAGAAGGGTATTCCTGTTTTCATCGTGTTCATCTCAATCTACTACTCCCATCTCATTCAAAATTATAGGTACTTTAGTGATCTCCAGTCACCAAGATGTCTGACCTCAAAGCAAGCGTTTCGGAGACGAAGAACGGCTTTCATGTCGAAGGCTACGAAAAGATCGAGTATGACTTCACCTTTATTGACGGAGTATTCGATGTCGCCAACCCCAATCTGGCAGATTGCTACAAGCGTTGGGGCCGGGTGCTGGCCGTCACGGATAAGAATGTGTACAACGTCTATGGACACAAGATGGAAAAGTACTTTCGACACTATGGCCTCGATTTGAAAATCCACAAGACCTCGATTGGCGAAAAGGCAAAGACCATTGACACATTCCTCGAGATTTGTGATTCCATGACAGACTTTGGTATCATTCGAAAGGTACGGAAACACTGCTTCTCCATTCCACTTCACATTACAATGTCTTCTGACACTAGAGATTAGGAGCCCGTTCTCGTCGTTGGAGGAGGTCTGGTCACAGACGTTGCTGGGTGAGTGGTTTTCCAAACAGTCATTACTCATTATGCGAGCTACACTCCCTAACACAAGCTCCAGTTTCGCTTGCGCCGCGTACAGACGCAACACCAACTTTATTCGCATTCCCACAACCGTCATTGGTCTCATTGACGCCAGCGTAAGCATCAAGGTGGCCGTCAACTATGGCCGATACAAGAACCGTCTGGGTGCATACCATGCGCCCATGCACACCTTTCTGGATTTTACCTTTTTGCGCACACTACCGATTGCCCAAGTGCGAAATGGGTTCGCCGAGCTTATCAAGATTTCATCCTGTTCTCACCTCGAGGTCTTTGACTTGCTGGACAAGTACTGCGAGCAGTTGATTGAGTGCCGGTTCGGCAGAGCAGACGGTGCTCCTGATGAGGTCCGCAAGGCGGCCGATATCGCAAGTCCTCACCAAAGTCCTACTGGTAACCATATCACGACTAACAATTATTACTCAGATTAACCGCGAGGGCATCTACGAGATGCTCCGCTTGGAGTCGCCCAACCTGCACGAGATCGGACTTGACAGAGTCATTGCCTATGGCCACACGTGAGTGCATCTTGAGCAAAACTCTAAATTCTTTCCTCTTTTGGTTCTGACTCGAGTCACAGCTGGTCGCCCTTGCATGAGTTGGTGCCCGAGACACCTCTCCGACACGGTCATGCCATCTCCATCGACATGGCCTACTCGGCCACCCTAGCCATGAAGCGCGGTCTCCTTTCCGCCGATGAGCACCGCAGGCTGCTGACCCTGTTCTCGCGTGCCGGACTCAGCATTGACCACCCCCAGTTTGACGACGAGGTCTTGGATAAAGGCACGGCCGCCATCCTCAAGACCCGGGACGGCCTGTTGCGTCTGGCCGTGCCCAACCCCCTGGGCAGCTGCAAATTCATCAACGACGTGTCCGAGCACGAGCTGCGCGACGCCCTGCGCAAGCACAAGGAGATTTGCCAGACCTACCCCCGCCAGGGTGCCGGTATCGAAGCCTATGTCGACAGCAGCGACACGGGCTACACGGAGAACGGCGAGAGCGTCGACGACGCCGCAGAAGAGGCCGACATCCCGCCGGGCAGCAAGGTTGTCAATGGCAGCGCCACCAACGGAAACGGATACGGACACGCCAATGGGAATAGCAATGGCGATATTTCGCTGCTGGAAAAGGCCAAGGCGGCTCTGCTGTCCAACGGCAATGGTCATGCCAAGAAGCCGTACACAAACGGAGTCAAGGTTCAAGCATAAAAGCGTCAAAATCAGGTGATTTACATGCTCCTCTAACTTTCTCTCACCGTGGGAATGGAGTTTTGATCATTTTTTGGGTTTTGCATAACGCAGGATTGGAGTGCCATGACGAACCTTGTGATACCAAAAACGAAAAGCAGAAAAACATGAGCAAAATTCTCTGATGCCAAGAGATGCATCCAGTCACATATCTCTACATGAAAAGTATCACCAATAAATGAGGTATATTACATGCAAATAATGTTCTCGCAAACGTCACGATGTTGCACATTGTCGGCAAATGTTGCTAGATACTACCTACCTAGTGGGGTGACATGTGATCGGGAGGGAAAACAAGAAGAAAATGCCGTGGCCTTCATAATTCTGTAGCCGTGAATTGACTTTTCGTGCGTTCCTGGATCCGCTGCAGAGGCTAGATTGTAAGGGTGTCAAAGTCCTCTCCTGGGCTTAGACCCGATAGATGATATAGACTCTGGTCCAGTGGCACGTGTTTTGTTACTGGGTGCTTGACACGCAGTAAACGGTGAGAAACTGAGGGGATTGGACGGAAATGCTTGTCATTGAGAAACTCTAAATGGGAACAAACACCATCTACATGTAACACGCCTACTAACCTAACATGAAATGGCGGAACTTTGGTCACATCGTGCGGTCAGCATCTTCGTTGAGAAGTCATGAAATCATGGCGTGACCCGGCAACAAAAGTGCCGCAGGCGAAGCAACGAAATGCCGGCTGTGGATTCATGTGCATGACGTAGTCGACTTGTAATTGAGAAGTGATGCTATACACCACTTTTTTCAAAGCCGTAATGTCACTAAACATCAACTTGTTACAAACTGATGCAGGCAAACCAGGAAGATCCATACTGTGATACGCACGCAGGGTCCTTGGTCGAACAGAAGCCATGACAAAGGGTGTGGCGGCCAAGAAGTTTGCCTATGCAACATTGATTACACGTGCCAGCTATCTCGCCGGCGTGGTGGTTTTGGCGCACACGTTGAGGAACCATGGTAGCCAATATCCTCTAGTTGTGCTGTATACACACACCCTTTCCGACCTGGCCCTGGAAGCCTTGAGACTCGAGGCTGATGAGAGCAATATTATACTACGGCCGTGTGATGTTCTCCTCCCGCCCAAGAACACCAAGGTCACTCTCATAGCGGAACGCTTTGCCGATACTTGGACGAAACTGCGTGTTTTCGAACTCGCCGAGTATGACGTCGTCTGCTACTTAGACGCCGATATGGCAGTTTTCCGCAATGCGGACTCGGTGTTTGACAAGACAGTGGAACTTCCAGACGGCTGGATCGGAGCAAATCACTCCTGTGTATGCAACAGAGATGGCGATCCCTGGGCTCCAGAAGATTGGCGTCGCGAGAACTGTGCTTATACGCCCGTCAGTCATCCCCTGGCGCTCACTCAACCTACACAACCCACAGCGAAAGGGCCTAGGACGCATACTCTCCTCAACGGCGGAATGTTCCTGTTTCGCCCCACGCCGGAACTATGGACTGATATGCTAGCCGAGTTTCACACAACGCCGTTGTTATCTTCCTTCAAGTTTCCAGATCAGGATTTCCTGGCGCACTACTTTCGAGGCAAATGGCGGGCGCTTGGATGGCAGTACAATGCTTTGAAGACGATGAGATACTGGCACGAGAACATCTGGCGAGACGACGAAGTGATTTGCTTGCACTATATTGTCGACAAGCCATGGGCGAAACGGAATGCCATGGACGGCACAGCAGGGTACAAGGGGCGTGACGGCGTGACGCATCAATGGTGGTGGGACGCGTATGAGCAGTGGGAGAAGGGGAAGGAAGCGTCAACGGTAACCGCGCCTAGGGTGATAGACCTGGTGAGGAAGGGTGTTGCACCGCCTGATGGGACAAATCATGTCGATTGGACCGGCGGTGACGAAGACCCTGATATGAAGGCTATTGGGAGTAATGTTCAGGGATTTGCCAACAATAAATAAATCGAGTGTAAGGGACTGTTGTCCTGATCATAATTGGTCTGGCGCCGAGTCCCGCCTGGAGCTGTTTATTGGTACTACACGGATATATGGCTGTGGTCTGATGAGAATCTAGTTGTATGTGTGCCATGAGAACGCCCAACTCACCGGACAGGGCATCGGAAGATCGGCCTTAGTCCAAGCAGGCTTGGTTTACGACCATCGTCTTGTAAGTCCCAAGAATGCCTTTGTCTACCTATGCAGGTAGTGCAGAATGCCGTCGAATATCCCTCTGCAGTGCTAAGTTCTGGTCGAGAAGAAAAAGAAATCGCCACTGCAACATGATTGCGGTGGAGTTCTTTTAGACACGTGGTATTCGTAGCGCAACGCCAGTGATATGCGTTTGGATGTGAAAGATGCCATGGACCAGAGCTTCAGCCGTCGTCATCACCAAAACTCAGCTTGATCTTCTTGGCCTTCTTCTTCTTGTCGCTCTTGCCGGTCGCTTTATTGGCCTCAATCGTCTTGTCAGATTCCTTGGTAGGTTCGTCGGCAAGCTTCCTGGTGGCCTTGACGGCTTTGGCAATGGCGGCATCAACGCCGCCGCCGGCCCCGTCTTCTTCCTCGTCGTTGTCGTCTCCGCCAATGACCTTGCCGACCTTGCGCTTCTTGGCCGCGCCTATACCGGCCGTCTTCTCCTTTTCGGGAGCAGGGAGATCGCCATTCTTGGCTGTCTTGTTCTCAGCGGCTTCCTTGATGTTCTCCCCGTCCTCACCGTCCTCCTCGTCTAGCTGCCCGGCTTTCAGCTCCACAACGTTGCCGTCCTCGTCCACCACCACGGGAGCATCTTCGGCTTCTTCGCTGGCACTGCGCACTTTGGCAGCTCTCCGACGCGCGGCCAAGTTGGGATCGGGGGACTGCGCGTCCAAAGTCTGCTGCCCGCGGAGCCGCGCGAGGAACGGCGGTAGGGATTGGTCGTAGGAAAGATTCTTGGAGGTGATCTTGTCAGGCATGGTCGTTTCGTTCTATGCCGCTGACGGTGCGCTTTGTGGTCAGCAAAGACGAGAGAATTGACGTGTTCTCTCTGTGTAATTGGGAGCGGAGAGCTCTTGGAAATTGGTACTCAAGAGTTTGTCCAATGATTTTCATACTGGGATCTTTTGTAGGTGGAGTAGGTTGCGATCGTCAATCTGGGGTCGAGGTGGGGTCGGGGCCGAACCTGCGATCTTTATGTCCGGCAGTCGGAACACTGGTACGGCCAGTCTTGATTCCCATGAATCGTAATCATAAAACTCGTCGTATAGATCTTAGACATCCTACTAAAGATGGTGTTTGACCTCATTGTGAATTTTAGACATCTTTGCATCGCACTTTCTGGAAATCTGGCTCCGAGCTAAGTGGAAGAGGACTGTTCTATGATTATAATAAAGCTATTTCCAATACTTATTCAAGCACAAGATGATAGGAGTAAACGCCTTGAACCCCATGCCAATGCAATATCCCCATCTCACTGATGTTATGTCATACCGTAATTTTTGCCTTGTTTATTCCAAGGTAGAGGGGAAACCTCACCACCGTCTTAATATCTAGACATTCGGTTGTTGCTGTTTGGCGAGTATCCACGGTCATAAGCACTGGATTGGCCATAAGGGCTAGGCTCATCAGCATAGATGGTAGTGCGTCGCTCATCCTCGGGCAATAGCTCCTTGACTTCCCAGTTGTTGAGCCTCGTGCCAACAGAAAACTCAAGATCTTCTTTCGTAATCGAATCCCAATACTAAGTATCTAATGTTAGCACATGAAACAGCGGATCGATATGCAAAGGAAACTGACCTTGTAAACCATCATGACAGCCAAAAGATTGCAGGTTGTCGCAATAAACAGTCCGTCAACATAGTGGCTCGTGGCTTCGCAGATAGTCGAGCTCAGGGCATACAAGACAACCTGGCCAATGACAAAGAAGATGACGGCAAAGGCAATGTCGCCCAGAGGCCATCGATCTTGGAGTGTACGCACAACGAGGACAACTTGCATCGCAAAGTAGATGACTAGTTGGATGGCGTTCAAGAGATACAGGACAGTAAACAGGCCGACCGTGTTGGTTGGGCCAAGGCCAGCCCATGACTTGAATGTAGCTAGGGAAACGAGGAAGGATATAATGAATGCGACAAAAGAGGTCAGTCGGAGCAGCCATACAGACAGTGGCGTGCCGTCCTCGTATAGCTGGAAACCCACGAATCCATTGATCAGAAGACATGTGATGAGCGACGAGATGAGACCCGACTGCACGGCGACAAAGTAAGGGTAGGGACCCGATCCCGGCGGCACGACACCGGCATCGACACAGAGCGAGAAGAAGCTGAGAAGCATATAGAAGTAGAAGAAGGCGAGAATCTCCTTGCGGCCGACGGCTGTGAACTTGCCGCGGATGTGAAGAATCATGACAACGGTCATGATGAGGGCAATGATGTGCATGAAACTGGAGGCGCCCTGGAAAATGATGGTGTTGGCAACCTCAATGTTTCGCGCATAGCAGTCGGGCTCGATGCCCACGCCGCTAGAAATGGACGTGATGGGCCCGACATTTGCGCAGAGCGGTAAAGGGGCCGTCTCGCAAATGGTGGTGAAATCCCCAAAGCCTCCCATGATTTCGGCGTTGCGGCCAGCAGGCTCGCGCGACGTTGTTGTTCGGTACAGAGTATTTCGCTACGTGAAGGGCCGGTTTCTCGGTTCGACGTGTCTGTGGAGCGGCGGGCGTGTTGATGTTTGCAATGAACGAATGTCGTGATAGTTATGGTTAGATAAGTATGGATTCAGTGAGTTGACAATGTCTCCTTCTCTCTGTGTTTCAGCAGCGAATGACTGGAGAGAGCATCGAGAACAATGCCGTCGACGGGACTGATGCTCGCGCAAGCAGATGACGACTCGGTGGAGTTTGGTAATGAGTCTGCTGCGATGCGCCCTAGGCGTCAAGTTGTGGGCAGGATTCCTGCTCTCTCGCTCTGGGCTGAAGATCAAGATCAGGACCCGTTGCCATGGGAAAGGGTGACGCTTGGCTAGGGGCGGTCCAAGTTGTCAACTGTCATTGGGCGTGTCCGGGCCATGGATCCATTTGTTTGTCCACTGTGGCCTGTGCACTCGGGTCTCCACACAAAAGCTGGGAGCTCGTGTTGTGCAGGTCGACAGAGGCGCCTGTCTGGAACCGTCTTAGTGGCCCCCAGGATCTACCAATTAAACTCGCGGATCGGTCCACAAAGCCGCTAGCGTTGTTTGAGCCTAGTTCAATCGCGCTGTCCCCTTGGTCCCCGTTCCGGCGCTTTCATTAATAGATCTCGTGCCTTCTTGACTGCATGAATAATAACACCATGAACATCACCGCCTTTTTTTGCAATGCTCAGTCTTCAAGTCAAAATTCAATTAACACTAACAGGCGAATCCAAATGATGCAGTGCTGACGGTTGATGTATCACATCCTTGTGGTTTGTACCGTACCCATGTTAAGCTTCGGAGAATTGGAAAATGGGACTGCGAATTGTGCTATTTAAAAAGACTGTTTGGACTATTCATTTCCCTCATTTCTGGCATGCACTATATGTCACCCGGCCCTTGGCATCAGAATGGTCATTACCAACATATCATCCGCTCGCCTAGTCCGCTGTCACGGGAACAAACACTCACTGAAGTTGTGCAGTCTATCCATGTCCTTTTCTCCAGCAGCTTCAACTTGTATGCAAATATCAAGACATGCTTCTTTGCTCAGCTGACATTGGGTATTGAAAGTGAAACATGATTGTCCACTCGGTGGGTCGGTTTGCGCGAAATACGTACATGATTACATTGAGACGTATGGCCAGAATACGAATGTCTATGGCGTTGACTTGAGGGACGCTGGTGAGCAGAATACTTTGGCTTGTATGCCAGTCAGTCAGTATAATTACGGACATCAGAGAATAATTTGTCATTAGATCGGGCCCAAACGGGGAGATGAAGTCGCAAAAAGAGCTTGTCCAAACAAGTACAATTCCGTGCAATGGCTGCAGGTATTTTCAATTATAGACAAATATATCCATTTACATGAGGCTGATCTCATCATGGGAATATAGTCGTGGAGTTCACTAGGCGCATCAGTCGGGCGGACTAAGAGCAACGGACCGACGTTTGGGTTCAATATTACCCAGGCCAAAGCGGAACTAGGGCGTGAAAAGAACACCAAGGAAGAATAACTCCTTTCCGGCAGTTGAGAAGGTTTTATTTTGGAAGCGCAACAATAAGAGTTCCAGGTATTCATTCTTGGTTGTATGAAACCCAAAAGGGAGATCATGTTGGCCAGGCCGCGTAAGCCGTCGACTGGGGTTGGTGCACGACCTGCAGCCCCGAAGCGGCGGCATCGCATCCCGGTATACGGGAATTCCGGTTTGGCATCGACCATTCCAGCTTCATGGTCCGCTTTGTGCAATCGGGTTTATGGTTTTTGACAGGCTTGGCTTTTGTTTAAGCATGTTCTTATTTGAAAGAGGAGCCTGTCAAACCACCCGTGCACCTTTTGACAGGAGACCAGAACTTTGGTGGATCTCACGATGCTAAAACATAAGCTTCTCTTTCTTGGGAACTCCCCGTTCATGCCAAGCCTGAATAACAATACTGATTGCGGGTCATGATGTATTTTTGAGAAGACCCCTCATTCATAAGTCGCTCAAGATCTTCTTCAATGAGGTTTCAGTCATCCGAAAATAGTGTTCTGCCATGTTTGCAGCTTCTATAATGGATCTAGTGACCACCGTATGATGACGAGTACAGCAAAAACATCTGTTCTATCATGTAGATCCAGGGGAGATATCAGATGATGTGACAGAGCAAGTAGTTTGTATGGTGGCTCGTAGAATGAGTATATGAAGACTCCAGGTCACCTGGAAAATAGAAAGTTCTTCTTGTCCAACAACCGCCTCATCGCAGCTCAGGAAGTCTGTAAAGAACGACCTTTTCTTTTCGTCCTACTCTTTTCGATTTCAGCGGCTGGCCTGCCTCCACTTATCTAATTCAAGTTAATAATTTCAATACCCATACAGCGCTAGTCGTTCATATACCCAACATGAAGTTCTCCATAATCTTCGCCGCTCTCATGATCGGCTCAGCCTACGCCTCTCCCTTGGCCCAGCGCCCGGGTCGAGGAGGCAACCGGGCGCCGCCCGCCCAACAACAGGCACCGCCGCCGCCAAACAACGGAGCAGCCCCTCCGCCTCCGCCCCCTCCTCCCCAGAAGAGGGAGGAAGACTATATCGAGATTGCCGCTCGCGGACCCCAAGGTCCCCCGCCACCTCAGCCGCCGCCCGCGCCCAACGGCGGAAACAACAACCAACTGCCCCCACCCCAAGGAGGAAACCAGCCGCAGGGAGGGCGCCGTCCACCGCCCAACAAGCGAGAACCCGTCGAGGTCATTGACCTCGTCGCTCGTGCACCCCAGCGTCCTCAGCCACCACCGCCAAACAACAACAATAATAACGCGCCACCTCCACCGCAGGGTGGAAACGCTCCTCCTCAGGGCGGCCGACCTGGCCCTCCCCCCAACTAGAGTTCTCGCTGAACAGCCGAGCCGCTGTGTAGCCAGCGATCAATTTGGGACGAAGTGGTTATTCCCAGACAACTTTGGTCGATTGAGTATACTTGGCAACCTCCATGAGTCTCGCTTGGGCCTCTCGACACAGCAAAATCGATTAGTGTTGTAATTTTAGTTGTTTAAGACTGTAGTAATTAAGCAGTACACCTATAATCATTGGAAATATGACAGTGTTCGATCAATGTTGTGCTCACTAAATCATTCAGTGAATTGTGATTAGCAAGATATACTGAGAAAGCAACATAGATGAGACTGCCAACTTAAAGAGTTCAGAAAATGGAATCGGCAGAGTGATTCCTTTTAGAGGAATGCCATCGATAGCAAATCAAAAGTCGACAGTGTGTGCAGCAATTGTTTGATCAAGAGATGCTTGTAGATCATTACAGCGTATATTCAAGCCTAATATCTGACACCTGCCTCTATTTGACCTGAACACCATACACGACGGGAATAGGTCTGAAAACGCTGAACTCGGATCCCGTAGTAACCAGAGTACCAGGAATCTGGGGGTGCCAGTGGACTTCCTTGGCATGCTCCACAATGTGCTCGAACAGAAGCTGAGGCGGCATATCCTGAACTCCAGCAGTATCTTTGCTCTCTTCATCATCCAGCTCGACCGACAGATCCCATAAAGTAACCTTGTTGTCTCCAGCAGCCACTGCCACCATACTGTCGTCAGTCGGGTGCCACTCCACGCTGGTAATCTGCTCCTTGTGGTAGTTGAAACTGGCAATAGGCGAAGGCTTGTCGTTGCCTTGCTTCCATGAGCGCAGATCCCAAACGCCCCAAACACCGTCGTCATCTCCAGTGGCCAGGAGGTGAGTAGTCAGATGCGACCACGACATGACGTTTACATCGGTCCTGCTAGCAGTGATGGAGATGGCAGGTTTCCTACTCTTGCTTCGTACATCCCAAACTCTGACAGTACCATCACTGGAAGCTGATGCGAACACAGACGCCTCTTGGGGACTCCATTGGATCTCTTCCACACTGCTGGTGTGGCCCTGGAAAGCGCGGGTATCTGTGACCCAGCCGCCACCGTCGGTACGGGTCGTGACGTAGATGAGGCCGTCATTGTCTCCCGTCAGCAGTTTACCTCCAGGCACCAATGGAGACCAATCGACAGCATAGCCTTCTGTCTTGTGAGCGCGGATAGTGGAAAGGGGCTTGTTCTGCTGTGGGGTGATGACTGTGCCAGGGTTGTCGAAAGACTCGAGGTGGGGTGTGATGTCGTGGATCAAGACTCCCGCCGACTCTGTCATGGTAGCTGTGAATGTCTTGGGGGCTGATCCATCTTGTGATGGAATCTGGTGCGTGCGAATGCGGTTGGTTGTGGATGCCAAAGGTATCGTCTTGGATTCCAAAATTGGGTCTGCGTCCTCGGCGTCATCGTCGGAATCTGAGTCTTCGTCGTCGTCCACGTTCTGCGTCCGGCTCAGGCCGCTAAACTTCATGACCATGAGTTGGTTCTCCTTCTCCTTGCCAGTCTCGGCCTGAGTGCCAGCAACGCTGTACATGGTGACAGGGTAGACCTTTTCACGCTTGTCGCCAAGGCCGTCGCGGATAATGTCGAAGGAGAGACATGGCCACGGAGTGCTCAGACTATGCAGCATCTCGTATGTTCCCATGTCGGGGGCAAGGTGCTGGCCTGCTTCCAGTGTGTTACGACCGACAATAAATGTGCCATTGTCCACGTCCATCGCACCAGCTGCCATCGCAATGTTAATACATGGCCAGTAAAACAACAAAGATATCAATCTTTTGCGGGACTAACCTGCGCGCTCTTCAGCTTCCCTTTCGGCGTCTGGTCTGCCATCAACGCCAGCTTCGAGGATTTCATCCTCGCTTTCGAATTCGTCCTCGAACTCATCCTCGAACTCGCCCATGTCCTTATCTTGGTCGACATCCATGGGTTCGGGACGATCGCCGCCCTTCATGGGGACATCGCCGTCGTCGATTTCCGCGGTTCGTTTCGACATGGTGGTGATGCTGTGGCAGGAAAAATTATTGTTGCGAAAGAAAACAATTTTGTCGCATTCAAGATCGCAATTGGCGGGCCTGTATCAACGGACCAGGGTCGAGGGGCACTTTCTCAAAATTATTTTTCTGCCCCATCGAACCCCGCGGTCCGTTGCATGTAGTGGATGCGGATCCGCTACATCTCGTTTGGGCAGGCGGTGACATTTCCCCTGCTCCCTTCTCTTAGTGCAAGTTCTGTGACATCTACACAGTAGATACCAACCCACATTGGGAGGTTTCAACGGTACAATGTTCCCTCATTACATTAAGGTAGCTGACAACTTTAGCATAGGTACAAAGCACTCCCATCCTTGTCCCCACGCATATAGGTTACAGGTACCTGCGCACAGTTCTCACATGCGAGTTGTCCAAGTACGTACCTCTTCCAAGGTACTGCATCGTCACTGGCATCATGCGACCAAAAATGGTTCATCTTCTGAAAGTATGGCAGCAGTAAATGGTGCGCCGAAGCGGTTGTGCTTCTTATAACACAGCTGGAAATCTAGCATGTGTACAACAGTTTATTCAGTCTTCTTGCACCATGTAGGCGCTTCTTCGACTGCAGTGTTGAGCTGGGCACGGAAACAACGCATGATATTTGGGCAACTAATGATTGAGTTACGAGTCTTGGAAAACATATATGGATTAGTGGGGCATGGTGATATTATGCCCCGAATTCATAAGCTGAACACATATCAAAAGATGTTGCTTTATGCACTGGACTGCTTACAGCCTGATATTCATGCCATGCACGATATGATGGTGCTTGCAACGTTCTTGTCACCTGATGAAGGTAATCTCTACTACCCGGATGTCACAACAACGAACCAAACCGAAGCCGCAAACTTGGGTCAAAGCATGCGTATCTCGTCGGATGCAATCAAATTACAAGAATCCGAAAACTTCTAGTGTCAAGTCCTAGTCTAGGCCCAATGAAGATGGGCATGTATGTACTCTGTATGCAGTCTTGGTTCAAACGGTTTCCGTAGCACAAAAGAAATGCGCCGCCAGTGACATCGCGCGTGACGTAAAACCCTATACATGCATAGTGACCTCAATGCTGACATGTTGAAAGACAAACTTGCCATCCACGTTAGCAGCTCAGCCGACTTGATCACCAGTCTCGGATGAAAGAAACAAGTATTCCGGCACAAAAACAGACTTACTGCCTATAACATTGCTGTTGGCCCCAGAACTCATGAAAACATCACCAGCATTCCAAGTTTCGTCCTCAAAACCGCCAGAGTAAACGACGTAATCACATTTAAGAACCCTCTTCATTCAAAGCTCAAAACACGAAATGACGCGCGTTTTCCAAATCGGTCTCTTGACCGAAGCCTTCTTCAATATCTCGGGGGCTTTGCTCTTCGTCCTGCGACCAGCCTGGTGCCTATCATTTGCTTTAGCCTTGCCGGATGAGCCTGTACCGAGCAGCGCCGCTGTCCTCTTTCAAGTGTACGGCGGCCTTGTTCTGGCCTTGACGCTACCCATACTACTCGTCGTTCGTGAGTCGCCCGGCCAAAGTCGGGCTGTCTTTGAGCGGCGGGATATTGTCTTCAAGACTCTTGCCGCGGGCGAGGTCGCCCTGATCGCTATCCTTTTATGGAACACGATGAAGCCTGCAGCAAAGAGCGGGTTCAGCCATTCCGGACTGTTTATCAGCTCTGTCTTCCTCTTGCCAGCACTAACGTGGCATTCGTTTGCTGTTTGGGGTCGACCCGACCTAATGCGCGTTGACAATGAGGGTAAGAATATCGGGAGGGTCAAACCGAGTTGAGATTCTGTTCGAAGAGATATTATTCTGACTTGTCCCAGTATTGCTTTAGTATTTGCATTTCATGTCGGCGGAAGTGTAGTGAGCCCTATTTGCTTTACCTCTGATAGCGGGCAAAATAATCCAAACCGTGTTGGCGAAGCTCTCTTGGACTCTACTATATATGCATGAATCAAGTAAACGGATACTCTTGGTAGGTTTGACGAGCCCTTTAGTGAAGACTTGAACTGTCTCTGAAGTATACATCGTCACGATACTCTTTTTGGGGAGAAATTCATGGCCATTCTTTTACATTGAACAAGTGTTTCAATTGCATCCCGACATGGGGTGACCAAAGGCCGTCTATCACTGCCTAGTTCGAGGGCAGTAGCAACGCCGAAAACATAACCTTCCCATTTCCGGCGGACAGACTGGCACAAGATATTCCTACATACAGCTAGAAATGAACGCAATTAGGGGTATGAATGCATGGCGCATAGGCAAGTGGAAGCGCCATAGAAAAGAAATTTCAGCAAGGTGCTCGAGTGAGATATGCAACCATGCGAAGCATAGCTGGTACCATTGGAAAGGAAATCAATCCCCAAGGCCATTACTTCTTCACCGATTTTTTCTCCATACTGCAATCACTCTCCTAACCTCTCTTTGTGCTGTTGAAGAGATCGGGGAAGTGTTCCTTAGCGTACTGCTCGCAAGCCTTAGCAGGTTTGCCGACCTTCTGCCCGATGGTCTTCCACTTGTTATTCTCATAGTCCTTGATAGCAGTGAGAAGAGCTTGACTCTGTCATTACATTAGCGTCCGTTTTGAGCAGTAGACAATGTCTAGTAACACGTACCTCATCTTCAGCAAATTCGGCGTAGTGCATATCCTGTGAAGGTGTCAGTCTGGGCAATTTTCTAAGCAATCACAATCAAAAGAAGCCAAGTGCTGACCTTGTACCAATGCTTCTTCACACTTCCTTCGGTTCTTGATGGGAACGTCTTCGCGATTTCTGCCCAACTGTTGCCAGCATCACGCATCTGCTTGAGCCGCAGTTCTTCTGCAGGGGTCCATGGCGTGTTCGTTCTGCTCTTCTTCGCAGGTGGCGGAGCAGGGGTGGCATTTGCCTCCTGTGCCGGTGTAGGGGCAGCAGGAACGGCAGATGCCTGCTGTGCAGGCGGAGCAGCAGCCGGTACGGGAGGTGGTACGGGAGTAGTGGCTACCGGAGCACTTGGGGCGGGTGCTGCTGCAGGAACTGGCGTCTGCTGCGCCTGAGATGCTGGGGCAGGTGCAGGAACGTGAGTGTGCTGGGGCTGCTGCGGTGTCGATTGCTGGTGTCCCTGCTGGACTTGGACTGGATGAGCCTGCTGCTGATGCAAGTGTTGATGGTGCTGCTGCGGCGTAGGCTGCTGATGGGGTTGGTGCGGCTGCGGCTGGTGCTGCTGCGAAACTTGCTGGTGCTGCTGTTGGGCTTGCTGATGTTGTTGCTGTGACTGTTGATGGGTTCTCTTGCGACCTCCGCGAGGCGCCTGAGCAGGCGCCGGCGTGGGCGTGGGCTGCTGCTGTGCAGGAGCAGCGCTAGATTGGGGGATGGTCATAGGCGCCTGCACTGGCGTGTGTTGCTGAGGCTGGGATGGGTGGTGCTGCGCATGTTGACTATGCTGAGAGTGGGAAGCATGATGGATAGGAGCATGCTGCGTGTGTTGCTGCTGAGGATGCTGATGCTGCTGGTGCTGCTGGTGCTGCTGATGCTGCTGAGGGTGCTGTTGGTGAGACCCGTGTGATGGATGCTGCGCAGCAGGGTTGGGTTGGGCATAGCTGGTGAAGTCAGGACGACGCTGCATATCGTTCTGCTGATATGGGTGAGCGGCACTGTGAAGTATCGTTGTCAGTCGCTTTCTGGAGACATGCTACGGCGACATTGTATGCAACATTGACCACAACAATCGTCGCAGGGTATGACCTCCGCCTTGAGCATCGGGTGTGCCATGGCTGCATAGATGCTACTGATAGCAAACATGCGCTCGGTAGCAGGCAGGATATCAGAAGCAGAGACATCTTTCTATCTGATGTTGCCAGGCGGATGGAGAACTTGGTCACATCAAGGCAGCTTTGTACCATGCAAATGTCATCCGCAATCGAGAGACCTCAACGGAGATATGCATCCAAAGTAATAGTGATTCTTGGCGGCGCGATGTGAAGACCAAAGTAGGTACAGGACTACTGCAACCGTATGGTGCATGTACCGAGTTGCTTCTGAGTACGTAGTCTGGGGAATGTGCTCGGAAACAATCGTGGCACCGATCCAAGTGGAGATGGGGAGATCGGGTAGAGGACGAAATGGGTGGGCGAGAAGTGACAAACATAAGAGAGATTGGTACTTACTGCAAGTCATTTGCATGTTGGGGGGCATTGGTATTGGCCTGGTACATGTACTCCGGCACTGGGCCGACCTGCCACTGCTGCATTGTCTGGACTAGTGTCAGTACGTGACTTGATAAAATCATCCAGCGATGAATAGGAACACAAGGGAATTGATCTCCCAGTGATTTAGCACCAGTGAACCGAAAAAAGAACGACGAAGTAGACTTTGATCAAGAGAAAATATCTGGGATCCCATATGCAGTGCAAAAAGGCAGAGAGACTTGTCTCGTGTTTGTCTGTTAAAATAAATGGAGTGGCGAGGATATGAGATGGCTGGCAAATGGGGGCGACATTTGGGACCCTGGTTGGGGTGTTTGGGAGAAACGCGACACAAGGCGCTGAGCGAGGAGTCGCAGCGCCGACAACCCCGGGCCCCAGACAGAGCACGGTTGAAGAGATGCAATGTGCCACAGCTAAATTGCTGCCATCGCGAATCTCAGGGAGTGATTTCTGGCAATCTGTCTCCCAGTAGGCTTATGAGGACAAATTTGATATACAATTAGGCGCACACGTGTCGGCAAACCATTTGGTTTGCCATGCGGCTCGAAGGTAAAATTTTGTGCGGGAATAGCCACTGTGCAAAAAAAAAAAAAATGGGAGGAAAGGGAGGGAGGGAGGCGTTTTTGCTCATCAGAGCCTAGGGTGAGTCTCAATGACTGATGAAGAAATAATGGCCACTCACGATTATATCTTTGGCGAATGGGACAGTCCTTTGAAATCAATCCGGAACACAATAAAGCGTGGGAACAGCAGCGATGCTTGAAGCTCGATGATTTGGACGCGTGCGCGACCGAGGTGCGAAGGCTTGACACACAATAGCTGTCGAGATTTTGACGCGCTCTGATGCGACGAGGCTGAAGGGAAAAACTTGTTAGAAAACTGCAACTGCGCTTCTCCGATTGACTGGACAGACTGGGGCCGAAGCGTGTGCGAGACCCGAGTCGAGGTGAAAGGAAGCAGATGTAGAGAGTACTAGACGGGGTCTAGGGTGAGATGAGTGCCAGAAAGGTCGATAATAACTCGAGCATGTATCCCTCGGGTTCGCAGGGAATGAACGCAACGAAGGTACACGGTGAGGGAATTGGTGCTGATGTATTCCTTGTCGGGTGGAGAGGGGAGGGGGTCAAAACTGTGTTTCGCAAGACCACCCGTGGATGGACCCCGGACCAAAATGAGTTGGTAGCCAACGGGTAGCTTGTGCTTCTAGAGAATCGCCCGCGCGGATACTAACGGGCGGCTCAATAGAAGAGAAATCCGCGCTCTGGGCTGATCCTCGCGAACGATGGCACAAGACAAGAAAAGAAACACAAGAGAATGACGGATTGCACAGATTGTTGGCGGGCGATGGATCAGTGTGCTACGTGAAGTAACGCGCAACGACATCAAGATCCATGATGGAAGGGTGAGGTAGTATGTAGAAGAATGTCGCGGAACCAGGCCTACTCTGTGATGCAATGCGGTGCGTGTTGATGTGGGTGTCCAGTGTGGATGAATGAATGAATGGGGGTGGATGTTGTCAAAATCTCACATACCTGTACCTGCCTGTCAATATTTGGTGGGATGGCAGAATGTTTTAAAATGTGTTTATTAAAAAGAAGCAGTCCAGGGCGACAATGATCTTCTGCCGTGCAGGAGGATGTATCGATGTGTGTACTGCAGAAGTTTTTGAGACTACCTTGCCTAATGTATGTCGAGGTATTCAAGGGAAAAGGTGGGCAGGAATTGATGTATCTGCCAAAAAGTCAGTTTGGGGGGAGACATAAAAAAGTTGGTGCGTGGGCGACAACTGCTACCAACAGCCCCCGTGCGACGCTGGGAGCTGCGGGAGCAAGGAAAAAAAAAAACCAGGAAGTCCAAGTGGAACCTAGTGGCGCGGCGATGGGCTGCAAAAAAAAGAAAGCTTCCAACAAAGCAAAGACCTACCTTGGTGATTGGGGAAGCTTTGAGTAGGTAGGCTTCCGTGTGTCAAGCTGACCTTATTTTCCAGTAGGTGAAAAAAAAGTACTCGTTATCTGTACTCGAGGGATTTGGGGCGAATAAAAGGCGTCGCGCGACTTTGATTATTTCGCAGCACAGGTACCAACCCGCGATTGAAATCTGGTGGATATCAATAGCTGTTTGATGGATGAGTCGATTGAGCTAGCATTTGGGATGCTGTCGATGGCCCTGGAGTGTACCTTGCGATGAAAGTATTTCGTGGTCGAGGGTTTTGGCACTGGCTCGGTTCAATTCAGGGAGACCCTCATCGGGAGTGGAGGTGGTCAGGTTTTGGTGTGGGAGGAGAGAGAAAATGTCGAGGCCCGAAGAGGTACCTGTCCTTTTTCTCCCCGGTCTCTGCCTGTGCGCCCGGCCCTCTCCGCCCCAAGCTAACAGGAAGAGCTAGGGAAGGTAGGAGCGACCTCAGTCCCTGCCTCAGCCTGCGTGTCACCTGATTGGTTCCAAGGTGTCGTTTTGCGCTAACATTGGCAATTCAACGGGCAACTCGTGGCCTCAGCTTGTTCCCCCCCAAAACTTGAGTTTTTAGCATTTGACGGACTGGCACCAGGCCGCAGCATGGATGGCAAGTGTCTTCGGAAGCTGCGCAGGTGCCACAAGCCACAAATAAACGCGATTCAAGATCAAAGCCAGCAGTCGGCGCCGTGTCCCAAAATGGACTGCCTTCAGCGCCAGCATGGGATGTACGAAAGGATCAGCGCAGGGGATTTGTACCCTATGAAAGGAGACTTTTGGTCCATTCGATACGGGTGCGACATTCAAGAACACTCACCAGACCAACCTGGGAGAGACTGACAGGTTTATTAAGAATTGATTACGAACCATCAATTACACGTGCATTCATCAGTATTTACAGTGGACATTTGAGCACTTCAAGTATCGTTCCATGATCCCGATTTTCTTGCTTCTTTCAAAGGTCCGCTTATGAACTGAACTGCCAGCTCGTCAATGGGACATACCACTGGAGCTCTCGTGCGCAAGGTAGATGTAGTCGCTAGGTAGGTACTCGAAGTCTGACGCAGCGCGTCAAAGGCGCTGCTCTGGCAGCTGGGAGGTGGACTAATGTACCGTGTTAGGTAAAAGCAGGTTCCCAGTAGCTTGAGATTTGGGCCCAGCATCGAATAGAAGCGTACAATGTAGGTACCTAAATCCTCTGCGTTACATACATATGCCCTCGATACCTGCAAAGCAGTGTCCCACAAATTAAGGACGCCAAGTATCCCGTAATTAAGTGGCAGATGTCTACATACCGACTTCACTTTTATCCAACTATTCCTATAATCTAGGTTAAATAATTTCTTGACGTAACGAACTCGGCATTTGCAATCTGAGTCATCATTGTCAGACTGGTTTCCACAAGCGACATAATCTTGTGTCGACAAGCTCGCCAAGAAAGTCTATCATAAAAATTCGAAATTTGTCGGAGTTGAAAAAAGAAAACTGGGGCAGTCGTCCTCCTTGTCTTGGAAGGCTCGACTCAAGTACCCTCGGCAGTGGCCGGACCGCCAAGGCCGCCTATGTTGGTTGTGAAAGATGATCGAGAGCCGCCAAGCTGGCAGAGCGCATATTCTAATGAACTGGTTGTCCTTGAGTCTATTTCATTGACATTGAATATGAATATACATATTCTTAAAATGGGAGATCACTAGGTATGGAATAGTTCATAAGCTGCCAGGCCCGCATGGGTCTTGTCGCCAAGAAGCCGTTGCCCCTGTCAAGTACTCGCTACTTATCACTGCAGTACGCAGTACGAGGTACAGCAAACTGTACTGCCCGTCCCACGGACTTTGGTGGTCGTGCAAGATGCGACCACACGAGCCAGGTTAGGCTGCTAGCATGCAAATACTGAATCAGGGCAGCTATGGCGTGCAGAAACAACCTGTGTTTGCATGCAGTCGTAATGAGTTTCCATCTACTCTTGTGCCTGGGCTGCCACGCACACAGCATAAACGTATTGTATGTACTAACAAACACCATGACGTTGGTATACACATATCTCTATATAAATATATGCAAGCACCATGTGCAAGTATTGCAACGCGTCAAGAAGGCCACCCAGACGTCGTTGAGATGGTCGAGCCATGATGTTCCCAAAGTACTCTTGACTGGCCAATGTTCACATAAGTCACGGCCATGACTTGATTCCGCGCAGTACCGAATACTACACCAATACTCACTTGAACAGATTCCGTGCGCCGTCGACCTCACCTTTGCATTGGGCAATGTCTACGTTGTGGGATGGGATGGCAACGAGGAATGATTGATCATACACTCACAACTTTCGACTCCATCGTAGTGGGTGATTTAATCGACAACACCTGGCGAATATTACTTACAGTATCTTGATGATATTTCTTCTTGGTTGATCTTATAGATTTCATGATAAATTGCTGTTTAGTCAAAGGTTTATTACAACATGCTTAGAAGTATGTTATTCTGGCAATTCTCCAACATGTATCTTGCTTGTATACTTATTACTTGATAGTAAAGAATACGGATATTTTTTTGATGCTGGATCGATGTAAGCCGTATGATCGCTATGTGTAGTTGGGCAACAGTTCCTTTTCACAAAGATAGGACGACCAGAAGATCACTGGATGCAACGATAATCCTTGATTTATACATTTAGCACGCTCCCTTCGTTGACAATGAAGCTGAATGGTCCCAAGTTCGTGGCAACAAGAAAGTATAAGCCGGACCTTGAATTGCATAACGTCTGCCATATACATGATCTTTGCGAATACAGGTGAGATTCTTCTCTCATGGAGGTAGGGGCAAAAACATTAGAGAACGACCGCTTCAATCAATCAATTCCTGAGCTGTGCTGTTGCAACACATGAAATCTTGGCTCTCGTAGTCGTCATGGCAAGCTACTGCAGGGAAATGTCTAGTCCACGCGTTTTCTACAGCTGAAGATAACTTCATTTTTCGTATTTCCTGGCACTTCAGCTGCACCTGTATCCCGTTTTCCATGTTGCAGTATATACTACATACTCCTACTCATACGCTCAATAAAGAAACAACATTAGTATGGCAGGCAGAAATAGAT